AAGCGGACGTTCAAAAAAGTTTATGGAAAGTACCTTGCAATAAAGCTCATTGTAATACCAAGAGCCGTGTTACCCAGATATTATGTTTTGCATAAATAGGCGTTACCACAAAGTACTTGAATATCGTGAAAGAGAACAAATCCCCAACAGACCAGCAAGGTTTATGGAAAGTACCTTGCAATAAAGCTCATTATAATACCAAGAGCCGTGTTACCCAAATATTACGTTTTGCATATATAGGCGTTACAACAAAGTACTTAAATATTGTGAAAGAGAACAGATCCCCAACAGACCAGCAAGGTTTATGGAAAGTACCTTGCAATAAAGCTCATTGTAATACCAAGAGCCGTGTTACCCAGATATTATGTTTTGCATAAATAGGCGTTACAACAAAGTATTTAAAAATCGTGAAATAGAACAGATCCCCAACAGACCATCAATACATTTACCCCTCTATCTGAATTTACATAGATTTGCGTTATAAAATAATGAAATAGTCAATATACTGTTTAAGCATGTTTTGAGGGAAATGTTTCTTCTCACTTCACGCATGCATGCTTAGGGTTGTAATACAAATCCTGCTACAATTCTTTTTGTTTTCTTTTTTTTTAAATACCAAGTTATATAATTTGCATATCATGCGTCACAAAATGATAAACAAATGATGAAACACTACTGCCAATTCGAAATAGAACCAGGGAATGTATCCGGACCGGTCCCCAAGCATTTTAGCCCCCTCAATAAACAACACCACCTGGTACCATTGAAATATTTTGGAAACCTCACTCCTACACATACTTAACCCCTTTATTCCACAAGTGGCAAAGCTTAAAAAAGGGAACTGAAACCAACAGCCCTTGGCGCGACAATCTTATTAAAATATTATTATTGCTTTGGTTAGAACAATTAATGAACAACCTCTGGCAAAAAACAAAACAAACAAAAATTGCCTGAAAAATCCCCCTTTTTTCTCAATGTTGTCACTTCATCTCCGATATTCAACATTTAAGGCATTATGGAGACGAAGTTGCACACAAATCAAACCTCGCCTTCCACATACCCAACAACGATGAGAAACCCGAGGCTTCGCTTTATATTTCATATACACTGAAGAAAGAAAAAAAAAATGTGTGTGATATTAACTCTTGGTAAACGTACGATAATCTTCTCAAGTTTTGTATCATTTTTTTAAAACTAAAGAAACGAACAAAATATGTATATATGTATATACATCCTTTTCTTCCTCTTTTTGAACAATTAAAAAAAAAAAAAAAACACCATTGTCATATACGTGACAGGCTAGTTTAGCCCAAAAATTTCACATTGGCTAATGTGTAGTAAACATAAACAATACTTTATAACTAGTACTTTCCTTTTCTTCCTTCCCCCTTCATTTAATTATTTCCTCGCTTATTCCTTCTCTTTCCCTCCCTTCTCCTCTCCTTTCCCCCTCTTCCTTCTTTTCCCCTTTCTCCCTCTTCTCCCCTTTCTCCACACACACACACACACACCCACACACACACACACGCGCAAACACACAAACACACACACACACAAACACAAACACGTGATGGTGGTGGTATATATATATATATATATACCACCACCATCACCACCACCACTACCATCATTATCACTATCACAACCACCATCACCACCTATAACAGTATGGTTTGCTATCTAATCAAACCATACAGCAAGGTAAGGGATACTTACCTTTTTACCTGTGGTTGATTAAAAATTTGAATCAATTATTGGTTTTAAAAAATTGCTCAATGTTGGTTAAAAATGGTGTTGATTAAACTTTAACCATTTGTTGATTAAATCTTTAATCTTTTGTTGGTTATTTATGCTTTGTTCGGGGCTGATTCACATGATGTTGGTTAAACTTACATGGGTCGTTGGTTAAAATTGTAACCATTGTAGGTTAATTCTTGTTTGATTCACACGATGTTGGTTAAACTTTAGTGGGTTGTTGGTTACAGTTATAACCACTGTTGGTTAAACTTACGGGGGTTTGGAGGTCTAATCCTCGTGTTTGCAGATAAGAAATTGTTTAATATGATTTTCATCAATGCCAAGATTGTAAGGAAGAAGTGAAATAAGGTTCTTGCTCAAATTAAAAACACTTTGTGTCCCGGCCCGTAGGTTGTAGCTCAGCCAGTAAGTGTAACGGATGACCTACCCAAATTGCATGCATAAAGACGTTTCACTTTATGATGACATCTTATTTTATATTTAATTGTTTAAATAGATACAATTAGATTTTAAAAAATAAGATTATTATTCATGCATGCAATTTGGGTAGGTGATCCTTAATAGGCCTACACTTCTCCTTCTTTAATTGGGTCTGCCTCCTTCACGGTTGACGATTGTTGCAGACTGATGAGTGTGTGTGTGTGCTTACGAGAGCCAGGTGCACGGTGCAAATAAAATGTTACTTATTGGTTGAGCTACGTACAACCTGGGGGACACAAATCGTTTTTTGATTTGAGCAAGAACCTTATTTCACTTCTTCCTTACAATCTTAGAATTGATGATGATAATATTAAAATAATTTCTTACCTGAAAACACGGAGATAAGACCGTCCAAACCCCCATTTCTCAGGTCCTCGCGACAACCTCCATTGTTAATTTTGTCGCACGCGTAAACTGCATGTACTTTGCATGTACTTTATTTGTATGTCGAGCGATCGCTAGCTACGCGCTTCGATATCATTCCGTTGGGTCACGTGACCAGTACTTTAATCAACATTGATTAAACTTTAACCGGAAGGGGACTATCATTACTGTCGGAATTTTGTTTTTAATCCATGCTGGGCTACAATTTTTGCCAACGACTTAGACTTAACCAACATAGGTTAAAAGGAATAATTTTGATCAACACTGTTTTTAACCAACGCAAGATTAAATTTTAATCAACACTACATTTTTAACCATGGTTGAGCGTTTTTTAATCAACAATTTTTTAACCCGCAGTTTTTTAATACTTGTTTTAACAGTGAAATGAGGCATGCCACCAAAGTTGAATACAAGAATAACCTTATATAACCTTACCTAATTTAACACCATATTTTTCTTTTTTCACCCCCTCGCTCTCCCTCTCTATTCCTCTCTATCTCTCTCGCTCTATCACGCACACAAACACACACATACGCACACATACACACGCTCTCTCTCTCTCTCTCTCTCACACTCTATCACGCACGCACACAGACACATGCACACACTCACGAACGCACGCGCGCACACATACACACACAAATCACGCACGTCTCTCTCTCTCTCTCTTTCTCTCTTTACAATCTATCCAAATCTCTACTTCCTCGTTCCCTTTCTCTATCTATAGATGAATAGTTATGTTTTATGTCATCTCCCCTCTCCTGTCCCATCGCTACACCCCTCAACCAATACCATGGAATGTCGGGCATCCTGATACCCCATGAAGATTTTAAAGAGAAGGATGAGTTTTGATAGAGGAGAAAATAATGTGTGAGCCTTATCATTCTCTTTATATAAGTTTGAAAAAAATATAATAATGGAAATGTCCCCTGAAAAGGAGTGCTCCTCAAATGTCCTCTTTATATGAGATAAAGCTGAAATGTTGGCGTACATGTATGTGTGTAGTCCCATGTACCAATTTCTCTGTGCCTTGAGTTGAGTTTTCCTTCAAGACTGGGTTAATTTCTGATCAATATGATGATTCCTAAACCACACAGTCTACACAAATTCTAAGAACGAACTTTCCATCACGCTTCGAGACAGTTTTTTGTTACTATCCCATGCGTGAACAGAACTCAGCTTAATCTTTAAGAGCTTTCATCGCCATGTGTTTTGCTAAAGTTAAGTCAGACCTCCTTCACAAATGTGGCGGTAAACCGGCTCTTAAACAGATGGTCATGGTGTAAAAAAAAACATTTTACAAGTAAATACTACTACTACTACTACTAATAATAATAATAATAACAATGATAATAATGATAATACTAAACAACTAATGCATCAAGATAATGATAATAATTATAATAATGATAATGATTATAATGATGATAATGATTATAATAATGATAATAATGATATAATATTAATAACAAACTTATTAATGATAATAGTAGTGACAATAATAAAAACAGTAATAATTATGATAACAAGAATGTCTATTTTGTTCACCTAGGAAGCCTCATCAGCTAAATGCTGCTCAAAGACCCAACATTTATTATGACCCTAGCATTTACCAGTTACCCATTCGACCTGGATGGAGAGTGGCAAATGCGGATTAATTGTATGCCGTAAGTGTCAAACTGGGATTCGAACCCTCAACTCTTGAATGGAGTGTGAAGTAAATTCCCCACTATACCACGGTACCTCCACCACAGGGGCCGGAAATGAAAGGGAACTGAGAAAAAAAGGCCCTATTCGTACTTTCTCATGTTTCCAATAATAATTAAATAAAAGTAATTTTTATTTTGCTGAGTAGGTCTTTTGAGGCGGTTTAGCCCGTCAGGTAGAAACGAGGCTTTATCATCCAGGCAGGTGAAATATTAACCTATCCCTGCATTAGGACGCGAAAGAAATGTTGCATCACACAAACATTGAGGGGGTGCATAGTTTAAAAGGGCACTGGCAGAGGATGACATTATAGCCCGGTTCACCAGGCAGAAAGGAAAATAGATGAGACAGACAGGGAGATAGAGAGAGAATAAAGGGGTAGAAGGATAAAAAGAAAATAAGGTAGGAGGGGATGAGCGGTTGTGTGTGAGTGTTTGTGTGTGTGCTTGTGTGTGTGCGTTTTGTATTTGTGAAAGAGAGAGAGAGAGGGGTGATGAACGAGTACAAAAGAAAGCGAGAGTGGGAGATTTAGAGAGAGATACCGAGAGAGGTACAGAGAGAGGGTGTGAATGACAGAGAGAGGAAAACATAAAGGGAGAGGAGACTAAAAGGGACGTACGGCACTCTGTCGACAAAAACGCCCCCTTTGTCTACACATAGTCATTACCACTTATTGACTACAGTATTATATTCCAGTTCAGCATTACACAAAATACTCGGCAGGAAGCCAATTGAATCAGGGAGATGACAGCGTTCTAATTATTTAATAACATTTAAGGAAATCGAAACATTCCACAAGGATTTCAAAATATGAAGTCGCGCACTTTGCTGCTGATGGTTGGCATCTGTGCCCTGTCTGTTGGTGTAGGGGTCGGAGCACTCATCGGCTACTTCAGTCGCAGCAGGGACTCGAACCCCGAGACAGGAACTGCCGACGGAGATATCGATGATAGGATCATGAACGAGATTAGCAGAGAAAGAATACGGGAGAACCTGAGGTAGGTGTGCTGGATTTTATAATGTGCAATATCTTATAGTACATGTAATTACGATAAAATGAAAGTTGTTAGTGTGGACCATGATTGGAATAGTAAAATAGGAAAAAGTTGAGAGTACGTGCTTTACCTAAATATGAGGTTAATGTATGTACATCTTTAATTTGTTATAATCATCTTACTATCAGGACAAGATATTTCCCTTTTAAAGTAATATGTAACCCCATCATCAAGATATTGTATTTATTTTGTATACGTATCTTATTACATAGCTTTATCAGTGTATTATATTTACCCTTATGAGGAATTATGATACGACATTTTTTTTTAATTTAGGGACATTCATAAACTTTATCTTATTATCATGGTAGGTCCCTCGAGAGACGTTTTCGTATGTCTGATATATTGTAGAATATAATAACCGTTTCCATGTTGTAACTTTTCGTGGTTAGCAAGAGGCTTTATCTTTAATATTCTGATCCTTTAAAACATTTCATCCAGAAAATATCTTAACGTATTCCATTTCTATTTCTGTTTTTTATAGCTTTTGTTGTTCTCCTAAGAAATAATCTTATTTTCTACACGTTTCACTTTTAATTATCTCATCACTTTCTTTCTAATCAAAAGAATATGGCATTTTATTCCCAACATTTCATCATATCTTGGTTTCCCGTATTCCCTCCCATCCGCATTTAACTGTACATTCAACAATCCGGAATTGATATATTATTTATAATACATGTGCCAAAACCACGTTTGTCTTTGCGCATTATGGTATAAATCATTTGGTATCGTATACCAATGGCAGAGCTTGAGGCGTATCGGATATCAAACCGCAGGTTTCGTTTCACATTACTAAGCCTTCTCGAGTTCAAAGCTCTACTGAACTCTTGAAGCCGCTGCGGAAGTGTCCTTTATCCTGTGTACTTTACACTTGGTAGTTGATGTAGTGTTGGATTACGAACAACGTTGAAATTAAAAAATACATTTATCTTAGATAGATGCGTTCTATTCATTTGTTTTTGGCAACTTGTTCTTTTTTATTCAACGGGCCTGATGCACAATGGCAATATTGTGTTCTGGGTTAACTACTGGTACTTGAATACACACAGCTTTTGTACGTAGGTATTGAACATGACATTGTATACTGAGATCCTGAATGATTTTCAGTTATTGCTGAAAAGATCAGTTGACGAAAGTTTCATAACAATAAAATATATAATATATTTGACATCCTTAACCTTCAGTGTGTAAACTGCAGTATGGTAAAACTATCAACAATCAAAGGTGTAATTTCTACCTCTTCTTCTTCTTCTTCTTCTTCTTCTTCTTCTTCTTCTTCTTCTTCTTGTCCTTCTCCTTCTTCTTCTTCTTCTTCATCTTCTTCTTCTTCTTCTTCTTCTCCTCCTCCTCCTTATTTTCCTTCCTCCTCCTTTATTGCACATCGAAGATCAACAGCACCAAGCTGCTTATTTCCCCTCAATTCACAAATGCCACAGATTATGCGAATGTTATATTCCTCTGATCGTACAAATTTGTTGTATACTTTAATTGAAAATTCCCTTTGTTTGTCAATACTTTGTCAATCCTTCCGGTGATTCTCTTGTAAGTGTTTTATTGTGACAGTCTTTATTTTGTTTGAGTTAAATTATCTGCCAAATCTTCTCCTAACTATATTATTGTAGACATACGTTTGAATTCAGTTCATGATGATGATTATGAATCAAACAATTTGAAAAATCGAACTCTCTAATACTCTAATCGTGGTTTTCTTTAACACTGTATTTCCCCCTTTTTTCGCACAACAAGATATTATGCCAGGAAACCGCATCTCGCTGGAACGGCTGCTGATAGAGAAGGAGCAGAAGATATCCAAAAGGCATGGTTAGACCAAGGCTTGGATTCGGTTAGACTGGTCCCATATGAGGTCTATCTGCAGCATCCTCCATCCCCTGATGATGAGGAGAAGGCCAACAAGGTAGACTAGGATTTTTTTTATATATCTTCTAGAAGCACTTAAAAGCCTAGTATTTAGAGCTGTATAAATGTGACTATTATTTACTTCTTCATCTATTCATTCATTTATTTATGTTGTTATTATCATTATTGTTGTTATTTTCATTACTTTCATTATTATTATTATCATTATTATTATTATTGTTATTATCATTATCATTGATATCGGTATTGTTATTATCGTTATTATTATCATTATTATTATTATTATCGTTTCACTATCAATAAATGTGTATTACTTCTGATAACAATTCCTATTTTTGTCCCGTATACGTTACCGAAATCATAATTTTTTTTCAGTACATGCGATGATTCTATGAAGTTTATAGCCTTACTAGAGCCTAGATCAGACCAAGGAGCAAGAGAAATCACAGTTAATAATGATTTGTAATGATATACAGTTATGTAGCGCTTGATTTACAGTTATATAGCGATCGATTTACATGCTGTTTCTAAGGGATTTACATGAATGTACTTACACGTATTGAAGGAAGAATACGTGCATAATAATCATGGTAATACAAATTTAGCTCAGGGATATCAGGTGGAATGTAACATAGACAAAACTGCAAATTACTAACTTTACAAGTAAATTGGAAACATTTCAGGTTGTTGATTGCTATTTATTTTTTCTTTGTTCTTGGTAACATATGAAACAGCAAATGTCCAAATACCAATTCAATTCAATTTTATTTCTGTCCCCAACAAAATATTACTTATCTATTATAATCATTTACAACAATTAATACATATTGGAAACAGAGGGTCCACTATTAAAAAAAGCAATGCTTGAACAATTGTCAGCCCCTTAAATGATAGTTAGGAATAATGAGTTATTGAATTAACAAATTCGTAACTACAAAAAAAGAACTAGAAATGGGAAAAAGGGGGTGCCAACAGAGACAACAACGGGACAAGAGAGTACTTTACATGACAAAGATAGGAGAATACCTTGGATTTGGCACTCATTATTTTAACACATTAATAATTGTAATTAATCAGGTACAGATCATAAACCCCAGCTCTGGAGAGGTCATCTATACCTCAGCTCTCAGAGAAGATCCCTACGATGAGGATGAGTTACATCAGCCTGGTATCCCTCCCCCATACAGTGCTTACTCGGCGACAGGTGATGTAGTGGTGAGTGATTCCAGCACAAGCTCCCTTGTGTTTGTTACCTAATCCCTTGGATAGGTGGAACGTGTGTGCTTGTGGGTGTATATATGCGTATAATTGTGGTTTCCAGATGTGTATTAATCATATATGATTATCTACGTATGGGGACCGACCTTTAACGTCACCATCCGACTTTTGAAAATGTCTATTCATGTATAATGTCACTAGGTTCTATTGCTGTTTCAGCATGCAGCCACATAGACTTATTCAACTTATCTAACATATTAAACTGCGAATCTATGCATATCTCGTTGGTACACAGAACGTATTCAAAATATTAGTTTGTTCTCCAAATACTTCAAGTAAACATGAACCTGTATAATTATAATCGTTTGACCGAATATTGTTAAAGTCAAATTAGTCAATATAACACCAAGTACCGGTACTCTGCATATTCATCAGATTTTTTTTTATCGATGAATATGTTTTTTTTATATGTTTTTTCTCATTTATATATATATATATATATATATATATATATATATATATATATATATATATATATCATTTTCAGGGTGACCTAGTATACGTAAATTACGGGTCGGAAGAGGACTATGAATTGATATTGAATGAGATTGACCCAACCATGAATTTTACAGGGAAGATAGCAATTTGCCGTCAGGGAGGGACGTTTCGTTACGCCAAGGTAAGAATTTTAGCGTCATTTTGAGGACTAAAATATAAAGTCATTTTCCAACTTTTAATGTTGCTCAAAATAATGATTCGTAACGTTGTCTTATTCGCATAATGTTAATTTTTAACACATTTATATCAGGCAAACTCAATCCCCGGTAAATATCACATCTCATTGTTTTATTAAGCTTTATTGTCAGGTAATGTCTGAAATAATGTAGACTTTAATACAAACATTACGTCAGTGCATTTATTGGTATGGGGAGGCCTACGAATTCTTATTAGGCCTACCCATTGATCATATTGATGATATACCTTTGAATTTTCAGAGAGTTCAGGCACTCTCAAAGTGGAAACTGGGGATGCCGTCTCCCGATACGTATTACTGTATTTCTTTTACAAAGCTGACAACCATTCCTATTTTTTTAGAAATGATTCCTTTAATTTTTGCCCTCAAACTGACATTAGATTCCTAGATTCCTCAATTCTTTTGACATATATTTTGTGTAGAGGCATATAAAATAAACCGGGTTCTTAATTCTACCTTCAGAGATTCGCAATTTGCGGAATGTATGCAGCCTAATGCAGGATTGGTACCATAAAACTCTTCTCTTTAAAGCCCTACTGCACTACTTATACCTACTTGCGCCCTCTATATATCAAACAATGCCTAATCGGTGCCTGTGGGTCCCCATGATCCTCTTTTTCTTATGTTAATTGAGAGCTGATTTGATGAGATAACCACCTGTCAGTGATCTTGAAGGGAGGTCTAATCCCCCTGGCCAAACCAGTGCAGATTGGCTTTAAATCTATGCCACAGATTTCGGGTAATGCATTTTGTCTGTTTATAGCTTTATCACTCGTTTGTTATTCTCAATTGAGGCTGCCATAGCCCAACGTTACGGCATCATCGGCGTTATCTTGTACAGTGATCCCAACGACTACTCGGTGCCCCCAGAGCAGGGCTTACCTTACCCCCAGGGGAAGTTCCTCCCTGGATCCGCCACACAAAGAGGATCGTTTCTCCGTGTAGTCGGTGATCCACTGACACACGGCTATCCCGCTAAAGGTAATGTGAAGTCTGTTTTTGTTTGCATATTCATTAATATATTGATTTCTATTAATGTATTCATTTATCTATTTATTCATCAACTATAATTCATTTATTTACGTACCCTTTTTGTTGATTAATTTAGTATTTCATTTATCAACTATTATTAATTTATCTTTACTTTCAGAATTATTAATATACATTAATATTTATTGTTTATTTTTTTACTAATCTATTTATTTATTCATTTAGTTCTTTATATATTTATTCGTTCATTTATTTATTAGTTATGATTATGAAGTAAGTTAGTCGGGTTAATTTGTTATTTATGTATTTTTATTTGTTATTGAAACACATTTGTACAGGATAAGCCATGATCACCAAAAAAGTTTAACATCATGGTGTTTATAAAAGAAGATACATTATTTACAAAATATAAATTGCAACAAAACAAACGGAAATCATAGATGCCCGTTACAATCCATTTAAAATAACAACAGCGTATTGAAATCACAAGTATTTATAACATGATGTGCCTACAGAGAGAGGTGGAGGATGGGAGAATGGAGAAAAAGCCCAAACAATCACAAAACTGAAACAAGTTCATGTTGTTGACCTTTAAATTTAAGAACAAAGCAAAATAATCAGAAACAGAGACAAGGCAGACAATTGCATCCAGTCAAACACTGTTGTCGTCAGAATGTGAGAGTTTGTTTGTGTTATTATAAGGAAGGAAACGATTCCCGGATGTGATTCTTCTGGTGATGTATTTAACTGGTGAAAAGAAGGAGTTAAGTCCGACTGTGGGATAGTTTTTAAAGGGATAAATCAGAAAACAAGGACAGGGATAAGTTTGATTGGCCTGGATCCATCTTGAAGAAGGCGGATAGGGGTCGTGCTATCCCATCGACCTGAAACAGACTGTACATAAGATAGAAAGTTGATTATGTAATATTGGAAGGGGGGTGTACTTACCGTCAATGCACCCTACGGTTACGATCAATGAGCTACTCCTGGAACGTGAAACATTGATCGTCTCGGGGACTGTGTTCATCAGTTTGGTTATCAGGGATTATCTAAAAATGCATCTTAATGTTCGCTGGGTCATTCAAATAATGACGACACAGATATGTGACATATTATGTAAGATGACCTTACAGATGTGCTCTACGACAATTGCTATGATACTTTTTCTTCTTTTTGGAATTCTTTCTTCAGTGTTCTCATCCTGCCACTCGATCTTATCATTTGTTAAAAGAATATATAAATAACATAGTGTATATACTTTCTCTCAAGGGTCTACGGGTATCTATTCGGACTGGCGTGTGTGTGTGTGATGGGAGTGTGCGAGTGTGTGTGCTAATTGGAGGAGCCCGGCTAATTATAACAACAACTTTCTCTTTCCAATTTTTGTTTTCTTTTTCTCTATCTCTCTGCCCCAGACTTTGCCTTCCGGGTTTCGCCTAATGAGACCGACATGCCTCGGATACCGGTGCATCCGATCGGTTTCCATGATGCCGAAAAACTATTACAGTAAGAAAATCACTATACGCATAAATGCAAATATAGTGGCGTAGCTACTGGGACACAGGGGCACATCCCCTAACCCCACCCCTTCATGGTTCAAATGAAAAAGAAAAACAGGAAGAATTAGAAAGAATGGGAGTCTACACATGAAGATTAAATGAAGGAAAATGGACCAATGCCCACCCCCTCCCTCAATTAGGTAACCTTGTTAATTCACATGTTCATATAGGCCTACCTGGATTGGTGGCCAAAAAGTGTCCTGACCCCTTAATACCTTGGCGCATGCTATGCCATTTAACACATGGTATTTATTTCCTTCTAAGATCAAACGTATCAATTACTTGCCCTTAATTATTCAAAAATAATACGGCTGGATTGCTCTATTCACAGCCATTAATGATATGACTCTTTTCTTTCTAGAGGTCTAGATGTGTACTAGACGTTGTGTGACAGGGCTAGTTGTGTATCCGGACAGTTTAAGTTAAAATAAAATTTGAAGAAGTTAACATGCGAAAACTTTTTAATCTTTAAAGAATTATGTTAGCCAATATTATATAAAGATGAATATTTATGATGCTTAGTGCTATTTGATGTATAAGTTCCGTTAATATTCGTGGGCGTAGCCAGGGGCACAGCCGCTAAAAGGGTCATCCATGGAAATTAAGTGCCAAGACCTTAACCGACCATTTATCTTTAGCAAGATATATTGTATTTTGTGTGTATCAGTGGCCTAAATTGACGTCACTTTTTTAAATGTGCGAACATTACAAACACGTAATATGTAATCCGAACATGATTTATATGCGAGAATAAGGCCGGGTATGGACATTTTCTCTGAATCAATTTTTTCGAAAGGAGTTGCGATCGTCTTTAATAAGTGCGCGTTTATATCTTGCCAAAGATAAATGGCACCATGTCACGGATCGGACGCATTTTATTCGCATCCTCGGTGAAGCGTATAAATGCTACAATAGTAATATGCAGCTCCTCAATGCCAGCTGAGCTGTGTGACATTCGCCTAGTCATATACCGTAATATCTGTTATGGTTCTATTTTAAAAAGTTATTCATTAGGTGATACGTAACGAAGTCAACGTATCACCTTTTGATTTCGTCAAGATTTTTCTTTATTATTATTATTATTATTATTATTTATTTTTATTATTCTTCCTCGAATTTGTTCGCAGGATATCTCAAGACTGAATAAAGCCATTATCATGAAACTTTCAATGATGATAGATCTTAGTCTAACTTAGAACTGTGTGACTTTTCAGACAGTCAAGGTCATCGTGACGTCATCCAGGCGCCATTTTGTGAAAATCAACTTATGATCATATCTTCATAAAGGAAAGCCATTTTTCATTCATATTTATCATGATTAAACTCAATATCCGTCCGGTCAATTTCAAGTCAATAAATGCGCGCAAAAATGCGCGTACGCTTATGTCCGCGCGTTTACGCGCGCGAAAAAAATTAAAATGCTCCAAATCATCCCAATTTTTTTTTACATCCGTTTCAGGCCATATGGAGCATTTGATAAAAAAATTACGCACACGCGCATGCGCGCGCGTTTTCGCGCGTACTGGCATTTTGCAATATAGAATCGCCGAATTTTTTCTGTCATTATATTTGGTACATTTTTCCAAGCATTTTGATAACTTGTTCACCTTTTATTAACGCAATGAGCGTCCGTCAAAGTTGACAGCACGCGTGGATTTGCGTTATCTTTATCTACAATACATGGGCAAAAACATGCCTATATAAAAGTCATTGTAACTCTTTAGAATAGATAGAAACTCCTAATATTTTTTCATATTTGGATAGATTATGAGTCGGAGATATGATTTCATGTCTCATTTGATCCTCAATTAACTCATGACGTCATCATAATGGCCTCCAAACTCAAATTTTTAATTTGCATATTATGACGTCAGCATATTTTTGGAAAATTGATTGTATCTCTGTAAATATGGATTAATTTTCTTTTTTTAATTTTGATAAGTTCTAGCTGAGACAATTTTCTACAAATGTAATATTCACAATTTTTATTTTTGACAAAAGTATCATGGTGTATTTTTGCAATTAAAGGAGGCATGTCAATTGTTCGCATTTTGCGTGTATTCTCTATGGGACATGACTTTTTCTCAAAACTGGATTCTACACTCCTGTCTTTCGCGATCAAAATCTCCGTTGTTTTAGCTTCGTCTTCGCTGAGCTTCGGATATGTTGTAGCTGAGACAATGAGCTATCAAAAGTGTGCCCTTTATTTTTCGATTAGATGCCGGGATCATGCTCATATTTCACTTGCAAAGTAGGATTTCTGAATTCCATTTCCCGTTTACGTGTAATCGCTATGGGAGATGTTTTGGTATATCGGTAACGCACTTGACTTCCAACCTCGAGATCCCTGGTTCGAGTCCGGGTGTCTCCGACAATTTTTTTTCTTCACTTTTTTTTCCTTTTGACCTTCACTGTACCATCTCCTTTGATTATTTAAACACGTAGAATCGCAAATAATGTCATAAACAACCCTTTTTACTTTATTATTACCCTATTTTCACTTAATCCATTACTTTTTGCGTGTAATCCCTATGGGAGATGACTTTTTCTCAAATCTGGAGTCTACATTCCTGTCTTTTGCGAGCAATATCGCCGTTATTTCGGCTTGGATTTTGTTGATTTTTGAGTATGTTGTAGCTGAGACTATATGCTATCTAAATCAACCCTCATTTTTTCAATAAGATGTCATGATCGCGCTCATGATCATGATCATTATCATCATGATCATCATTATCATAATGATGATAATCATTTATCAATTACATTTTCATTTCTTTGAATAAGATAAAATCGTCAAAAGGTGTTCTTCATGATGTAAATTAGAGTCAAATGTGTAACTGGTTACTGCACAGGGTCAAAGGTCATATATTGTTTCAATCTATCTTCCCTAGATCCATGATGATCAAGGAGACACAATTTAATCTTGACATATGAATAGATCATAAGGGAGAAGCATATAAATGGGAGAAGCATTTTACAAAATAATATATCGTGTAATGCATTATTCGTTATGTAAACCATTATCATACGTATCACCTAATTCGTCTAAGTGACGAATTAAAGTCTAGTTTATTTTCGTTTCTTGTTTTCACAGGGCAATGGGTGGTGAATCACCACCCCATTACTGGATCGGAGGTCTGAATGCAAGCTATAGTCTAGGACCGGGTTTTAAAGGTCCAAATCTGGGAAAGTAAGTCATATAATTTTCTGAGGTTATCTTTGTTTTCTTTAACTGACACCATATTTTTTAAAGTCAATCTTTATTATTTTTTTAATTTTTGTATATGTTGAAAAACGTGATCAATGTCGTCACCAAATGAATAACAAATATGAAGACTTTTCCTGAAAGCTCTGGAAGGGCAATCAAGTGGTTCACTACATCCCATGATAACCGAATAATTACAAATCAGGGGAGACAAACTAAGGAACAAAATATTACCAAGAAACAATTACAAACACGAAATAAACAGGAGAAAATCACATCAATGGTGTATCCATCTATTTCACGTTCGGATGCCGAATCTATAGGAAACGATTTGTTCATGTCCAGATATACGTAAAATCCGGAGAATGGACATCTAATTTGGTATGTCTGTTGGTATTTTGTTTTTAAAATTCTTATTTTGTTTGTGCACCAGCCAAATAATTTGGAATACCTATAAACAGAATGTTACGAATTCTTTTAAGCTCTCCACAGGTTTTCGTTCGTGAATCTTTCTGATCTCCCTTTCACTGTACTATTATTCTGTTTTGTCGTAAGGACTAATATCTGTCTGTATTGTATTTTGGGCTTGGAATTATGAAACACATTTACATGAAAAAATTATATTGACACAGAACTCAACCTATTAAAAGAAACAGTGGAAAAGGAAGGGATAGGATATGCTTTATGTTACAGCAACATTCTGTAACAAGTTACCTACTACATGTATTAGGAAGACATTTAAATCTACTGACCAGTTAAAGAAACCTCTGAAGTCCCATTTATTTTGTTAGAGGTGAATCGATTGAACTGTCTCACTTGGCATATTTTTCGTTTTAGGTGAAATGTTATTGTTTAAGCACGGACCTACAAGTGGCCCAAACATGTGGAACAATTTATGCAGCACCTTGTAACTGCAATGCACAGGCACTACATCAGATATCTTTTACAACATATTGCTCCGGTTGTCTCATTTTCGCTCGCTGAACGTATAATTATAGCAGACGGCAATCGGCGGATTAGACAACATTTGGTAGTGAATTTGTATGTAAGATTGCTTTGCTAAATATAAAAAAAGGGCATTTTCCATATTTTTAAACTATCATTGATATCTGATAATTAATCAGTTATTAAAATAAACCTACCAAACTACATAATGCAATGAAATACATGACTTAAAGTAGGGGAGTTTGATGTGGTGCACAATTGCACCCCTCTGTAAATAATCGAATAGTCCATGGCGACCATGAATATTCATGATTTTGCTTACCTCGGCAGAATGTTTAGCTATACTAAATGGACAAATTAGGGTGGGGGGTTGGATGAAATGGACATAATGAACCGATCAGAACTGATCTATGATAATTCATGCTTATTTACGGTGTTTGAGCTATAACCTTACAATCCCGTGACAAATTGCGTCCAAAGTTCGACTTGTTTCACATGTGTTAGATAGGCAATGGCGAGCTAGCGACCTATTTTGACCAAATTACGGTGAGTGAACTTTCAAAAGTCAATGAGCTAGTGTCAACGTACGTCGGGGTGGATGTGCTTTTCGTTTAAACAAAAAATGATTTTTTTTTTTTTTTAAACGATTTTGGGGGGTAAAAGTCAGTAGGCTAACATGTTAGGCTGCTGGAATCTGACGATAGGGGGCGTTGTCCAATGAGACTATTCGGAGCCATATTTATTTGTAATAGTTATCGAATTACTAGCTCGTTATATTAGGAAAGATGAGAGCATTAAAGGGGTAGGATTCGGGAATAAAGAAATAAAGCAAGTTTTGTATGCAGATGATATTACATTGTTTTTAAAAGATATGGATTCAATTAATAAGGTGAAGAAAGTTTTCAAAAACTTTGAAAAAATAAGTGGATTGAAGATAAATATGGATAAGACAAATTTTATGTGGTTAGGAGAGGAAAGTGATAGGCCGGGTTTACCTTTTTTGGACATAGGGTACAACATATAAAGATCCTAGGGGTATATTTCGCACGTCATTCCAAAATAAAAGATGATTTGAACTATAAGGAAATTTTGAGCAAAATCAAAAGACTAATCGGTTGGTGGAAGCAACGAGATTTAACGATGTTTGGCAAAATTAAATTGTTGAAGATATATGTATTTTCAAAACTAAATTATGTTTGGTCTCTTATGACAGTCCCACAAAACATTTTTGAAGAAAGATTTCTTTTAATTTTATTTGGGGAGGGAGAGACAGAATAAAACGGAAAATATTATATCAAGATTACTGCGCTGGGGGACTCAGAGTAACGAATTTTAAGATATTTATCAAGACTCAGAGAATAATGTGGATCAAACGGTTGCTCTATGGAGAAAAGTATTCAGGTTGGAAAGTAACCTTTGACCACTTTTTCAGATCACTGGGGGGTCGAATTATATTTCTTTGTAATTATGATATAAATAAAATGGACTTGAAGGGTATACTATCTTTTTATAGAGATATGTTGAAGGCATGGCAAGAATTAGATAAATGCAGACACTTTGGAGAAAATAAGAATAATCCGATTATATTTAGCAATAAGTGTATATGTCTCAGCAATAAAACATTTTTTGATGTCGAACTATTTCAGAAAGGTATACTTCAAGCATTAGATATAATTGTCAGAGGTCATTCAAAACCGATCTTACATTTTTTAAATTTGGGTTTTGCAACTAAAAGCTTGCTTAGAATTCAAAAGATCTTTTCAGCAATCAGAAACGAATGGATACAAAGTGATTTTATGGAAGTGGACACTGAAAATTTTGAAATAGAATTGATGATATTTGGACGTTTACAGAAACTATGTGATATAAAATCTAGGCGGTTATTAACTCCGGAAAGCTCCAACACCGGCGCCGGTGTTGGAGCTTCCCGGAGTTAGGCGGTTATATGATTACTTCATTGAAGACCTTCAAAAAGAGTATACATTACATGTTACAGATGGCAACTGTCAATTTGATCTTGGAATGACGGAGTTGAAAGAAACATTCACAAGGATGAAAGGTGCAATGCTTTGTAATAAACATAGAGAGTTTCAATACAAACAATTACAAGGGGCTGTTTATACGAAAAGAGAGCTCTTTAAATTTGGTTTTGAGTCAGACCATTTTTGTTCCTTCTGTAGACTAGAAGTAGAGACATACCAACATTTATTTTTAGATTGTCTTAAAGTTAAAAGATTATGGCAGGAGGTAATTCAAAAGTTACATTTAATCGAAATTGACATTGATGATTGGAAACCCATATTTATGGGAATATCCGGCAATACTACTAGAACATTTGATAAATTGTATCATATTTTTAGTAAAGTATATCATTTTTATTTCTAGAAAAGAAGGAACTTTGCCATCTGTACAGAAAACAGTACATATGCTTAAAAATTACAGAGACGAGGAATACAAAATAACTTCAAAAAGGGGAAACTGGGGATGCACTTACAGAAATGGGAACAAATCGATGCATTTTTACCTTAATGGATGTGGGTATTATGTGGGTATTATTATTAGTAGTAGTATTATTAATTCTCTCTCGTGTACAGGTGGACAAACCGGAACAGGTTGCATGCAGCGTGTGTGTCGGCGTGAAGGGGGTGTGAGATGGGTGGGCTAGGGGGGGGGGGGGGTGAAGAGTTTGTGTGGTGTGAGTTGAGGGAACAGGTTGCATGCAGTGTGTGTTTGTGTTTGTTTGGTTGTTTATGTGTGTGAAAGGGGGTGTGGTGTGGGTGGGTTAGAGGGGTGGGGGTGTGAGAGTGTTGTGATAGGATGGTAATATGTAACTTTAAACCATCCTCTACCGTTATTTTGATTATACACTGTTACATGCAAGACTTTTTTTTTCCTTTTTTTCCCCTCTATGTTCATTGATTAATGTAACTTTATATGAAATGTCTTGTATCAAAGATCTTGTTTAATATTGCTTATCTTGATAACTTCTTGTTATGTGAATTTCTTGCTATGTGAAATTATGAGGAAGGAAATAAAATATCATTTAAAACAAAAAAATCTACACTTTAAACCTTCCTCTACTGTTATTTTGATTATACACTGTTACATGCAACAAAAAAAAATTCCTTTTTTTTCCTATGTTCATTGATTGATGTAACTCATGAAGTGTCTTGTATCAAAGATCTTGTTTTATATTGCTTAATTTGATAATTTCTTGTTATGTGAATTTCTTGTTATGTGAAATTATGAGGAAGGAAATAAAATATCATTTAAAACAAAAAAAATATGTTGATGAAAATCATAATCTTTACATTACTGTCTGATTTTACATTCATAAAAGCCAGGTGAGGTTAGTTGTCAACTCTGTATCTGGGATATATACGACATACAACACCGTGGGGTTCATACGAGGCGAGATAGAACCAGGTAAGTCAATTTTAAGTGTTTACATACAAAATGATATAGAGGTGTCGTAGTGTAGTTGGTTAGTTAAAACGTCTGTACCAGAGTATTTTAAGGGGATGGGCAAGGGGAGTTGCAGTTTGCCCCCTCCTGACAGAAATACAGCCATACTGGTAGTAAACAGGTTTGGAATCATTGTAAGTATCAAAACACACAAAGTGTAGACAGTTCCTGAAAAGACTTCCCTTTTCTTTCTCAAATAATTTATTTTGGGCGAGCCCCCCCCCCCTCCCCTGTACACAAACTAGGGCCCTTATGGATGTTGTTATTATATTCATTTCTGTACTAAAGTTATATGGATCACAGTATAAGTTGAAACGTTTTGCTCCTCCTGAGTCCTGAGGCCAGGCTCTTGATATTTCGGCGGACTGTGAATCACATGGTTCATGGTTCGAGCCAGGCCACATCACCAAGGTCCTTTGACAAGACATTCATCTAAATGTGCCACTCTCTACCCAGGTGAAGTTAATGAGTAGGCGTACCCGGTCGGAAAAATAGTTTTAGCGACCGGGTGAGCAGGATAATAATACATGTAGGCCCCTATAATACTTTGTAGTAAACACAGTAAAGTATATTTGTACAATGGACATATTGAATTCCTAAGCTGTTGTGCAATGATACGCCTCAAATCATAATCTTATAAAGATAATGCCACCGATGCCATCTTATATTTCGCGCAGATCGTTACGTCATCCTCGGTAATCATCGGGATGCATGGGGACTCGGGTCCATCGACCCTACCAGCGGGACAGCCACTCTCCTCGAGATATCCAGGGTCTTCGGTTTGCTGAAAAAAGAAGGTAGAAATGTTTATGTTTGATGAAAGTTATCGCAGAGTAGAAAGGGAGAGGGAAAAGGACAATGAAAGAAACAGAGAGAGAGGGGGGGGGGGGGCGGGAGACAGCAATCAAAATGTATGCATATTAATACCCTGTGGTAGAGATCGATGGGATGCACACAAAACTTATGCATGATGTGAATATTCATATTTTGGAGAGGCAGTTTCAGTTTCAGTTTCAGTTTTGATTTGTTTGAGATCGGAATTGACAAAGGAAGTTAGTCTGTGGTCTACGTTTTCCTTTGATGAACGTGAGTTTAGACAAAATGCACACGTAGGATAAATGCGCTGACGGTCGTACTGCGTCAGCGGCTGGTGTGGTCCGTGACGCACCATTTGAAAGCGGTGTTATTCAAAAAGTGAAGTCAGATAAACTTTACAAAAGTTCGCGCTTGTACCCCTTTTGCTGAAGGGAACTATAGTCAAGTAGTGATGCCTGCAATGGTAAAGAACCAGGGATCTAGGCAATGTGAACAATAAACTGTTATAATGCAAAGAAAAGGGGGAACGCTTACATTGTTATGATCCCCGGCCTCTTGTGTTGTTCATGAGCCTTTGACCTACAAAAGAACACAACCGTTGTATTTAATGCCTGTCGAACACGAGGCGCCAATTTGGTTGCGTTATTTCCTGCGCTAATCACGTCTGAGAAGGCAATTGACCCATTCAATTTGCACTGCCGTTGTATTTAATGCCTGTCGAACACGAGGCGCCAATTTGGTTGCGTTATTTCCTGCGCTAATCACGTCTGAGAAGGCAATTGACCCATTCAATTTGCACTGCTCATTCTAATATACTTGGGCAGAGATGAAAACGATATGAGCGGCATAAAATCTCCCCATTTACCTCCTACAGCGGAGAAATTCCTCTTTAAATTGATTACCAATCATTAATATCTAATAATTTGATATGTGTATATAAGATGTCGCCCTCCCGTGACTTTTCACAATAATAATAACAATAATAATATTCCGCTTATATAGCGCTTAATACAAATGTCTCTAAGCGCTTTACAGATGTAGTATTACCCCGGTCATTGGATTCAGTGCTTGCTCGCACACACTGTGTGCACAACTGTGTGCACAATCTCCACTCCCTGGGGAGCATTCCAGCCAGGCGTTACTCGACGCTCAAAAACTGTTTGACCAACAATGACGGGTCGCATCGAAGCTGACGCAGTGCTACGTCAGTCAGATGACGCCTTGTATGTTAAGACACTATGAACATGACGGACAAAGAAACAGGACAAAATATACAGTTCCTCAGGTAGACAAAGGAACATCCCTTCACTGCTATTATGTAAAAATGTGTAGAACAGGTGTCACATGCATATTCACCTGTTTGACTCATTTTTACATTATGGCAGTGAAGGGATGTTCTTTGTCTACATGAGGAACGGTATATCTTGTCCTCTTTCTTTGTCTGTCATGTTCACAGTGAGAGCTTTATGTTGTTATGCATGTGGTGATTCAATCGATACCGCCTGCTTCAATTTGACAAAGTAATTACAATGCGGATTTGGTTTGCGATACGATGTGGCAGGATTTGATATTAATTTATTCATTATCATAGGTTGGAGACCGAGACGAACGTTGATGTTCTGCTCCTTTGGCGCTGAAGAATTCGGGATAATCGGCTCAGTAGAATGGACGGAGGTAGGTGTTCCCGTGTTTGAAGGAGGGGCGAAAGAGGGGGGCAGTTGGCCCCATCTGATAGATTTCCAAAAGAGGAACCCTTTTTTTATATATACCAGGACCAGGGCAATGTTTGAATTTAAAGATTCGTTTTCAATAACAAGTTACAATAACTGTTATTAATATTAGCTAATGAAATCGTGTCATTTTATTGACGGAGAGCACATTGTCATAGGAATGTAGCCTTTGTAATTGATAACAAGTTTCATGAAAAAGGGCCTTTTAAATTTTAGGGATTCATTTGAGATATATTCTCAAAATTCGTACTTTCTCTTCCGTCTTTGCTTGAGATTATCCTTACAAAGATGAAAAGATGTAAAATCTTGGAAAGGCCACTTCAACTTGTGTATCATAGAATGTACCGCCGTTGCATTTAATGAATGATCATTACATCATTTTCAGGAACATGTATCCAGTATTTGTCTCGATATATTGAACGCTCTTGGACCTAATCATGGCACCACTTTCTTTTTATTTACATAGGAGTTTCGCGACATTCTCTCCGAGCGGACAGTAGCATATATCAACCTGGACATAGCTGTCGCAGGTAAATATCGCTAATATTTATCGTCGAGTCATTTCAAAGTATACTTACTTCATGTCATTTTCCAGCATTTTTACTTAATATTGAAATGATATGAGCACATGGTGACATGAATATAGTCAAGGGGCGAAGACGCAAGATCCTGTGAACAAAGCTATGACATGAATGTTTTGTATGTATATATACACACACACACTTTACATTGCTGTTAATTGTCAGACAGGATGAAAATGCAAGGGGTACTGATGTGAGAAGTAAAAATGGCAGAGATAAAAATTTCTGATGTAGAAATGCCGGAAGTATTTAATTTGAGAGGTAAAAATGCCAGAGGTTAAACTGTCAGAGTTGAGAATGCCAGAGTAAAATACCAGATAATGAAAATCTCAAAGGTTCAAACTTTAAAAGTACATAGGTAAAAATGTCAGAAATAAAAAGGGATGCCTCTTATTTTACCTTTGACGTATATTTTTACCTCTGAAATTCATCTGTTTAATTTTTTTATGCAGATACGTATGTTTTGTATGCCTCATCCTCGCCAAACCTGCGTCAGGTCATCTATGAAGCCACTAAAAAGGTACAGTTGACATTCAACAGTAAGTTTAAATAAATATCACGTTTTACACTGGAGTAAAGAAAGCAAATTGTTCCGTTGACAAGGTAAAAGTATTTGGTGTGAAGGTCTTTATAATGCAAATTCAGATTTTATCGAAATTTAAATTCATTGATTATTGTACAAACATGTAGGATCATTCTCACCTCTCTTTTGACAAAGGATAACAACAATTAGAATTCAATTCTTAAAAATGCAGTTCACAAAGATAATTGAGTGCAAATGTCAAAATGTCAATTTCAACACACAAAAAAACACATACGCTCTCTCTCTCTCTCTCTCTCTCTCTCTTTCTAGCGTCGCCTCTAATTTCAAATAATGTATTTCATATCACGTACTTAAGGTACCGGACCCAGATCCATCTAATACCCGGAAAACCGTTTTTGACACGATGGTAGAGCGGAATCCGAGTTACGACCCCGATTTACCATAGTAAGTATTATCAAATTTATATTACACTTTTTACTTTATCATAAGTAAGATATCTTTTGTAATTTCACCTCCTTTAAATTAGCTTTTTAGATTTGTAAAAGATTTCCTCGGGATATGTAGATTTACAGATTGAAGGAGATTGTGTTATTCTTTGTTGCAACGTACAAATATGATCTTGCATTCAGTTTCAATGACTATACATTCTGCAGACGTTTTACTTTAAGTTTCAGAATAATATATTTGAAAGTATTTAAAAGATGGAAGTGGAATCAACACAATGGCGAGAGCTTATCTATGATGATGTGGGTGGCTTGGGGAAGCCTTTGGGGTCTGGGGGCTGGAGCCTTGAGGGTTCTTGCATTCATTCTCTACATACCTCTCGTAAAAATCTGGGGAAGAGCTAGGAAGGACCCCCCCCCCCCTCCCCCTTCTCCTGCACTATCATAAAGATCGAGAGGTTGTAAAAGATAAACCTGAGGAAATTTCGATATTGTAACAAACTTGTGCACTTTGAAATTGCGAGGTGACACGTATTCGAATTTCGAATTCGAAATTTATTTCAAATTCAATGGGCGCTTATGCCGCCTTTACATGTTTGTTTCCACAGTGTAAATCTCTTACTGGACGGCAGTGACGACTATGCTTTTGAGAAGAGGCTCGGTATATCGTGTATCAGTGGCTACTACATATACGATAGAGTAAGTTCGTGCTTCCATACAATAGGGACTTTTAGATTTGCACGTCAACAGCTTTGACTGCAACGTGTGACATTATTTTAAGGCACTGCGCATGCGTTACGTCGTCTCAGTCGGCGATCGAGAATGCGTCAACCTTGATTTTCCTCAATCTAGTACATACATACACACATACATATTGATATTTATATAGCGCCTTTTCATGCTCAATGTACTTGTATCCCGCGTGCGCATAAAATATACAGTTCCTCAGGTAGACAAAGGAACATCCCTTCCCTGCTATTATGTAAAAATGTGTAAAACAGGTGTCACATGCATATTCACCTGTTCTACACATTTTTACATAATAGCAGTGAAGGGATGATCTTTTGTTGAGGGTAGAATAAGGAACTGTATATTTTGTCCTCTTTCTTTGTCCGTGATGTTCATAGTGTTATGGCCCGGTCCCACTGCACAATACGGATGCAAAGAGGATGTAAAACGTAAAAAAAATCTTGCCATCCGTTGGAAAACGCTATGCATCCGTTGTGTACTCATTGCATACGTGTTTCATACGCTCTATCCATCGAGCATCCGTCCACTGTGATTTCATCCGCGCAAAAAGTTTTGAGCTGCACAAGACTTTTAGAACAGATGAACTTTCCGCCGTGTACGATGTTAATCCGCGACAAATACGAGCAACAAACGTTCTATGTCCGTTATCATCCGTTCAACGTCCGCTGTATCGTCTCTGCATCCTCGCAACTCACATCCGCTGCAGCTGTAAACGGAAAGAGGGAGGAAAGATAAGGTACATGGAACATCTATACATCGTTAGTAGCACGGAAATAGAAAGGATGTAAGCGTATGCATCTCGTATAGAAAGTATTCAAAACGGACAAAGCGTTTGTATCTGGGATGTATCTCGTATATTTAGGATGTCTAGAGTATGTAGAAAGACACCTAGCGGACAACCGGTATTTTGTATGAAAAGGGGGAGAAAATCATCTGGATCTCAGTATGAGTCGAGCAGCCGTGGTGTACAGACCTCATCACCCTTGGTCTTGGTCTTCAACATCATCATCATTTGTTCTCCACCATGGATGATCAAAGAGTCCATATGATAGCTGCACTCATTCAACAGCAGAACCACAACCTGTTCAGACTGTATCAAACAAAAAAATGCAAAGTTTTAACCATTTTTTCAAAGTTTTTACCAACACTTTATTGAGTAAACAAAAAATGCAAAGTTTTAACCATTTTTTCAAAGTTTTTACCAACACTTTATTAAGTAAACAAAACATTTGTATAAGTAAACAATGCTGCTCACAAGTGTTCACAACAAGTGTTTCAAAGTTTTTACCAACACTTTATTAAGTAAACAAAAAGGTATGCAAAGTTTTAGCCATTTTTTCAAAGTTTTTATCAACACTTTACAAAGTAAAAAACATTTTTATAAGTAAACAATGCTGCTCACAACAAGTGTTTCAAAGTTTTTACCAACACTTTATTAAGTAAAAAAAAAAAAAATGCAAAGCTTTAGCCAATTTTTCAAAATTTTTACCAACACTTTATTAAGTAAACAAAACATTTGTATAAGTAAACAATGCTGCTCACCAGTGTTCACAACAAGTGTTTCAAAGTTTTTACCACCACTTTATTAAGTAAACAAAAAGGTATGCAAAGTTTTAGACATTTTTTAAAAGTTTTTATCAACACTTTACAAAGTAAAAAACAATTTTGTAAGTAAACAATGCTGCTCACAACAAGTGTTTTAAAGTTTTTACCAACACAAAAAAATGCAAAGTCAACAAAAAAATGCAAAGTTTTAGCCAATTTTTCAAAGTTGTTGTCAACACTTTATTAAGTAAACAAAACATTTGTATAAGTAAACAATGCTGCTCACAAGTGTTCACAACAAGTGTTCACAATCACAACTCAGTCTCTCAAACTATTCTGAGTCACTCTGAGTTATGTCCATGGTCTCAGCTGTGAGGCGTAAGGCAGTGACTGTGGCTGTGCTTGGCCTCGATGGTACAGCAGGTGGTGGTGTGGTCAGGAGTGGCTCTAGGGTGGAGGAAGGGTTGGGATGAGTGTGCTGGGGCTGTCTGGTCTGCAGCTGGGTGAGGAGTGGCGTCTGTGGCGTCCGATGAACATGGGCCTGGACTGGAAAGTTCTGCTTCTGCTGTGGGAAGTCGTGGTAGTCGTAGCCTTGGTAGGTGAGGGGCTGTTGAAAGCCGTGGAAGGGCTGTGACGTCGCCTGGGGTGTCCAAGTCGACCAGCTGAGAGAGAAGTTCTGTGCTGGTCTTCATTGTGTCCCTGATCTTCAACAGCACACTGTCGTCCTGTCCCTCCAGTCTATCTCTCTGCCTGCGTCCTCTGGATCTGGTGGTGGAGGTGGGGATGGGTTGGCCTCTGGTGGCTGCCGCTTGTTCCTCCATTTGTGACAGCACGGCGTCATCCTCCACGGGATCCTCCAAGTTCGGCACCATGGGGAGTTCAGCTGTCGAGGGCTCATGGCTTGAAGATGTCTGGCTGTCTGTGGGCTGTCTGAGGGAGAGGGGTCTCAGAGGGGCTGCTCCTCGGTGGCGGATCTCACCCTCCAGGAAACTGCACTTGGCCATGACGTACTTCTCCCGGTCAGTGAGCTTGACGGCGGCCTGCTCGGATTTCTTGAGGTGTAGCTTCCCATACCAGGAGTGCATGTGCTTCCACCATCCAAGGAGTACTTCTGCAGTGTACCCCAGGCTCTCTGCCTTGTCTCTCCAAGCTGCCTGCTTCTTCTTGGTGTCCCGATACAGTCTGTGGCCCTTTCTCCAGAGGTACTCGTTCTCCCTCAGCCATTCCATCACATCGTCCTCATGCTCCTTGGAAACGGTGTACTGTTTCCTCTCTCCCTTCTTCTTCTCTAATTGCCTCTTCCTCCCTCTGGCTGGAGCTTGTTCAGGGCCTTCAGGGGCTTCAGCAGGGCCTTCATGGGCTTGAACATCAGAGCCTTCAGGGGCTTGGACATCAGGGCCTTCTGGGGCTTGAACATCAGGGCCTTGAGCAGCAGGGCTTTGAGGGGCTTGAGGGCCTTGGGGCTGGTCCACCACCACAGCAGCAGCTTCACCATCAAACTCAGTGTCAGGGGGTGGGGTGCTGGTTCTGGCCTTCTTCACCTTGCCAGGGCTTGAACGAGTAGGCACGGATTTCCTTTTCTTGCCTGACTGACGTACCATGGTGTTGATACAAGAGGTAGTATAGAGATGTATCAATGTAGCCTTCTTCAATAACGAGATGTAGTAGAGATGTATCAATGTAGCCGCCAGTACGTCTTTCCGCTTTATGCTGACTGCGTGTATGTGTGTGACCATGGACGTAAATCTGTAATTGATACCTATTGTTCAGGGGGGATGATCTATTCATTCACCCCCCTGAACAATAGGTATTACGTAAGGATTGAGGCCCATGTGTGTAATAGGGTTTTTACGGACGTGTATCAATCAGATATGATTATTCGCGTCTGGGGACCGACCTTTTGTGCGTGCTGCATCCCTTTATATCCACAGAGCGGACGCAATTCATACCCCCCGCATGCGCAGTGAACGGTTTGCATCCTATAAACATCCGCTCGGCATCCCCTTTGTTTCCGTTAGGTGTACGTGATGCATCCGCTTTATCCGCTATGCATCCGCTCTTTCCGCTATGCGTCCGTTTCGTAATTATTTCCGGAAACCCCTTCGGAGCTGTCATCCACTTCCATCCGCTTTCATCCGCTAGGCTTCCGATGAACATTCGTTTAACATCCCCGCTACATACTACCCACGTCCGTTCTTTTCCGTTCTGTTTTCGCAAATTTTCGCAAATTTTGTCCATTTCTGGAGCGGATGAAAACGGATGGAGCCTCCTCCGAAATTTTGCTCGTCCGCTGTGTCCGTTATGCATACGTTTTGTGTCCATCGGCCAGTGGGACCGGGCCTTTACTTCCTGCATGCATGTATATCGTCGAGTGCAATCTAAAAGATTTCTAATTGTAGTCAACATGGGCAGTTAAGTACGTTGACACGCATGATCAGTCGGCGTTCGTCGTGTTCTCGTCCACTCAATCTAAAAGTCCCTAGTGTTTCCAAACGTTGACACTTCTGGCCAAAACCTCATTCTTGTTTTAAATTGAAACGCTTTAAAATGCTAAACACGTTTGGTGGGGGGGGGGGGGGGATTGGGTCGGAACAAAATATGTCTTCATCTCTTTTCGTGTAGAAATAAAACTGTGTATTATTCTGACTATGTAAAGGAACTTAAAGTAGACTCTCCGGATTTCGTTAATTTTTGGCATTTTCAAGTTAAAGTTAAAGTGTTTAATTTGGACTGAAATTAATGCTGAAATGCCTGAAAATGAGATTTCGCGTTAGAAAAACTGCTAGATATCACTTTGCCTGAATTGCATAATTCATATCAGACGAGTTATTAGTACCATCGCTATGCACCTAGGTCGGGACTAGTTTTTGTTATCCTGTTAGCTGTTGTACCTTATTTCTTTGAACTAAAATTTGGCAGTTCTTTTATTGATGGACAACCGTAAACATGCAGTTAAACTCTCTCTTTGTAACTTTCACTCAGTTTTCTTTTTACATTTTAATCATAATACTTTGAACTGATGTTGAAGCAAATCTCGTTTGAAAGGTATAGACCAGTTCTGGTCATGCGATTGCATTGTGAGAGAAACGTTGTGGAATCGATCAGAAAAGGTTGATCATCTAGCATATAAGTATTGGTGTGTACTGCAAGGTTCTGGAATCATCAAAGTGATAAGAAATTTGTCCCGGTCTTGGTAAAGTTACAAGCACTGTACAAGCACTGTACACAGAAAGATGTATATGGGACTACGCGACACGTGCGCGATATATATCCGGTCCGGATAGATATATTCATTTACCAAATATTTCAATCAGTTGGCGGTTTCCCTGTAAAATTTGTATCATCACGTATTAGTCAAAACATATTCTTTCACATGATTGGTAATAAGAGCTTCCATTTCATGTTTTGAGAGGAGAGCGTTTCCAAAACTGGTCTATACCACGGTTAATTCAGGTGTCAAAACATTTCAAACTATTTTTCTTCCTTTCTTCTTTTTCGTCAGAACACGCTACCCATATTTATCTACTCTCTCTACCATACACAATATGAGACCGTTCGACTTATGGAGACTTTCATCGATCCTGAATACAAATACCACCAGGCGATTGGGAGAGTATTCGCTGAAATGGCTCGCATCCTCTCTGAAAGCTTGGTGTTGCCCTTTGATAGTTTAAGCTTAGTCCAGGAAGTCAATGACATGTGGCACTATGGTTTGGTGAATACCACTCTATCGAAGGCTATTGAAGACCACGGCATCACATTAGGTACTTTGCATGGCCCTAAGAAGCGGGGGTGCGGGGGAATTTTTCAGGGGCTGCATAGCATCCCCTGCCAAAAAAAATTGTATGATATATTTAGGTATATCATTTATGCTTCGTTTACGAAATTGATATATCTCAGCACCCCCGGTGAGAAAATCGTTCCCAGGGCCCTGGTACTTTGTATCCTTCAGACGATAGGAGGAGAAGGTTGAGTTCTGGGCCCCGTTGCATGAAACTAACCATTAAAGGTAAATTTGCCATTATGGTAACTTCCATGGAAACCCTTGATGTAATTGGCTGTTGATTGATGATATCATGGCAGTTAAAGGAATTGCAAAGTCTTGGGAAAATTTGAAAATTGGATGGATAGTAATTTTTTTTGTATGTATTATAAGCACCAGAAAAATTAGCCCCTAAAACACTTCTGCTTTCGAGAAATTTAATAATCAAATTTTACCGGTGCTCCCGGTAAATTTCAAATATTTCAAATAGCGCCCAAGGCCATTTCATGGTAGCTGCGACCATGAATATCTCGGGACATTCAGTTCTGATATATAATTTCCAAACGGGAATACCAAATCGGTCGATTGTAGTCAAATAACATTGTTTTAAAGCTTAAGTAATATCAGTCTTGAGAGTTGCGCTATACAACATAAAGAGTTTATAATTTTTAATTTCATCACTTTAGACTCGATTTTAACCGCGACAACGATCACTGAATATTGTAAAATTGCATATGCTTCCAATATGTTCATTTGAACCGAATTCATGACCCCATATCAAACTTTGTATTACCTTTAATGGTAACTTCCATGGAACCCTTGATGTGATTGGCTGTTGGTTGATGATATCATGGTAGTTAATATTGATGGCAAAATTACCATCAATGTTAAGTTTTATGCAACAGGCCCTGGTCAAGTGGGAAAATAATTCTGAGCATTCCTAATTTCATATTATATTAAATTTTATTTCTCTCTCACTCTCTCTCTTTCTCTATCTTTCTCCATGCCTCTCTCTCTCTCTCTCTCTCCGATCTGTCTCTTGTCTATAACATCTCACGTCTCCCCTGTTTCTCTCTCTCTCTCTCTCTCTCTTTCTTCTTCTGATTTATGTAGTGTGCACCTTTGTTTTTGTCTTGTTTTGTCCTGTCATGTCTTGTTTGGCCTTGTCCTGTCATGTCTTGTTTATCTTGTCCTGTTATGAATTGTTTTGTCATGTCTTGTCTTATCTTATTACCGTCAGTTTCCTGTCCTTTGTGTCCCGTTGTGTAATTATGTTCTTTTTGTATATTTCGATTATTTAAATACTCTAAAAGGGTTTATGAAAATATGTTATTATATTATATCTATTTAAGTGTGATTATTAAGACAATTCAAAATGATTCATGGAAATAAGGTTCATATTTTATTTATCATTTGGAACCTACAAAAACAAGCTATGCTTTCCAGTAAGTTCCGGTTTCATTTCATAATTTTGAACTTACTTGGTAAACTTTGTTCTTTATTGTGCAAACAATTATTATTATGAAATGAAATAAAATCGATCAATCAATTAACCAAACAGTCATCATCTTACTGACATTAACATTTTACACTATTCTTTTCTTCTGCTTTCCTTATAAGCATGTCTTCAAAATGCAGTGTATAGACTTTGGGAAAACGCTCAAGAATTTCAAAGAAGAGTTAACACTGTTAACACAAAAAGGTAAAGTATTTTTTTCTCCATATCAAAGAGAGACAGTTTTATGTTAAAAAAATAAAGCAGATTATTTCCACTTGGGCCCCCACCCATCCCCAATCCCAGAGCCAGAGAATCCTGTTCCCGCCAATTATATATTATACCAGAAATTATTAACCGGGATCCTATTGCTTTTCTTTTGTTTCTTTGTTGTTGATTTTTAAGGATCATTCTCAATTTTTTTTTGACAAATGATAATTGAAATAAAGAGTTTAGTGTAGCAAGACAATTCCTTCAATTCTATATGAAACACAACTTATTCAATTGTATATGATTCTTAAATCGTTTGCATTGTCTACTACATACAGTTTTCACACTCGGTTCAATGAAGTGTATCCTATTTTATATTCAATATCACAGAAACCGTTAAAGTTATTTTAACGTTTGGTGTATGATATGTTTATGTTTTATGTTACATGACTCATTGAAATACAGCCGGGAGCTGATAAGTGAAATAAATGTAATTGAATATTGGGAGTTGCATTGCGCGACTTCAGCCAATACTGAGTTAATGACAACTTGTTTTGAAGAGTCATGGGACTGGCCAAGAGTTACTGAAAATGAACTTGTATTACTTACTTTGAATTTCTCGAATATGATGCCTTGTTTGGTAAAAAAAGAGCGTGCCTTTTTCTTTCTGAAATGTGGATCTTTTCTAACTGTGCTCTTCCCTACGGCATGTTCAACGGCATCCATCATGTCTATACGGAGCCTAATCTTATCAGCATTATTCTGTGTTCATGTTAAATTCAATTTAATTTTAAAACATTAATACTGCATTTTGTTTAATCAAGTGCCTTGGATGTAAGGCGAATCAACGACCAGATGATGCTGCTTAGTAGGGCATTTCTAGGAGATCTTCCAGGAAACAATCTAGATAGGTAAGCTGGTTGTATATATTTCTTATCTTCAAAGAACATTGTAAACACTATGTGAGATACTTGGGACTGGTAAAAAAAATAGTGACAATGGATATTTTCATGGTGCTTACGTATAATTCACCACGCAAGATAAAGGCGCTCCATTATTGCATTGGCTCTAGGTAGGCTACCTATTGCAGTGCTCATAACATTTACAGCCCCACTGCACTCATTATAGCTACTTGCGCCCTCTATATAGCAAACAATGCCCAATCGGTGCCGGTTGGTCCCCCATGATCCTCCTTTTCTTATGTTAATTGAGAGCCGACTTGATGAGATAACCACCTCTCAGTGAATTTGCAGGGAGGTCTAATCCCCCTGGCCAAACGAGTACAGACGGGCTTTTAGTCTTTCTACCGATACCTTTTTAAACATACACTTTGCCGCTCTATTGATTGGCAAATGTTACATTGTCTTGCAAAAAAAAAAAGGAGTGCCACACCGGGACTCGAACCCACGACTTTCGCATTTACCAGTCAAATGTTTGGATTGCCAATAAAACAAACCAGTCTTTTCAAGATCCATTTTTAGGTTTCTTTTTGTACGATATCACTTTCGCGTGGTGCGTCAATGCCCGTTCGTAAGTGGCAGCGGCTGACGCAGTCATACGTCAGACAAATGACGCCGCGTGTGCAACAGGCATATTAAGGTTGCGGTAAGGTTGGGAGAGATGTGAGTTGGTCTAGCGGTAATGTCCGTGGTACGATCAGGGGCCCGTTTCACGAAGCCTTTTTTCAATGACAAAATCAGTGACAAATCTGCTGATAACCAATCAGAAGCAGGGATTTCAGTAGCTTATAACAAAATCTGTTATTTGTCACTGATGACAAATTTGGTGAAATGGGGCCCAGTTCTCAGTTTTCGGCTACAAACTGACTCAGATAGGACGCAAGGTCAAAAATAAGTCACGTATGTTCAGATGGTTACGGTTTAAAAGTCGGCCCACACGTAAATAATCATTTCTGATTGATACCGAGGTTTAAGCTGGCTCCACCTTTTCGCTGGATACGCCACACCCCAAGCGTTAAAGGATCATGGGGGACCAACAGGCACCGATTGGGGAAGTTTTCTATATAGAGGGAGCAAGTAACTACAAGTAGGACAGTGGGGGTTTAAAATGTGGCCTAACGTCAGAAATGGTCGGCATGGCCGCAGTCGGCGAGCCAAGGTACGTCGGCAAAACGTTGCACCACATGTTGATCGTAACTGTAAGGCATATTTGTCACAATTGAGCCAACTTTGGCAAGATAAACACAGAGACTTTCGCCTGCTGTCACATTTTCGACGTAGGCCCAACATTATATCGTCTAACCAATTGTCTCGATGAAACTCTTTATTTCCTGGTAAGTTATTAAAATTTCAGAATCACTTTTACATACTCATACAGGCATCTGATTTTTTCACCGCGGGTGACCGTGCCGCGAAGCACCGAGGATGTGCCCTACACCTTCCCTGGAATCCTCGATGCCATGCACGATATCGCTGATGACCCCGATCAGGAACACCGCTGGAGGGTCGTAGAGCAGCAGGTCGCCATATTAACACATGCCGTCGAGGCCGCCACCTCCGTACTGAAGGATGTTACGTCATGGTGACGTCACATGATTGCAATAGCAATAAATTTTCGACAGGACACTAATTAGACACTCTAAAGGAAAGAGGCTTTTGTGGCATGCATTTAATGCCTCAAAAGTCAATGAAAATTGTCGATCTTTTTTAATCTCTCCTTTATATATCTTCTACCAGTGAATTACTTTGACCGATATGGGAGAACGAGATCGTAAAGCCACCTTGCAATCAAACCCTGCAATCCAAACAATTTAACAAGATTTTCAAAGAAATTATAGGATGTCCGATAGATAGCATATTTTTAGAATCACGAATTGACCCGAAATCAAATCTTGAAAATCTATATTTTGTAAAGATCGATTTTTTAAAATAGATCCTTTGGAGAATGGACGATTTGCTATTGAGTGCGACAATAAGCATTGTAATGTTCTATCATCGCAGTGAATTTTCTAAAATGTTTGTGAAAAGTACCATGAGGCCTACTCTATATATTTACATTAATGTATTTACTGTGGTGAAGATGTGACAGGGGCGGATCCAGCCGGCGGCAAGGGAGGGGGCCAAAGAGGGGGCCAAAAAAATGAGTAGTGAGCACTATTTTTGTTTTGTGCTCTACGAGGGGGGAGGGGGAATAGTGCCCACTATTTTTGTTTAAACTCAACAACCACCCCCCCCCCGTCTTTTATAAACAAAAAAAAAGGTAAAATAACGTGTTTTTATCTGAGTTTTTTTTTGCCAGGGGAGGGGTCCCGCCCCCCACCCCCCCCCCCCCTGGATCCGCCACTGAGATATGATGTCTTCTAAACTATGCAAACACTGCTTCGGTCTTCAAATATCTACGCTTAGTAGCATGATTAAACATTATTTAACATTGAAATAATTAATTTATTAATTAATTACTACCGACAGATCTGCTTCAAGTATACTGTGAAACATTTCTATTTTTTTCTCACTAAAATATGCATGAAGCTAAAATATGTTCGAAAATCCAAATACTACGTCTAGATCATTTAAATTTATTTTTATTAGAAAGTACAACAAGGAATCTTATTATCTGTCATGATGGATAATTGTTATATATTTTCCTTTTTTTATAATAGAGGAGTCGTGGTGGTCTAGTGAATTCGTCACCGGACTGCTGATGACATAGTTCACAGGTCGAGTTCCGCCGCGGTACTAATGTCCTTTGGCAAAACATTTAATTACACTTGCCACTCTCCACCCAGATGTAGTAAATGGGTACCTGGGGGGGGGGCGTTTCATGAAACAATAAGTCGGTGGTTTCCACCGACTAACATCATGTTCACCGACAATTCTTTTGTCACCGACTATATTCCGGTCCTCTGATTGGTCAAATGTAGTCAGCGCTGACTAAATTGTCGGTGAACATGATATTAGTCGATGAAAACCATCGACTAATTGTTTCGTGAACGCCCCCCCCCCCTGGAATGCTTTTAGCGCCTTAGGGCAGCTGGGTTAAAGCCAGGGTAAAATATTTCTTTGTAGGCGCCTTGAGCATCCCCTGAGACGGATAAGTGTTCAATATAAATGTACCTATAACTATTATTATTATTTTGTTATCATTTTCATTATCTTCATCCTTATTATTATTTCTATCATTATTTTATGATTTTGATTATGATTACCATTGTACAGATTATGTAGTGTAATTTTCTTATGTGTAATATTGTAATATGAATTTGTGTAAAACTTTGTTATGTTTTTGTAAACAATTTTGTTGTGTATTCGGTAGAAGAAGAAGATCGGTAGAAAAATAAATGAACCTGAACTTGAAATTACATACTGTTTCTTCGATAAATGTTATGTCTAGGCTTAAATGTTCAACATTAATAATCCACTTTAATATTAGTCAGTATAATGAAATTGGTCACAATTAATTTCGATTTTCAAACGTTGAGATGTCCCACAAAATTCTTGTTTTAAATTACATGGATGGAGGTGTCTTGGACGAGTGGACACGTCGCCGGATTGTGGATCACAAGGTCCGCGGTTCGAGTCCCGCCCGCGACACTTATGTCCTTTGGCAAGAAATTAATTTACATTTGCACACTCGACCCAGGTGATGTAAGTGGATACCTGGCAGGAATTAATTCCTTGAAATGCTAGAGCAGCGTAATGGCAGCCATGCTAAAGCCGGGGTAATAATTGCGGAACGCGAGGAGTGTCAAGTCTGACAGATAATTATGAGCGCTATACAAGAACCCACTATTATCATTATTATGTGTGTTCCGGATAGACCTCGACCTTTTCAGTCTATTGTGCTAACAAATCATTATATACATAATATATAAAGCTTTCTTTCTTTATCTTATTCTCCCCATCCTCTCTCTCTCTCTCACTCACTCTCTCTCTCTCTCTCATACTCTCACTCTCCCTCAATCTTTATTTCTCTCTCTCTCTCCTCCTTCTCTCTTCTCTCTAAATCTCCCTCCTCCCTTCCTCTTCTACCTCTCTCTCTCTCTCTCTCCTTCCCTTCCACTAGTCATTCATTAGTTTAGTTTAGTTAGTTTAGATATCTTTAAAATATTTTTAAAATATATAGTGTGTCACAGCTTCCACTATCAGAAAACAATATATCTTACAACATCATTTTATTCAAATTGAGTTCCCATTGTAGTAGAAATAACAATCATAAAATTGTAAAATATTTGTAAGCTGACTCTGGCTTATATGCGTTCAGATTTTTGTTTTGTTAGCTTATTTGTTTGATTGTTTGTTTGTTTGTTTGTTTGGTTTCGTATCATGTTTTGTCTTTAATCATAGCCATGTTACGTGCATATGAAAGCATCAACATCACAATTGCACAATACACATGAACAATGTTGGCATCTAGTATACTGTAATCATCCTCATTAAAAGCTAAACGAACATTGAGTTCTAAGTGTATGAAAAAAGCTCGAGCTATAGTATTGATTCATGCAGAACTGCTTGATAACACCACGCTGTATAGGTGCACATGTTCATCTTATCGTGAATATTTGTCTCTTAATAAATATAGGGGTCCATCCACATTTTAAAAACCTACCAAATTAAACATTGATCGACGAATACATATATCAATTTAGACTGCTATATATTGATTGTATTTGGTACATTGTGTTTTGTTAATGCAAGTAGATCTACGCCAATTTGCTGTGTTTTGATGGATCAAAGTAATTAATAGACAAATGATCATATATTATAGGGTGTATATACACTCAATCGAAGATCCAATTTATTTCCAAATGTTAGATCAACCTTTTTATATGCTGGATTCATCCTTTATACTGTAGGATTGGGCCTGCATGACATGTTTAAAGTGTTAAAGCCCCTCTAAAGTGTTGGAGGCCCCAAAAATTTGATAGCAAAATTTCACTTAAAGTGTATCATGATGTGAAAGAGGTATCATTTAAGACACATTTCTGCAAGGGTTTTCCCCAAAAAATGTGTTTGAAGTCGAAAATTGATGAAAGAATACAAAATTTCGGTTTTCTGCGTACAATTAAAACCTCAAATTATGGATTCCTCTGATCAATATTTGTCTTCAAACACATTTTTTCGGGGGCAATCGATCACACAATGTAATCAATGCTATCTTGATATTTAGCTACATAAATAATGGATAGGCGAATGTGTATAAGTATACGTACAGTAACGGGAGAACCATGGTAACGAAAGGTCTGTGAGAACCATGGTAACAAAAGGTGTGAGAGAGCCATGTTAACGAAACGTACGGGAGAACCATGGTAACCGAGAACCATGAGAACCATGGTAACCATGGTACTGAAAACCATGGTAATACCATGGTGTTTTTTTTTTAGGGTATAGTTGTATAGTTGTGTGAATAATGGCCTGTTAAGCCCGTTATAAGCGACCCGGCTTGTTTACATTCGCATATTATCGGATGGTATGCCATTTTCCTGGCTCCAGTCTAAGCAGACCGAATTTTGAAATAATGTAAGTATAAAACGCGTGTATTAACACGGTATTCGTCTGGCTTATATTACATTTCATTTCGAACGACATTATTTCCTAAAATTACTATATACAGCCTGTTTACGTATGTCTGGTACAACTAACGTACTTGTATATAATTTGGCAGAGAACGGTAGGCCTATGTGTTGTCCATACATGCATTTTTTCAAAGTCATGGCGTACGTGCAGGTACGTGCCTTGTCGCACTTGCTTCGGGGCACGAATATAATTCAATGCAATCCAGTATTGAGTGTGTGCATATACTATTTGTATGTTACAGTATGTTCTTGTTTGGTGGTTTTTATTCATTCACCATGTTAAATAATTGTTTATGGATAATAAAATTCAGTGATTTACATCGAGATATAATAAATAGTAGGAACAGTGAATAAACGAAAAATGTTTGAAGCGCAACGTCCCTAAGATAACATAGCTGATAATTATTAGGTTGAGATAGAACATGGCTTGAAATAAGACATTCTGTCATTACAACAACAAAAAATATATATAAAATAAAAGTTTAAATCAAAATCATGCCCCTTAACAATAACAAGCAAAACAAGGGAATACACATCATTTACCTCTTCTTGACAAAAGATAGCACTATTATAGTGTACCTCAAAACGTAACACACATATTTGGAAAGAAATAATTCCTTCAGTTTCTCTTTATTAGTAACAAAAGGTTATTACAAGTTCGTATATCAGGTGGCAATAGGTTCCAAATAAATGTTCCAAAAAATGGAGTATTCATTTGTAAATGTCTAACCATAGTTCTGTTAGCTGAAATTCAGTACACTATACTTTAGAATTTTTGTAACTTGGTATGGCTACTTTTGAATAGCATGCAAACGAATACTTTAATAGGCCTCTTGCTCAGCCGTAGGCCTACCCGTAAGGGTTATTTTAGCTGATAAGTATACATAGCCCTATTATGAATTATTAACTAGAAAATTGATAAAAATGTGCCTCAGTCTGATAAGTATACATAGCCCTATTATGAATTATTAACTAGAACATTGATGCCAATGTGCCTCAGAAAAAACTCGAGAAAAATCATGTACGTGTTCATGCCAGGACAGGCACTGATCAATATAAATGCCTAGGAATTTGGTAATTTTCTTTCGTTGAATGGTGATGCTATCTATTTTAAATGGAATATTAGTTTGTAAATGTCTAACGATAGTTCTGTTAGCTGAAATTCAGTACACTATACTTTAGAATGTGTGTAACTTTGTATGGCTACTTTTGAATAGCATGCATAAAAATACCTTTATATGCCTTTTGCTCAGCCGTAGGTCTACCCGTAAGGGTTAGTTTAGCTGATAAGTATACAGCCCTATTATGAATTATTAACTAGAAAATTGATGCCAATGTGCCTCAGTGTGACCCCCCCCCCCCCCCCCCCCCCCCATAATACCGGATCGGATTAACACGCTTGTAAAATGATGATAATCGTATTGACGATGATGGAGGTATATCTCACCCGCCATGAAGAGTTCATAGTCTGCAAGCACAGACTCGAATTTGACACTTTACCGCAATTCCGAAAGCCTTGAGCTGGCCTAGATCTGTCAGTTTCTGGAGGTGTCAAATCTGCTATACTTGAGAGCCTATTGTAGGCTCATCGTGCGGACACTGTTACGCACGGCTGTCAAGGGTTGGTGCCTGCAAACTATACTTTCCATGCTATGCAGACAAACGCGAACTGCCTTACTTGAAGATGATGATGATGATGATCATGACCATGATCATGATATTTGAAGGTGAAAATGATGATTACGATATTGATGTGGTGATGACGATATAACGGTGATATTATTGATATAACAATGACAATGATGATGGTGGTGATAGTGATGATGATGATAATGACGATGTTGATGTGATGATGTCGCTGAAATATGATGATGACAATGAAGATGATGATGACAATGAAGATACTGATGACGAAGGAGGTGATGATGATATCATTATAGCCTTAGCCCTATCGTAATTCCTGATAAAGTCTCGTACGACTGTTCTCAGTTTTATATTCATTTAGTTTCTCAAATACATTATCGTAGGCACTCGGAAACATACTGTTAAAGATATGTAATAGTTTTACCTTTATTAGTTATGATGCATTTGAAAATTTGCTTGATTTCACACAATTTTTTTCCTCAGATTATTCACTGGACAGTCCAGGGACAAGAAAATAAAATCCTTCTCTTCAAAATGTGGACTAATAATACACTGCAAGATCTCCCCAGAAATTTTGGCTACGTGATCCTCACAGCCGTGGCCAGTGCCTTCATGGTCGGCTATCTTGCTGAAAGAGTCGCTTTTGCTCGTAAGGCACTTAAAGTAAAGGTGAGAAAATAATTCATCTGGAATGAAGATGTCACCATGAAGATGACGGACAAAGAAAGAGGACAAAATATACAGTTCCTCAGGTAGACAAAGGAACATCCCTTCACTGCTATAATGTAAAAGTGTGTAGAACAGGTGAATATGCATGTGACACCTTTTCTACACATTTTTACATAATAGCAGTGAAGGGATGTTCCTTTGTCTACCACAGCAATTGTTGAGGGTAGATCATGAGTAACTGTATATTTTGTCCTCTTTCTTTGTCCGTCATGTTCATAATGTGTAGCACCCCCTGCCCCCTGCCCCGCCTCTCTTTCTCTCAAAGCTATAAGCCACTTTAGAGATAGCACTTGTACAAGTCAGACTTTGTGTATTTTAGAATAATCACTGCCAAAATGACGGTGCTTCATGAATACCCTCTATTCACTATGAACATGACGGACAAAAAAAAGAGGACAAAATATACAGTTCCTCATTCTACCCTCAACAATTGCTGTGGTAGACAGAGGAACATCCCTTCACTGCTATTATGTAAAAATGTGTAGAACAGCTGTCGCATGCATATTCACCTGTTCTATTCATTTTTATATAATAGCAGTGAAGGTATGTTCCTTTGTCTACCTGAGGAACTGTATATTTTGTCCTTTTTCTTTGTCCGTCATGTTCATAGTGATTTGCTCCCTGGATAAGACTGCTTTCACCTGTCATCCGTAGAATGTACCGGCGGTGCATAAATGACAGATTACGTAACTATCATGAACAAGTATCCAGCAGTCGTCTCGATGGGTTTTACTGTAAACCGGTTTACTGGCATATTTCAAATTGTATACATGCTTTTTAAACAAAGGTTGTTCTTAACAACCTGAAAACTTGCCCGAGGCTTGCCCGACATAGCAACTAGTAATTTATGCGGACTTGATTCCAAGTCGTTCATTTATTAATAACAGATTAATGGAATAAGTCGTCTCTAGGTCCCCAAGAAAGAAACGCCATAAATTCGAATATGTTACTAGTAAACCGGTCTATTTTGGTACAAATGACCTGTACCTGCCCATGCGCAGATTGTATCTCCAAAGTGGCCTAATTCGTTGAATTTGGAGACCCCATTGCTCGCAAGGTACATAAAGCAGAGAAAAGAAACCCACTGTACTTAATGTTTAACTTGGAATGAAGCCCCCCTCCCTCCCCCTCACTCACTCTCTCTCTCTCTCTCTCTCTTTCCTCTCTATCTCTCTCCCTCTCCCTCCCTCTCTCTTATTTTGAAAAGATAATTGACACGGACGTCGTCCGTTTCTATTTTCTTTTCCTTCTCCCAGTATCCTACATTTTACAGCCCAGACAACCAGCTGTTTAACTGTTCCCAACTTGCACATGGGAACACGTAAGTACAACATAATAACCGACCTTTCATTTAGTGAGTCACTAAACCGACCTAATCCGATAGAAAATCCACATTGAATGATAGCTACATCGATTTATCTTGACTTAACATCATTCATATTTTACTTAAAGTAATGATAACGTATATTTATACAAGTGTTTGTTGTTGCATTTTCATTCTTGTCGGAAAGTAGATGTATAATTATATAAAAAGCAGTAGGTATTAATGTTATTTATTCAATGTATAGATTACAAAAATGAAAAAGTCAACAATTATTCTGGACATTCACTCAAGCTATTCATTCAAAGGTATAGATTAAAATTCGATGGTTTCCTTCAGTTTACGGACTATACGTTTGATCTAACGCATGTTATATTATGTAGCCACATCCTTTTCACCTTCCATTTTTTGTTTTATATTTTCGCAGTTTGGAGACTTATCCTCAGTTCCTGATGTTTCTCTTTATCGCTGGTATTGGTTTTCCGGTAGGTTTAAAACCCGAATTATTTACTCCCAGTGGAACGCATTATTGTTAAAGGTAAAGACCAGTATTGGAAAAGCCCCAATTTCAAAAAATGAAATGGAAGCTCTTATTACCAATCATGTGAAAGAATATGTTTTGAATAATACATGAGGATAAAAAATTTGCCGGGAAACCGCCTACTAATTGATATATTTGGTAAATTAGTTTATCTATTGGTGTGTGAGAGATAAAAACGCACGTGTCGCGCACGTGTGCGTAGTCCCATATACATTGGATGAGGGCGCTGTTATGCTGACGCCTACACTTATATTTTTACTCAGACTTCTGATTTTTTTTCACCTAGAATTTTACTTTTTCGTCAAATGTGTTACGACTTTGCATAGCTATTTGGGCAGAAACCAACGTTGCCCTGGACATCGTGATGATTTTGGATATATATCTGTTTTTGCGATATGTATTTTCAAGGAGAATTCTGTCTGTTCATGATAGCATATCTATCAACGATAGATGTTCGGATTTTCACCATGGAGTCGGCCAGACGAGACGGCCTGCTCACCAGTCAGCAGACACGTCGTTTTCCGGGGACTTTGTCAGCAGATTTTGAATCTCCCGCCATTGAGGTCGGAACCAGTGAACCGAAGTATTCGTCCGAGTTCTCAAAGCAGTTACGTCACAAAGCGGACAATCGGTTGCCAGGAGAAACGTGGGACACAATTAAAGAGTTGGGCATAGGAAAGCGAAGACGCGGTCGTCGTGCTGGAACTCATATCGTACGACGCATCACCACAATTATTGGGATAAGAGACCAACGATCTGAGATTAAATTGCCTGATTGTCGACATAATGTATCGAATTTGATTCATATCAAACCGAATCGCGAACCAAGAACAGGCGTAAGTACTTACAACTTTCCATCTTGCTTGCTAACAAATACTCGTTCTATGAACAACAAGATTGATGAATTTAACGAACTTATCCTTGAATCCGATATTGACATCGCGGCAGTAACCGAAACATGGTTCAAAGATGACATGCCGTGTGATTATGTGTCGATTCCAAATTATGAGGTGTTCCTCAGATCTAGAACGAACAAACGGGGTGGGGTGTGGCTATATATTTCAAAGAAACCCTCACTCCTAGAACAGTCGGACATATTGATATACCTGATGACTTGGAAATAATGTGGATACAAATTCAGCCAACAAAGCTACCACGATCCGTATCCTTCATTATTGTAGCTGTTCTGTATTACCCACCAAATTGTGCTAAAGCTGACAAACTCATTGAGCATATTCACCATGTGATAGACACCATGTCTTCAAGACATTCGGACGTTGGTTATATTGTCATGGGTGATTTGAATGAACTCGACATATCATCTCTCCTCTCAGACCCAAGGTTTGTTCAATGCGTGGATAAACCTACGAGAGGCACAAGGACGCTAGACAAAATCATCACCAATATCAGCGATTACTACCAGTCGCCTACCATATCTTCGCCTTTGGGTGCAAGCGATCACTGCACTGTCTTATGGTTGCCGTTGGGAAACATCACAAAGAGTCCCAACGTTATCAACAAACGCACAACCAGACCAATGAAAGACAGTAGCATTAGAGAGTTTGGAATGGAGATCCTCAACTGTGACTGGATTGACGTTCTCTCAGCTGAAAACGCAAATGATAAGTGCGATGCGTTTTACTCTACATTATCACCAATGATTGAGAGATACTTCCCAACTTGCACCGTCAAACTACATGACAAGGACAAACCATGGATGACCCCTTCCATCAAGTCGTTAATCTACCAGCGCCAAAGGGCATTTGCTGTGGAAGCGAAGGGCGAGTGGCGACGCCTCAGGAATCGAATTATTCGTGAAATCGAACATGCAAAACAAGACTACTACAAAAACCGTGTGGCAAAACTGAAAAATGCCAACCCGGCGTCATGGTATAAGCATATAAAGACCATGACAACTGGCCAGACGAGATCTCCACTTATTCGCATCGAAGGGACTTCTCCTACTGACTTCGATGCAACGGCGAATAAGATCAACAACTTCTTCGTGAACATTGCAAACGACATTCCTAGATTGGACCCTTCTAGTTTGCCGTCATATCTACCGGCTGACCAACCACTTCCCCTTGTTCAACCATGGGAAGTTTATCGCGAGTTGAAAGCCATAAAACAACGGAAAGCTCCTGGACCGGACGGCATTTCGGCCAGACTTGTCAAGAAATTCTCTTATGAGCTTTGCTCTCCGCTTACTGATATTCTAAACGCATCTTTTAGTCAGTCTATTGTACCAGAGCGTTGGAAGAGAGCGCATGTTGTTCCCATTCCCAAGACATCTCGAGCATCTATCGATAACCTCAGACCAGTATCTTTGACTGATCATTTTGCCAAGATAGCCGAAAAGTTCATTGCTAAGTGGACTTTCAGCGACATGGAGAACAACATAGACCCAGCACAATTCGGGAACATGAGGGCTGTATCCACCTCTCACTACTTGATTGATCTCCTACAATGATTCACAGCAACGCTGACAAGCCCAAAATCATTACTACAATGGTGACAACGGACTTCAGTAAAGCGTTCGATAGGATAGACCACAATATAGCTGTCCTCAAACTGCTCCAGATGAACGTCCGTCCGAGTGCTGTAGCATGGATAGCGAACTTTCTCACCAAACGACAACAGAGCGTGAAATATCGAACGACGCTCTCTAATTGGCTGGAAGTTTCTGCAGGGGCTCCACAAGGGACTAGACTCGGTCCTATTATCTTCCTGGCTATCATCAATGAGGCATGCCGGAGGTCACCGTCGTCTTACTGGAAATATGTGGATGACCTAACCATGCTAGATTGTAGGAAATCCCCATCGCCACCGAATATCCAGTCAAGCGTGAGCAACCTACAAGAATGGACTGTAGACAACAACATGAAACTGAACCACAAAAAGTGTTCTGTGATGACAGTAACTTTCATGCGTGAACCACCCCCACCGCCTGTCATCCAAATTGATGGACATGACATTAGCCGAGTAGATTGTGTCAAATTACTAGGGGTTTTCATCCAAAAAGATCTAAAATGGACTTCTCATGTCAATGAAATTGTTAAGAAGGCAAACATGAGGCTGCATATGCTGAGAGTTCTCACTAAATTTCGATTGCCCTTAGATGATCTAGTGCTCATTTACTGTTCATACATAAGGCCAGTGTTGGAATATTGTGCGCCCGTTTGGAACTCCGGCTTGTCTGCCAAACAAAATGAACAAATAGAGAGAATTCAAAAGCGAGCGTGCCGCCTCATGTTAGGGCCACGTTTTGTCTCGTATCAAAACGCTCTTCAACTGTGTAAAGTGTCCTCTTTGAGTGACCGCAGAGAATGTCTGTGCCTCAAATTTGCAAAGAAGCTGCTCGAGCCTGGGTCAAAGTTTAGTCATTGGCTACCCCAAACACGTGGGGACTCCCATTCTCGAAATCTGAGAAATAAAAGCAAGCTCACTGAAATGCCATGCAAAACGACACGGTATAGAAACAGTCCGTTGCCATATCTAGTCAGATTGTTAAACGCTAATAGTACTGAATAATTACTAGTTTCACCTTCGACGAACACATTCATTGTTCTCTACTACTTTCACTCTCTCATTACCCCTATTTTCTCCTCTATGTCAGTGCTGTGCTGCGGAGCGAGGAGACCCTCTTCATGGCTTCCTTGTTCTCTAGCTCTCTGTCTTGTTACTCTCACTCTTTGTCTCCCCTCTCTCTCTCTCTCTCTCTCTCTCTCTTTCTCTCTCTCTCTCTCTCTCGCTCTCCCTCTCTCTCCTCTCTCTCTATCTCTCTTTCTCTCCCTATCTCTCTCCCACCCTCCCCCCTCTCTCTTACTTTTCTCACTCTCCTTCTTTCTCTCTTTCTCCATCTCTCTCTGTCTATTTCTCTGATATAACTTCCTAAATAAAAGGGTGACATGTGAATGCATTTTTGAATAATGTTACTATAGAATTTTACTTTTTTAAACTAAATCAGATTTAATTGTACAAAATTTCTGTTTGACTTTTTAACAATTCCCAAGATGATGCACATTATATCGAATATTACAATGGCAACCTTTTATCCATGTTTTTTATGCGAAACTTATCTTATTTTTATGCAATATTCTACATGTACCTTTTACTAAATTGGCCCAAATACAAAATTTTCTGCATTTTAACTACAATGTATACTTGTTTAAATCATTGTAGCATCTATTTGATTTTATAATTCCTGGATTTGGTTTCTGTTGTTGTCTCTGTTTCTGTTATTGAAGAAAACACCATAACCATACCTTACCCATCTGGCTATGCATTTTCAAACCAAAGCATTTAATTTTTTTTAATATAAAAAATGTATTACTATTCATATATTGTATAATTTCAATATATAATTTTATTGCAAATATGGTAATACAATTCGAATTTCTGTACATGTACCAAGCAATTTGCCGAGGTCGTTAAAGCACAATTACAATTATATATCATATGTACAAAAGAATTCCAATTTTACTACCATAATTTTACCATGCATAATGTTTTACGTGTAATTTTACTCTGTCATTGATGTATACTTTGTAAAAGAAACTGCAATTCGGCTCTCGGGCCGCGAATGTTTTTGAATGAAATAAACCATTTTAAATAAATAAATAAATAAACATCTTTCTGTGTACAGTGCTTGTAACTTTATGAAGACTGGGCCAAATTTCTTATCATTTTGATGATTCCAGAACCTTGCAGTACATCTATGCTAGATGATCAACCTATTCTGATCGATTTCAAAACGTTTCTTTCACAATGCAATAGCATGACCATAACTGGTCTTTATCTTTAAAGACCCTTCAGCAACTCCAGGGGCCGTAATGAAGTTCTATTTGTATCCATGTAAATAATAAACTCATCTTTCAATTTGCCGAGTCGGGTTCTGATCTTTCCCGTGCCCTGCCGAGACCCGTACGGTAGAGGAACTCGGAAATAGTTACTACGGTATATTTTGAACAAATACAAACTCGAAGGTACTATTTGACATTACCTTGATAATGCCAAACACGTTGGTGGCTTTGTGGTCATACTGTCCTTCCCAGACAACTTCCCTATATAAGAACAAAAAAATTCTCAGGACGATTAGCCTTTGACCACTACACCCCATACAACTACCACCTTAGGACGACTACCACCAGAGACAACTAAACCCCGAGGACTATCTCCTTTCTCCGGATTGCATTTTGTTTTTATGTTCAGAGTTCTGATTAATCCACGGTTTTCTTGTGCAAGAAGCCCTTGCAATAGGGACTTTTAGATTTGTGTGGACTGATACGTGTGACGTCTATTCAATGTAGTGCATTGAAAGGACGTCGATCGTAGCAATCCACGTTGTCGTTCGGTAAATCTAAAAGTCCCTATTATGGGTTGCACTCGTCTTTTCGAATATTAGTAGCTCCGAGAGTATTCCAAATATAGAAACTTCCTATACTAGGGTTTCATAAGTAAACAAGGTTCATAAATCCGAATATAATTGGTTTTGACGGTTCGACGGTCGATTATTCCGAAGGTTCTTTTATTCAAAGGTTAATAATTTGGATAATGAAATGGGGTTCATAATTCCGAAGATCCGTGCAGGTGTAACTCCAAAAATGAAATTAGGGTTCAAATTACCGAAATGAAATATGGATTACAATACCGAAAATAAAAAAAGGTTCATTATTCGAGGGTTCGTATTTTCAGCATTTTTTAGAATCACGAATCTTCGAAATAACGAACCTTCGGATGAATGAACTTCAGATTAAGGAACCTTATACAAAAAACAGGAACCTTCAAAAATACTGCTAGAGCTGACCTAGACCGTCCCTAAAAACTATTACAAAGACTTTCGAGAAATCAACTCGAAGGCCATTTAAATAACCTGTTCCATATATCCCTTAGATATGTGCTTGGATTACGTAACACGTCATTGTTACGTTCGATCATTTCGATAACCGATGAACAAGTCTATTAACATTTTTGTAGGATGATTATACGAAAGTCTTTGCGCTCGTCTTCCTCACATTTCATACTTTGTTGTCCAGGAAGCTTCATCGGTGCTTGGAGCCATCTGTATCGTGAGTCACATGAGTTATGCTCATGGTTACTACACTGAAGGTGAGCTTGCTTGCGATTTTTAATCTCGTGCGTTCGTAATTATACCTCAGTCATGCCGCCACACCAACTCCATATTGACCCCAAAACTGCATGTCGTTGTTAAAAAATTGTCATGTAATTTATTTTCTAAGTGTAGATGCATTATGACTGAATGCATATATAAAGCTCCGTTTAGTCTCATTTGACAACGCCCCCTATCGTCAGAGTCAGAAGCCTAACATGTTAGCCTAAGGAATTTTACCCAAAATATCGTTAAAAATTCGTTTTTTGTTTAAACAAAAAGCACATCTACTCCGACGTACGTTATCACTAGCTCTTTCATTGAAACCCTCATGTCCCACTGACTTTTGAAAGTTCACCCACCGTAATTTGATCAAAATAGGTTGCAAGCTCACCGTTGCCTATAAAACACATGTGAAACAAGTCGAACTTTGGACTCAGTCTGCCAAGCGATTGTAAGGTTTTAGGTCAAGCACACGAAGGATAAGAAGCATGAATTATAAAAGATCAGTTCTGATCGGTTCATTATGTCCATTTCATCCAACCCCCCACCGTAATTTTTCCATTGAAGATAAGCAAACTTTTTGCCGAGGTAAGCAAAAACATGAATATTCATGATCGCCATGGACTATTCGATTATTTACAGATGGGTGCAATTGTGCACCACCCCGTGCACCACATCAAACACCCCTACGTTAAGTCAAGTATTTCATTGTATTATGTAGTTTGGTAGGTTTATTTTAATAACTGTTTAATTATCAGATAGCAATAATAGTTTAAAGATATGGAAAATGTTCTTGTATTTTATATTTAGCAAAGCAATCTCACACACAACTTCCCTACCAAGTGTCGTCTAATCCGCCGATCGTCGTCTGCGATAAACGTCCAGCGAGCGAAAATAAGACAACCGGAGCAATATGTAAGACTAGATCGAAGAGAAAGGAAGGAAAAGTCAATGAGCAATAGCCATTAATTTCGTTAAACTAATCTGGCAGTAGAATGTTTAATCATCTCTTTTTATCTGCAAAGAGAATTTGTATTCAATCATTCTTGAGCAAGAACAAAGCAATAGATTCGAAGTATATGTTGTGACATATCGGTAAAACAAACATTGTTACATCAGTTGCACATGTCTCCATTTATCTAGTAATACAACAAATTTATTGCGTTTGATAGAAAGAACCCGCTCAACTTCATAAAAACGTTTAAGCATCTTCTTAAAATAATATAAAGATAGCCGTTCCCTTTTGCATTTCGCAGAGAATATATAGTGTTTTGCATATAAAATGACAAAATTAAAAATAGATTGCATACCATCTGGGAAACCAAACAAAAAGGAATTTTTATTCAAAAGCACTTCGTTGTTTAGAATAGAGCTTTGGAAGTCTTGAATGTTTAATTATCATGACTTAATTGTTCATTAACGAAATTATGAAATATTAAGTATTTTAACTCTTTTAATGGCTCATAAGATATTATTATGTATGATTTTTGTTAGTGCATGTTCATAATTGCAGCAATGACAGCAGCAGAATTAAATACCGGCAAGTTTTCATTCTATACCTTATCTACTTATATTCCACCAGATCCCGGTAAGAGGATGTGGGGATTCTATGACATCGGAATGCTAGGTCTGATCGGTCTCTCTGTCACCAATGCACTTCGCATTCTTGAAGTTATCTAAGACGCCACTCTGCACCTTCTCAGCAAAAAACATTCACTTTTCCCCTCCAGAAAATAGTGATGAAACATTAACGCCTACAGCCCGCTCCTCATCACGCTTTGTAAGAGACTAACAGTATTTTTACTCGTGTTTAAATGATCTAATCTATTATATGGGACTACCATAACGTTTGTAAAAGGCAAGGATGACCTTAAAAAGAACAAATAATACTTTAATACCGTGAACTTTGTTAAGGTACTGTCTTTTTATTATCTTTTACCTATTATATGTGCTAGAATAGAAATAATTTCATTGTGTTATGTTTTCAGTTGTACGTATTTATCTTGAAGACGCGCCTAAAGTTCTTCTTAACTCCCTCATTTCAGTTATTTTCTGGTCACATGATAACATGACAAATTATGTTTAGGTCTTTTATGTATTTTTGTTTCTTGCTTGCTCAAGACGGGTGCAAGGAAGCATACACTCAACGACTTGTACATGCAGCTCAGCTAGATGAAATAATGTCATCGTGTCCTACGATTTTGTGCATCGTGTATTTTATGCTACGGTCACAAAGGTTCGTACGAACGATAATTTCGTACGAATCTCCCTGTTTTTCCATTGTCTTCCCGAATTTCCATTGTCTTAAAATCGTTCGTACGGCGTTCGTAGCAGTTCGTAATGGCATTTGTGACCGAGGCTTTACCTCGTGTATTTTTAAGTGTATGAGTAGCCTTTTCTTCAGTTTATTTTTCCAAATTAAGCATTTATCAAGGTAGTGGCTGCCAGCTCTGTACTTTCATTCCGATCAGAATTTTTACACCATGTGGAGTCTCTGTGTCGGGTAATTTTGGAATAAATTGTGTGATATTGAATTCCTCCCGAGCAAATGTATATTTCTTCTTCTTTTATGAGGTGGGGGAAGAGGGTGTATTTTGTTGTTGTTGTTGTTGTTCAGTTTTGTTAGACAAACCAAAAAACAACATACGTCTACATATTATGCTTGACTGCTTTATTTCTAGATGTGATGAACAAAATGAATAACTTAACGAGTTCAGGAATTTCTGATGGCATATTTAAAAATTAGAAGACATATGCTGCCCCTCCCTAAATCAGTGGGATAGCGTTAACGTGATGCTATAAAAAAAATAAAAAAAAAGATTTATGACATTCTACATCAAAATCTAACAGAATCAAGAGATAACATCTCGGTGGAGGATAATAATGACATACATATTACAAAATATTCAAACAAGAAACCAGACACATTCATATAGTTTCCACAAAAAAAGAGATAACAGATCTCTTTGAGTATAAACATATAATGTTAAAAACATTTTCAATTTTCGTTTCAATTCAATCAACTGTGATTACACGGATGTAATTTGTCAGTCAATCATAGAAAAATGAATAGTATTAATATTTGATAGCAGGACTTTGACTCAGCCGTTACTGCAAGTAAATATTTATCTGCTGAAAATGTTCTTTCGTGAGATATAGGTATGTTTGTTTTAATCATCATACTGCCCTTTAGCAATTCATGATCTTTGCATGGTGTGGTGGAGTACAAGTCAAAAGAGATTATTTGCCATTATCTGGACTTTGACCTGATATGGGGGGATATTGACAAAAATTTCACTAATCTTATTCAAATCGTTTAAAATTTACAATAAAGGTAAATTAGGATGAAGGTTGTTGGTTCCCTTTAAATGCCTAAAACACCTGAGCTTCATGGGACTCAGCCCCATTGACCGCTACGCCACCCCACGCTCGCTACGCTCTACCTGATCGTTAATACTCCACTTAAAGAAACGTTCCGCGGGGCCTGCATGTAACATGCACTATGAACATGACAGACAAAGAGAGCGGACACATTATACAGTTCCTCAGGTAGACAAAGGAACATTCCTTCACTGCTATTGTGTAAAACAGGTGTCACATACATATTCACCTGTTCTACACATTTTTACATAATAGCAGTGAAGGGATGTTCCTTTGTCTACCTGAGGAACTGTATATTTTGTCCGCTTTCTTTGTCTGTCATGTTCATAGTGATGTAAGAGTGGTCGTAATGCAGATTTTTTTTTCTTCTGCAAGCCCCCCAAACGTTTTAGCTCATTACGCCACTGCCCCTAAAAGGTGAGCCCGCTGGAATGTTTGCCCCCCCCCCCCCGATCCCAAACTGCTTCGGCGCGCCTGTATACTAACATAAGTATCAAGGTGCAAATCCCTTTATTTTATTACAAATGGCTGTCATTGGACAGGTCTAACATCAGCATGCCACACGAGTACTGATCGAAGCTTGATTTAAGCCACGGCTGGCCGATCTTCACGTTGTACACACTATGAATATGACGGACAAAGAAAGAGGACAAAATATACAGTTCCTCATTCTACCCTCAACAATTGCTGTGGTAGACAAATGAACATTCCTTCACTGCTATTTTGTAAAAAAATGTGTAGAACAGGTGAATATGCATGTGACACCTGTTCTACACATTTTTACATAATAGCAGGGAAGGGATGTTCCTTTGTCTACCTGAGGAACTGTATATTTTGTCCTCTTTCTTTGTCCGTCATATTCATAGTGACAGCCGCTGCGCTCTCCACCAAGGAATGCTTAGACTTTTTTTTATTCCAACGCCCCTCGTATTGTGTGTCAAAAGTTTGCCCTCTTTTGTTTACGCTAGGCAACATATACTGCTTCCGGCCGGTGCGCCTGTATACTTACATAAGGATATAGGTGCAAATCCCTTTATTTTACAAATGACTGTCATTGGACAGCTCAAACATCAGACTACCACACGAGTACTGAAGCTTGATTTAAGCCACGGCTGGCCGATCTTCACGTTGTACAGCCGTTGCGCTCTCTACCAAGGAATGCTTAGATTTTTATTCCAACGCCCCTCTAGTTGTGTGTCAAAAATTTGCCCTCTTTTGTTTAAGCAATTAAAGCAACATGTGGAAATTACACTTTTCCTTTTTTAAGAATGACTATACGTATTTCCAAAGAACATTCACATAATTATATGAGATACCAACGAGCTTTTACACCCGCCCTTACGTAGGCGTCCAGTATCGTATTCTACCTCGCGGCCGGAAATGGAATAACATATAATTTGTTTAAAAATGGGGGAAAAACGGGGGGGGGGGGGGGGGTGAAGCGGGCGGGGACGCCTAACATTTTTTTTTTTTTTTAAAGGCCTAAGAAAACAATGTATTCTAGGGGGGGGGGGGCATTCTGGCGGCATTCCGAATGCCTATTGAATAAATCCGTGGTACCTATATAAATAGTTATTCGATATGATTCGTCCCAGAAATAAACAACCATGGCTGCCGGAAGTTCCACATTTCGTGTGTTTCATTTTTATGTCGTGGAGGCTGGTGAAAAGAGATCAAGCAACAACAACGTGTACATCTTTTGTAAGTTGGCACTTATCGCAAAGCATAGGAATAGTGTTAGTGAACTGACTTGCAGTGCCTCCTTCGAAAGTCAGTACCGAATGTTTATGCATATGGGGCCTGTTCCTAGAAACCGTCATAACTTCTTGACTATCACATTGAAACGTGTGTTATAGAATTAACAAGCGTTTCAATGGGATAGTAAAGAAGTTAGACTTGTGACGGTTTCTAGGAACGGGCCCCAGAAGGCCGGTGCATCATCGTAAAGGGGACACTAAACGGAGATGAGAGCCGGCTGTCTCCAGAATGCAAGGTCAGTAATTATATCCTAACCATACATTTACGAAAAATATTCATAAATGTGTATTTAGTTTTCCAGTTTAATAATAGCTCACGATCAATTGGGCAAAAAGAATTTCCGTTTCGGTTTAATAAAATTTGGAGTGGACTATTAGGCTATTATTATTATTATTATTATTATTACTACTAGTACTGTGATCGTATACACGTATATTATGGATAAACGAAAAATATAAATATTACCTATTTTTTAACACTACGTTGCTGGAGTTCCCCAAAATATTTTTAATTAAGTGTAACGTTTGGATTTATATATAATCTCCTATATTCCTATTTTTGTAACTGCCCCGCCCACGTACCAATTTACACCGGGCAGCTCCCGCGCGCCGCTGAATATGTGACCACACATGCCGTAGAAATGAAAATCGGAAGGGACCCAGTGTATTGTGACCTAAGCATTACTAGTATTCCAAGACTTCGCAGAACTCATCATAGCTGAACCGTGTTTTATTGGCCACTATAGGCGGATCCGGATTTTAGTAATCCCGATTTTAGTTATCCTCTTAGTTGCTGTCTGTCATCAACTATCCCATTAAAAATTCTCTAACGAAGCAAGAAAATTCTCCCATGAAAGGATTTTTTTAAGGGATTTTTTAAGGGATTTTTCTGTGTGACACCGCCTTATATGAACAAAAATTGTAATTTGTGGAATTGCTTTCACTTTTGATCTATTTTCTGACCGACGATAATTAACTTTGATATTTATTTTTCCTTAAAAGGGGGAACCGAGAAATCATTTCCATAAAACCTAAATTTTCGATTTACATAACCCGTGACATAGGCCCAATTATTTTAAATAAAATGTGAAGAAATACATGGTTTTATCTTTTTGTATGTTCTAGGTGTTCTGTTTAGGCTGCAAATTTCCTATTGAGGAATACAAAAGACCTTCTATAATCGAAATCAAAGAAGCAAAGGCGTCGCAGTATTCTCCTGAGAGTCCTGACGACGGATAGTCAACCTGTTCGAAATGTCGAGCCACTCCGCTATAGTTCTCCTTAGAACTATAAGCTAAGAAAGATAACCAACAGTCTTTTTCAGGACTACAAACCCTCAAGAAATATTACCGAGAGTCCTTTTCAGGACTCCTCAAGCCTCCCTCTCTCTCACATGGTGCACCCGCAAGCCTACTGTATAACACAAAGTAGTTGGATAAAGTTTTGAAAAGGTTGTTGGAATATGTCCTTGCTATGGATTAGAGTTGAAGGAAAGTGTGACTTATTCCAGTTTAAATGACTTTTATTCGGCCATTTGTTTAGATGGTACATTCCGGGAGAATTCCAGAATGCTACCCATTCCGACACTATTCCAGAAGTAGCGAGGCATTAAAGGCTCGTTTAATAATGTTAAATCTGAGATGCATGGCCGTACGTGTCATCAGTGTCTGTGCTATGGTGTAATATTGAACCCCCCCCCCCCCCAAAAAAAAAAAAAAATAATAATAATAATAATAAATAAAAAAAATAAAAACATAAATAAATAAATAAGTAAAAAAAAAAAAAAAAACATTAAAAAAATAGCGCTTCAAAATGATCATGAAGTGCCTCAAAAAAGTAAAAATCTTTGAGTGACCGGTTTTACCATACTCGTTTTCCCATATAGACAGTAGTGTTAGGAAAACGCAAAATTTGATTTCGATTTCCAATCATAAATATCTTGTTAATCAGACAAGCGATCGGATTCTAAAAGTTAGGGGGTTCCTGATTGACCTTAAAGTTTAGAATTTTCATTGCAGCATGAACTAAAACCAGGATTTCATTTCAGAATCTGAGACAAAGTTACCCAATTCCGTTGATTACCGCATTCTAGCTCGCGGCTAAAAATTGGATTAAGGCCATTAATTTTTTTTTAGTGTCCTGCCTTTTCGAAAAATAGGAAAGAGGTCCTTATTTTTTCTTCAAGATTGCCGCCAGCGTTGAATTTTGTTTTTAATTCAGAAAAAAGATCATTAAAATAGCAAAATGTTTTTCATGTTTTTACATAAATTTAAAAACACATTTAAAAAAAAAATTACACAAAATTACACAAAAAAGCAGGCGGCCTCAAAAAAGAAAGCTGACGGGAACGCTAAACATGAATTGTGGGTTTAATGGCCTAATGCAAACATTGCTACTGTGTTGTATGCATTTTAATATTTAAATGTTGCCCTATATTTGTTGTTAACCAGTTTTCTTGCAATATACTTTGAATATTTGCTTAATTTGCTCTCTTTTTAAAAATATTTTTTTCAGATCAGTGACATAAGAGTAGAAAAAAAAAGATGAGGGAACTTCATCTCACAGACAGAAGCGGAAGCATATCCGTCTGTCTGTGGGGTGATCTCGCCGATCACCCCATGGTGGTCTCGGAATCCATTACTATAGGCCCATTGACTGTCCAGCAGGACAGAAGATCAAACGAGAAAAAGTTGTTTTCGGTAACGACAACCCACATCAAGGTGAATATTATAAATTGACTTTGTTTTATTAATCATCAAGTTGGTATCCATAGTCATACTTTATTAATTTTTTTACACAGATATTACCAGTTGGTGGTTAATGTAAATGTGAAAATATTACATGCAATTAATATTATTTCATAAAGCGGAAAGAGCAAACTAAACATACTAAAAGGGTTTTTGTACACTGTTGTTAAATTGGCGATCATTTTGGAATATTGTACATTAAAATTTCCATGTGACCATCACATGGTTTCTTTTTCTTCAATTATACAGAAGGATGATTTTTGGACCTGCGTGGTGGAAGGGGCGACGGATCCTAATGTGTAAGTATTGTTAGAAGTGAAGATTTGTTTTGATGTATGTATGATGATTTAATTGTTGTAAAGTAGATTCAATTATAGATTAGAGGTATTGTGAGCATATAGTTTACAATTAATTTTATTATTTTGTTATGACAGGTTTATCGTGTAAAGATCATTGTTTATATGTGTATCAGTTAACGTGAAACACTGTAATCAGATAAATAGTGATATCAAAACATTGAACTATTTTAAAATGGGTCTAAAAGCCATACCGTGCAATACATATTATGCAGTTTCCTTTTATCATTACCTACAACATAACAAAAAATGATATGACTTAAATGAGCAGACTCTTTAAAGTGATTGTATTTGAGAGATAACACATTAAGTTAAAGTGCGGGTTCATAGAAAATCACAAATATGGCAAATAGCGTATTACTAGAAACTGGTAAGCTAACAGATGGCCATCATGCAAGTTTTTAGGTCAACTATACATATCGGGTGATTTAAAAAATACAAATAAAACAACCTCCATAGCATCTGAGATATGCGAGAGATTCGCCGGAAAAATAACGATGTTTTAATGCCGTCACAATATGAACCAACCCTGCCCAAGCAGACGACATCCCATAACGAATAAACATAATTGCAATGCTTTTATTTCTCTTAGTGTATATAAATATAATGGAATTTTACACCATTCAAAAAGGGATATGACCCCTATTCTGATAACTAAATTATTTTCTTTGTAAATACACAGGATAGGGGTTAATGAATAATCAAAGAAACCAAACTTTTAAATTAAAAAACCTCCAGAATGATAGCATGGACGTCATTTGTTCCCTCTTGAAACGCCGAACATGCCGCGGTGTATGCAGCTGAAAATACAATGGCGTCTTATTTTGTTTACAAGCGACGGATTTCGTTTTTTTTTTTAACCTTGCATTTTTCATCAAAATAATACCATGCACGGGGTTTAGAGTGAAGCAACAGATTAAACATTTCGCCTGAGGGTATTGAAGTAAGAGAAATAACTGAAGAAGGGGAAAAAGATCCACACATATTATTATTGACAAGTGTAATATAATCATTGAGAAAATGAAAATAAAACAAAAAATGTATGAGGTACATAGGCCTCGACCAAACAATTTTATAAAATAGATATCATATATACAACGTAACATAAGTATATGTAATTTCCTACATAATAGGGTTAGCAATTTAGTTAGTTATTGGATACAATGCCGTAGTAGTAAGAAGAAACGGCAGTGAACACATTTTATCGATTAGGTAAAAGAAGATTTGTTATATTGGTGTTTAATAACACTGTCTACTGTATTGGAATTTTGAATATCATCGGGAAGATTTTTCCAATTAACCGCTCCAGCATACTTAGGAGATTGTATAAGGTCACATTTGGTTTGGGCAATACTACATCTAGGGGGGTGTTTCACAAAGATCCTAAGTAGAACTTAACTCTAAGTTGGACTTAAAAATTATGGACAGCCATTGGAGTCTTAAAATGAAATATATTCAAAAGCAGAAATTCAAGTATTTTAGACTTTTTTATGAATTCCACATCCAGAACATGAAATCTCCTTGATGATAGACAATATGAATGATTTGAATAAACAATTAATGCCTATCAAAATAACTTTTACAAAATATTTTCAAAGAGTTTGCGTTTGTTTGTATTAAGGCCATGGCGGTCGACATACATTTCTATTTCGTTTAATAAGCGTACGGTGGAGCAATGCCACTCTATACACTTGAACATAAGCAAAGCCAGAAAATAATCACGGCGGTGATCAATAGTTTGCCAAGAAAGTTGTTTTATCAATGTGTTGTCGCTGAGGGGTCTGAAAATTTGAACCCCATCATTTTTGGCCTATTGGGACCCATTTTAAAAGCCAAAACAGCAACAACAACAACAAAAAAAAAAATCAACTTTGGCACAAAAATGCTCCGGGATTACGTACCATACCGCGCTACAATCCCTAAGGCGTTGAGCAGAGCCTAGATATGATTGTCAGCTCTCGATCTGGCGGCATGTGACAGAAGCGGCTAAGGTACAGAGACTGTTTGTAGTCTCACAGTGCATTATATGCAGACACTGTTACGCACAACTCCTGACGAGGGTTTGTGCGTGCAAAACTTTACCCCCCCCCCCCCTCCCCCCCCCCCCCCCCCCCCCTCCCTCTCTTCATCAATACACCAACAGGTATCACCTCAAAATCATCACACACAATATTCGTGGAGCTTATCGGTCCGGTGACCTTTCTGTTTACCTTTGTTGCATATGCATGGTATATGCCATTTTCCTGGCCCGCGTCTAGCTAAGAAGATCGACCTTTGAAATAACGTAAGTATAAAACGTGTGTAGTAATTCAGGTATTCATCTGGTTTGATTTCAAACGACATTGTTTCCTCTATAAAATGTCAACAGATACTTAAATGTGTTATATTACTCGTGAACAATATCTATGCGCCGTTCTAGATATACTACGATACGTGTGTGTATATATCTCTCTCGTACAACTAATTTGCAGGGAACGGTAGGTTATGTGTTGTGCATGAATGCATTTTTGCAAAGTCATGCCTTGTCGCACTTGTCGCACTTGCTTCGATCGGGGCACGCACATAATTCAACGCAATCCAGTCTAGAGTGCGTGCATATATATATATATATGTGTGTGTTACAGTATGTTTGTGTAATGGTATACTTCCGTTAGGTGAAATACATGTACTTTATGATCAATGTAGAATGTTTGTATGGCTACTTTCGAACAACATGTATATACAGATATACGTATAGCCTAAAGATAGTAGGCCTATATCGCTCAGATCAGCCGTAGGCCAGCTGATAAGTATATACCTATACAGGGGCGCATCTAGCTGGCGGCGAGGGAGGGGGCCACAAAAGGGGCCCATGCACTTCGTGAGAAAATTTGAAAATCGCGCTGGCCGATTTTTCGCTCAGTAGGGGAGGGGGGGGTGGGGGAATAGTGAGCATCAATTTTTCTTTGCCAGGGGAGGAGGCCCGTCTCCTTTTTTTAAACAAAAGTTCTTTTTGGCAGGGGAGAGGCCCCCCCCCCCCCCCTGGATCCGTCACTGGGCCTATATATAGATTATAATTATCATCTAGCCCGTGCGGCTATATATATCCTGGATTAAAGTATTCGGAAATGATGTCCATCTTAATGTACTAGAAAATTCCAATGTACAATTAACGTGACCCCCCCCCCCCCTGCCCCCTCCGGATCAGAGTGGACACTCATGTGATGATGATTATTTTGATGATCGATGCGATGGAGGTATATCTTATTCTCATCCGCCACGTACTTTCCATAGTCTGCAAGCACACTCTTAAAGGCTTTACCGCAGTTTCTATACCCTTGAGCTGAGCCTATATAGATCTGTCAGTTTTCTGGTTGTGTCAAATCGATCGGCTAAACTACAGAGCCTATATTGTACGTAGTCTCATCGTGCAGACACTGTTAGACGACTGACAAATATCCACAGATCTTACACATGGAGAAGTTCCACTTTGAGCATATTAGAATAATAACTGCCTAGATGTGCTTCATGAATACCTTTTGATTGCCCTCTTGAATAGAATTCTTCCACCTAGTATCATAGAATGTACCGTTTGTGCATAAATGAATAATGTTACATAACTTTCATGAGCGCATATCCAGTATTCATCTCTGTGGGTTTTACCTTTTTGGTACAAAATACCTGTATCTGCCCATGCGCAGATTGTATCTGTAAACTCCCTTATTGCCTTACATGATATCATGATGAGGATATGTTAGATGAGGACAATATGCGCATGATAATAATATTAAAGGTGAAAAATGATGATGACGCCATGATGTTGATGTGGTGATGTTGATGGTGATGGTGATAACGGTGACAACATTGATAATGGCAGTACGAGATCATGATAAATGATGATGATATGGTGATTACTAATTTACTATGTTGTAGTAATGATGATAACGGTGACGATGATGATGCCGACGATGATGATGATGATGATGACGTCGATGAAGAAGGGGGGGGGGGTGTGATGATCATGTTTATCGTCCTTCATGATGTCTCCTACGACTGGTCTCATTTTCAGATTCTTAAAGATTCTCATTTTCATTATTGTACAAGTACGTATACTTGGAAACAGAATGTTACAATATGCCATATTTTAACATATTTTCATTTTTGATAGATTTTAAAATTTGCTTGATTTTACACCGTTGTTTTCCACAGATTATTCACCTGACATTCCAGTGACAAGAAAATAAATTCCTTCTCTTCAAGATGACGGCAATGGCAGGTCTTCCCGCTGATTTTGGCTATGTGATCCTCACAGCCGTGGCCAGTGCCTTCATGGTCGGCTATCTCGCAGAGCGAGTCGCTTTTGCTCGTAAGACACACAAAGTAGAGGTGAGAGAATAATCTGGAATGAAGCTGTTGTGCCCCCTCCCCTCCCCTCCCCCGTCTCTCTCTCTCTCTCTCTCTCCCTCTCAACTATATAAACCGCTTTGGAGATATCACTAATTGTACAAAATGACCCCAAATATGCACAGATCCTTTAAACATAATTGATAAGTCCCACGTTGTCCTTTTTAGAATAATCACTGCCAAAGTGGTGGTGGTTCTTTGTAAATACCTTTTGTTTGCCCTCTTAAAAAGTATACTTCCACCTGTCACCGTAGAATGTAGCTTTCAAGAACAAGTATTCAGCAGTCGTCTCGATGTGTTTTTACAATTTTGGCGCAAATTAATGACCTTTATCTGCCTATGCCCAAATAGTATCTCTGAAGTGGCTTATTCCGTTGACTTTGGAGTCCTCTTTGCTCTCAAGGTAAATAAAGCAGAGAAAAAACATATTGAACTATTAATTTTTCTCAAAATTTACCGTAGTAGTGGAGTTTCAGAGTTCCCCTCTCTCTCTCTCTCTCTCTCTCTCCCTCCCTCCCTCTCTCCCCCTCTCTCTCTCTCTCTCTCTCTATCTCCATCCCTTTTCCCTTCTCCCCCCCTCTCTCTCATTTTGAAAAGATTATTGACACGGTCGTCCGTTTCTGTTTTTATTTTCTTTCTTCCAGTATCCTACATTTTACAGCCCAGACAACCAGCTGTTTAACTGTTTCCAGCGTGCTCATGGGAATACGTAAGTATAACAATAATAACCGGCATTTAATTTAGTGAGTCATTGAACCTTTTAAACACAGGTTGTTCCTGACAATCTGTAAGCTTGCCCGACATAGCAACACGTAATGCATTCAGACTGGTAGGATTCCAAGTATTGTAGCTAATTCATCGATAACAGATAAATGGAATAACTCGTTACTATTTCCCTAGGAAACAAACATAGATTTGAATATGTAAATAAACCAGTTTATTGAATGATAGTTATAATGATTTACCAATACTTTACATCTTTAATATTTATATTTTACTTAGAAATGATAACGTATATTGATACATTTCTTCTTCTTTTTGGGGGGAGGGGGTATTTTTCATTCTTGTCGGAAAGTCGATGTATATTACATAAGAAGCAAACATGCATTCATTCAAATTAATTATTTATTCAATGTATAGATTAAAGAAATGAAAAGTAAAGAATAATTAGGGACAGTCATTCAAATGATTCATTCAAAGATATAGATTAAGAGCGATGGTTTCATCCTTCAGTTTACGGTCTATTCACTAATCTCTGAAAGTTTGATCTAACGCATGTTATATTATCTAGCCACATCTGTATTTTTCATTTTTTTTTCCCAGTTTGGAGAATTATCCTCAGTTCCTGATGTTTCTTCTCCTCGCTGGTATTGGTTTTCCGGTAGGTTTAAAGCCCGAATTGTCTATTCCACGTGGAACCCTTTTTTTTTTTGGTATAAACACCCCTCAGCAATTTCAGGGGCCGTAATAAAGTTCTTTTTGTATTCATGTAAATAATAAACTCATTTTATAATTTGCCGAGTGGGGTTCTGACCTTTCCCGTGCCCCAGCTAACATGAAACGGGAAAAAGAGTCACTGTATTTATTTATTTATTTTTATTTGTCGTTTTATTTTGACAGGGTAACCCTTTCAGTTATAAAAACTGCTCGACCAAGGGGCCCTGTATCAACATAATCAAAAACATTTTTACAAAACATATAAACATACATAAGTTATAATGAACACAAAAATTAAACAAGATAAAATATTGAAATAAATGGGGAGGGGGGGGGGGGGTAAAATATTCATGTAAGTACTATTTTAAACTATGTGAGAGAAAGGAGTTTGCAATATTTTTTTAATGAATCTAGTGAGTTTAATAAACGTAAAGAAGGGGGTAATGCATTCCATATAACGGAGCCTTGATAACAGAAAGATCTTTTGAAATACTCGGTTTTGTGTTTTGTAATGAATAGAGGACAGGTAGTTGCATATCTGGTATAAACATTTATCGGTCGATAGCACACGATATCCTTAATATATTTTATTATTAATCACCTTATACATCCATATTCTAAATTGGTATTGCACTCTTTCAACAACTGATTGCCATCGTAGACATGATAATAATATAATACGAGGTGTCAACATATCTACGTTTAGTATTAAACGGGCATAACGATTTTGTAACTTTTGTAACTTTTCCAAATGACACTTTGCTGAACATCCCCACAAAATAATATAACAATTTTAAAATTCTTTTCGGCAAATAATATTTAATTCGTTTTATACATGATATGGTTCTAGATATTTTGGAGACAGTTTTCGATATATGTATATCCCACTTTAAACAATTATCAAATAATACACCAAGATATTTGAATTCATTTACAGCTTCTATAACATTATCTCTGTAAATCAAGCGTACACTTTGATTTTTGATTCGTTTTCTTGTCCCAAATAACATGATCTTACACTTCTTGATATTCAACATTAAGTCATCTTTTTTCAATGTGATCAACTATTTTTTTAACTCACATTTAAGCGTTTTCTCAACAAGGGCAACTTCTTATAGGGTTCATTGTTTAACTAATTAAAATTAAAGGTACTATTTGACATTAACTTGATTATGCCAAACACGTTTGTGGGTTTTAAGTAATATTATCCTTCCCAGACAACTACCCCAAGAACAAAAACCTCAAGAACAAAAACCTCAAGAACACAAACCTCAAGAACAAAAACCTCCGGACGATTAACCCCGCGACCCTTAAGCCGCAGACAGCTACACCACCTTGGACATTAATCCCAGACATCTACCCCTTACCCTCAGGACAACTACCACCAGAGACAACTAAACCACAATGAATATCGCATCACTCCGGGATGCATTAGTCTTTTTTTATGTTCGTAGTTTTTGTATAATTCATGACTTTCTTATGCAAGAAGCCTCCGAAATATGGGTGGCTCTCGCCTTTTCGAAGATTGGTAGTTCCGAGAGTATTCCGAATACACAAACTTCCTTTACCAGGGCCCAAGAGGTTTCATATTCCAAAGTAAATAAGGTTTATACTTCGAAGATTCGTTCTTCTGAATGTTTGTTATTCCGAAGGTTTTTTATTCGAAGGGCCATTATTCGGATGATGAAATAGGGTATATTCAAAATTCCGAAGATGATTTGGGTTCATAAATCCAAAGCATTGTACAGGTGTAATTCCTAAAGTAAAATGTAGGTTGATAATTCCGAAAATGATAGGTTTAAGATTCCGAAAATTAAAATAAGTACACTTTTCGAAGGTTCGTAATCTCATCATTTTCAATATCACGAACCTTCGAAATATCTTACCTTCGGATTAATGACCTTCAGAATAAGGATCCTTCGGGAAAATGAACCTTCGAAAAGTACTCATTGACCCTGACCTAGCCTAGACCATCCTAAACACTATTTCAAAGACTTTCGAGGGCAAATTTTATATACCAGGCTGTATTATCTTCTGACCCTGTTCATGATGATTTAACATATAGCATAGTTACGATCGCTCAACTCATTAGGAAATATCCAAGGCTATGGATATATAATTAGGGTGTTTTTAGGAAAGTCTTAGAGATTGTGTTCCTATGGTATTTCATTCTTTGATTTCCAGAGAGCTTCATCGGTGCTGGGAGCCATCTGGATCGTGAGTCGCTTCAGTTATGCTCATGGTTACTACAGTGGAGGTGAGTATACATGCCTGCAGGTGCGGATCCAGGGGGGCCGAGCGGGCCTTGGCCCCCCCCCCCCCCCCCCCCGCAAAAAAAAAAAAAAAAAAAAAAAAAGAGAGAAGAAAGGAAAAGAAGGGAGAAGGGAAAGGGAAAGAGGAGAGAAGGGAAAGAAAGAAGAGGAAGAAAAAAAGAAAAGGGGGAAGAAGGATATCGGGGGGCCGAAAGGGCCTTGCCTCCCAGGCTGTTGACCCCCCCCCCCCCCCCCCCAATAAAAAAAAATAAGAGAGAAGGAAGGGAAGGGAAAGAAATGACATAATTTCCGAGATTTTCCTCACTTTTTAGTAAATACGTTTGTATGTGATTGTTGGAGAATGACAAATTACTAAATTTACAGCCAGGCAAGAAATATATTTCTTGAGATTCCTACATGTCAGGCCCGAGGTGGGGCGGGGATTGGGAGCCTCGAGCTCCCTCCCCCCCCCCCCCCACTTTTTTGAAAAAGTATATTAAAGAGAAATAAAATAGAGTGAGAGCAAGAAAGAAAGAATAGTGAACTGCCAGTGTTAAAAATTAATGAGGCATCTAAATATGCTCATCTGACCGTGATTAAATGCCTAAAACCCCTAAGCTCCCGGGGGCTCTGCCCCTGGATTCCACCTAGGACCCTACGGCGGGCCCTTAGATGCTCATCTGACGGTAATTTAATGCCTAAAACCCCTGATTTTTTGGGGCTCCGCCCCCTGGAATCCACGCCAAATAGTGACCTGCCAGTGTCATAAAATAATAAGGTATAAAAAAAAATGCTCATCTGACCTTAATTAAACGCCGGGGCCGGCTCAGCCGCCTCGACCCCACCAGGGGCCCTAAGGCGGGCCACTGAATGCTTATCTGACCGCAATTTATTGCCTTAAACCCCTGAGCTTGCGGGGTCAGACAAGGTATCAAAATGTGTTTATCTGACCGCAGGCGCGTAGCCAGGGGGGGGGGGGCGGTCCCCCCAAATCGGAAGAGGACGTAGGAAGAAAAAGGAGCAGACAAAGAACACCTTTGAAAAAAGGATTAAGAGTATAGAGAACGGTACAACGCATCGTCTTCTTTCACTAATAATTTAATGAAACGTCAAAGCTTCGCTCAGGAGGGGAGGGGGGGGAACTGAATTCAGACAAGGATTAAGAATCGAGAACGGTACCGCGAATCGTCTTCTTTCTCTCACAATCTTGTGAAACGTCAAAGCTTCCGCGCGAAGCGCGAGAGTGGGGAACCTGAATTCAGACGAGGATTCAGAGGCGAGAACGGTAATACGAATCTTTAATGATTTAATGAAACGTAAAAGCTTCGGCGCTTCGCGCGGGATGGAGGGGAACCTAGATTCCGACGACGATTATTTTCGAGAACGGTACAACAAATCGTCTTCTTTCTCTAATGATTTAATGAAAATTAAAAACTTCCGCGCTTCGCGCGGCAGGGGGGAACCTGAATTCAGACGAGGATTAAGAGTCGAGAACTGTACAGCCAATCGTCTTCTTTCTCTCATAACATTATGAAACGTAAAAGCTTCCGCGCTTCGCGCGGGAAGGGGGGGGGGGACCTGAATTCGGACGAGGATTAAGAGTCGAGAACTGTACAACGAATCGTCTTCTTTGGAATGATTTATTGAAACGTAAAAGCTTCCGCGCTTAGCGCGGGAGGGGGGGGGGAACTGGATTTAGACGAGGATTAAGAGTCGAGAACTGTACAGCCAATCGTCTTCTTTCTCTCATAACATTATGAAACGTAAAAGCTTCCGCGCTAAGCGCGGGAGGGGGGGGGGCTGAATTCAGACGAGGATTAAGAGTCGAGAACTGTACAGCCAATCGTCTTCTTTCTTTCATAATCTTATGAAACTTAAAAGCTTCCGCGCGAAGCGCGAGAGTGGGGAACCTGAATTCAGACGAGGATTCAGAGGCGAGAACGGTAATACGAATCTTTAATGATTTAATGAAACGTAAAAGCTTGCGCGGGATGGAGGGGAACCTAGATTCCGACGACGATTATTTTCGAGAACGGTACAACAAATCGTCTTCTTTCTCTAATGATTTAATGAAAATTAAAAACTTCCGCGCTTCGCGCGGCATGGGGGAACCTGAATTCAGACGAGGATTAAGAGTCGAGAACTGTACAGCCAATCGTCTTCTTTCTCTCATAACATTATGAAACGTAAAAGCTTCCGCGCTTCGCGCGGGAAGGGGGGAACCTGAATTCAGACGAGGATTAAGAGTCGAGAACTGTACAGCCAATCGTCTTCTTTCTCTCATAACATTATGAAACGTAAAAGCTTACGCGCTTCGCGCGGGAAGGGGGGGGGGACCTGAATTCAGACGAGGATTAAGAGTCGAGAACTGTACAGCCAATCGTCTTCTTTCTCTCATAACATTATGAAACGTAAAAGCTTCCGCGCTTCGCGCGGGAAGGGGGGGGGGACCTGAATTCAGACGAGGATTAAGAGTCGAGAACTGTACAGCCAATCGTCTTCTTTCTTTCATAATCTTATGAAACTTAAAAGCTTCCGCGCTTCGCGCGGGAAGGGGGGGGGGACCTGAATTCGGACGAGGATTAAGAGTCGAGAACTGTACAACGAATCGTCTTCTTTCGAATGATTTAATGAAACGTAAAAGCTTCCGCGCTTCGCGCGGGAGGGGGGGGGGGACTGAATTCAGACGAGGATTAAGAGTCGAGAACGGTACAACGAATCGTGTTCTTTCTCTAATGATTTAATGAAACGTAAAAACTTCGGCGCTTCGCGCGAGAGGGGTGGGGGGAACCTGAATTCAGACGAGGATTCGGAGGCGTAAACGGTAATACGAATCTTCAATGATTTAATGTTAACTTCCGCGCTTCGCGCGGGGTTGTAGGGGGAAGTAAATTCCGACGAGGATTATTTTCGAGAACGGTATAACGAATCGTCTTCTTTCTCTAATGATTTAATGAATCGTAAAAGCTTCCGGAGGGGGGGAACCCCGGGGGGAACCTGAATTCAGACGAGGATTAAGAGTCGAGAACTCTCCAAAGAATCGTAATAATTTAATAAATCGTAAAATTTTTCGCGCTTCGCGCGGTGGGGGAAAAAATAAATTCAGACGAGAATTATTTTTGAGAACGGTACAACGGATCGTCTTCTTTCTCTAATGATTTAATGAATCGTAAAAGCTTCCACGCTTTGCGTGGAAGGGGGAAAACTGATTTCAGACGAGGATTAGTGTCGAAAACGGTACAACGAATCGTCTTCGTTCTCTAATGATTAAAGGAAACTTAAAAAGCTTCCGCGCGAAGCGCGGGAGGGGGGGGAGGACCTGAATTCAGACGAGGATTAAGAGTCGAGTACTCTCCAAAGAATCGTAATAATTTAATAAATCGTAAAAATTTTCGCGCTTCGCGCGGGAGAGGAAAAACTACATTCAGACGAGAATTATTTTTGAGAACGGTACAACGGATCGTCTTCTTTCTCTAATAATTTAATGAAACGTCAAAACTTCCGCAGTCGCGGAGGAGGGAGGGGGAAACTCGCCGCTCCCTGCACCGACCCCCCCCCCCCCGCATTACGTCACTGTTGGTCACCATTACGTAGCAATATTTGGCTCGCATAATTTCAATTTTGGGCCCCCCCCCCCCCCTAAGAAATCCTGGATCCGCGCCTGCATGCCTGCATATTTTAAAGACGTTTGGTAGTGGCCTCATGGCAATATTACTATAATACTATAACAATATTAATCGTTTTGCTTTCGCAGTTTCGGTTTCATTGTGTTCCACACACAGTGACGAAATTGCATTGCGATGAATAGATTTGGACCTTTTAAAGGAGGCTTATGAACCATAACTTTTTTTTCTGTTTATTTTTAGAATATAAAACGTATTTATACAATTTTAATTAAATTTTGATAAACTTTTTCTATTTCTATGTTTTAGATTTGAAGGAGAAAAAAAGAATTACAAGTGTCGTTGTCGTATCATCATGTCATATATTGCTTAAGTATATATTCATTATGACTGAATGTAGAATAAAGATCGAAGATAAAGGAAGTAAATTAAAATGAACAATATCCATTAATTTCGTTAAACTAAACGAACAATACCATTAATTTTGTTAAACTAATCTGACAGTACAATTTTTAATTACCATCAATTAACTATTCAGTAACGAAACAACTAAATTAAGTATGTTAACTCTTTTAACGGCCCATAAGATATAATTCTGTATGGATTTTGTTAGGGCATGTTCAAAATTGCAGCAATTCATTTGAGGTGTTCACACTTCTACAAGCATTGCTTTGTAGTGGACCCCTCTGTTTCCAACATGTATTTCTTAAATTTGTTTTAAATGCTTTGTAATGTTCTGTAGGAAACATGAATACATTTGAATTTGAATTTGAATATGGCACAAGAATTAAATGCCGGCAAGTGTTCATTCTATACATTACCTTATCTATTTTTATTCCACCATGCAGAACCCGGTAAGAGGATGTGGGGAGTGTACGGGTACATCGGACTCCTAGGTTTGATCGGTCTCTCCGTCACCAATGCACTTCGCCTTCTTGAAGTTATCTAAGACGCCACTCTGTGTACCTTCCCGGCCAGCAAAAAGCATTCACTTTTTTCCCCTCCAGGAAATTGTGATGAAACATTATACCTCTCTTTCTCGCGCTCTCGCTCTCACAATTTGATTTGTTACTTTATTCTTTATAAATGTAATGTTTCCTGGGAAAAATTTCAATTATTTAAACACATTTGTTGCTTACACCCAGTAAATAAGATCGATTGATTGATCTGTATTTTCTGACTTGTTTGTCAATACAGATCGATCAATCGATCTTATACACTGGGTGTAAGCCACAAATATGTTTAAATAATTACTTAATTCTTGTTTACAGGTTTCTTTGAAATATTTCAAAAAAATTACTATATGTTTAGTGTTTACTCATGTTTAAATGATCTAATCTATATATGGGACTATAAAACGTTTGTAAAAGGCAATGATGACTTTGAAGAGAACAAATAATAATTTCATTATGTGTTCAGCTTTACTAATTCATCTTTAATGAATATTTCCCTTATTTCAGTAATAATTTAACCTTATTTTTCTAGTCGTCAACGACAACAAGACAGATTATGTTTAGGTCTGTTATGTATATTCATTTCTGTTTTGCTTTCTCAATACGGGTGGCAGGGCAACGACTGATACATGCAGCTCGGCTAGATCAAATAATGTCAGCATATCCTGCAATTTGTTACATTATGTATTTAACATAGGATATTTCCATGTGTATGAGCAGTCTTTTCTTAAGTGTATTTTACCAAATTAAACACTTATCATTGCAACATTAAATTGCTGCTAGCTCTGTACTTTCATTCCAATCAGAATATATTGTCAGGGGTCTCTGTTTCGGGTAATTTTGTAATAAATTGTGTGAAATCGAATCCCTCCTGAGTAAATGTGTATTTCTTCTTCTTTGATGAGGTGGGGGAAGTGGGTGTGTGTTGTTGTTGTTTATTTTTGTTAGATAAACCAAAAACAGCATGAGCATTATGTTGGTCAACATGAAAAGTCTTGAAACTCTGCATGAATGCTTTATCTGTAGGTGTGGGGAACAAAATGAATAACTGAATGAGTTCAAGAAATGTCTGTTGGCATATTCAAAATTTAGAAGACACTTTTTCTCATTAGATAATTTGCTGCTGCTCCTCCCCAAATAATGCTATAAAAAAGATTTATGGAATTCTACATCAAGATGTGAACAAAACCCCTTTGTATATATTTATATAAGTAGAACAAAAAACTCAGTGTTATCTGATCATTATATTCTGATCTTTAATGACTCTTACTAGACAAAAGATATTTACCTACTTCATTACACACATCTATTACTCCATACTGCATTCTCAAAAAAAAATGACAGGTACACTGGACATATTAGTATTTATCTTTCACCTTGTTGTATATTGTATATAAACAATTTATTTTCTTCTTTCAGACAAATCTCTATTCAAACAAGATATTCTTGTTTCAACATATAACGAGAAATCCATACAAGCCTATAAAGGTGACCAACATGTACAAACGTTAAGTCCGGATAAATCACAGATAAATCCCATATATAATTCTATCACAAAATATAATTCTAATTATAAATGATTGAAATTTGCTAGTACTTCGAAAGTGAGGATAATTCAGTTTTGGCATTTCAGTCAGCTTAAACTCCTGAACTTACTCAGTCATGTAAAAATGCATAATATACAGTAGAACCTCATTAAAAAAAACACTACTAAATCACACTCCAATTATACAATATACCGGTACATGTATATAACATGGTAATTTTCCCATTACCACTTCTTCATATTGTGTTTTTTTAGCCCTAATGTCACAGACTTTGAAATACAGTGTACATAAAGGTCTTTCCATTGGTGTACGTTAGACCATGGACCATGGTTATTTTATTATTTTTTTTTTCGCGGGGGGGGGGGGGCTCTTTTTGGCATTTCGGGGGGCTAATTCACCCCAAGCCCCTGTGTATTTTTTCCCTGCCCGTTTGTTAGAATAAGGTTCCAGTATACTAGTACTATCAAAATGCATTTCCATCACCTATGATTAATAAACTTTTCAGTGATTTAATATTACTGAAGCACGATGCACTCGTGCCCTGTAGAGGGGTCAGACGGAAAGGAATGATATTGCATTATTACAGCGATACAGTTATTACTTTAGCTTCACTCTAGTGCTCCTGTGACCGGTTTAGTTATATGTCTTGTGGCCCATGGGATCGATGATCTCCAAAATAAACGAAGGGAAAATAAGATGATGATGATCATACAGTGAATCTGTTTACCAGCTGCTTGAATGATGTTTCTCTTGACAATCCTCAAATTACAGTATTGTCAACAAAAAAATTATTTTGCTCACAGTAATATGCACTTTCACTTTAATGTAGTGTACGTTGGACAAGGAATAATTGCTTACAGTAAGTCACAGAAAAGTAATTAAGTCAAGTGTACTTGCTCTTCTGGTTAGGCAATAAAACAATGCCTCGATGTACAAACCGATTAAACATTAAATGTGAAATTCTAGCATTACATCATAATGATCTCAGATTAATGCACATTAATTTATTAAAGTGCTTGTGCAAAAGTGTCACTGCAAAGGTAGGATTACACAACTCAGGAAAATATATACCATTAAAGCGCTACATTGTTCAGCTATAAACAACCTCACAATTGCTCAACTAATGGTTTTCATGTTGAGTTCAGATGTACTTATAAGCCATATATTTTTTATTTGAGCCTAATCAAATGCAACTTCTGCTATACAAATTTAAAGGTAATCAAGAATTACACAGTGACTGTGGAGTACGTGGAATCTAACTATCAAGAACACTACAATAATAGCATCTTTTCACTCGAAAAAAAATAGGTTTTGCCAGTTCCACTTCTTTGAAATTTCTGCCTTTTCTTTTAAATCCCTGATGTAGAAAGTTTCATTACATTTAACAATAATTAACATATAATAAGAACATTTAAAATAATTTTCTTGGTCCCACAGGCCCGGCCGTTTTCTACTCAAATTCTAAACCTGCTGCTTGGCTTCAACCTTTGCTTAAAATCAGTTTTACCAGAGGTATATATAGTCTGAGGTATAAATTTTCCTTTGTTGGTATTCTTTGACCCAGGGTCATGCAGGTTCAACTTGAGGGGTCAGTGACACAAAGACGTAATTCCATTTTGAGAAAAAAGTGGTTTAAAGATAGATTCAAGGTCCACTTGGGCCTTAAGTCTATGTTTCACTAGCCATTAACTTCAATGGGGTGTTGGGTGGAGTTAAGTCCTTGTGTTTCCTAGAAAGCCCACATTTTTCTGAACATTTTGATATCAAATACTCATTTTGGCAAAATATGGAGTTACGTCTTTGTGTCACTGAACCCTCGAACTGTATTAGACCTAGGAGTTTGTTATAATGAGGTTCCACTGTAGTTTATAGTGAGGTGAGGAGTTGGTGCACTTATTGGCTGAATCGCGGGGTCATTCCACCTGAGGTGCATTTCAGCATTCGGAAGGCAGACCTAACCGTCAAGGACATCAAGCCCATTGTTCCTATGTAGCCAAAAGCTCCACGCCTCCTCTTGTTAGGGTCTGAGAGAGGAGGAAGAACGGAAAAAGAAGACGAAAGGATGATGGGGAAGAAAGAACAAAAAAATTGAAAATATAAGGAGGAAGTTGTAGGGAAAAAGAGGAAAAGGAACAAAATTTGAAAGTAAAGAAAAACATAACATTATAGAAGAAAAAATTGAGGAAAAAGAAGAAGAATAAATGAAAACAAGAGAGGAAATGAATAAGGGCATAGAAATTAAACAATTGAATTAATTAAAGGCAAAGGAAACAACAGAAAGAAGAAGAAACAGAAGACGAAAGGGTTATGAGGAAGAAAGAACAACAAATTATGCAAATATAAAGAGGAAGTTGTAGGGAAAAAAAGGAAGAGGAACAGAAGTTGAAGGTAAGGGAAACAAAGATCATTATAGTAGATAGAAACAAATTGAGGTAAAAGAAGAAGAAGAAATTAAAACCAAAGATGAAATGAATAAGTGAATAGAAATTAAACAATTAAATTAATTAAAGGCAACAGCAGAAAGAAGAAATTACATCTTGGAGGATAATAATGATATACAATAACGAGAGGTTCAAATAAGAAACTATAGACACCAATCAAAGACATAAAGATAATCATAAGTTCTCTTTTTATGATGTAATATCATTTAACCTCTTTTGTAATTGGTCCATTAAATTTACTCTCATTATACAGATGTGAATTTCTAGTCAAATAAATCAATAGAAAAATTGATAGCAGTGAATATATATACTGACAAACCTCTGACTCTGGCAACGAATATTGCAAGATATAGAACTGCTGAAGATCGTCTTTCACAAAATATAGGTGTGTGTTTGTTTAAATAGTATTTGCTTTTGAGCATTTCAATGATCTTTGGTTGACATATAGTACATGTCTGCAGATTATTTTCCACTGCCACTGGACTTTGACCAGATATGAATAGATATTAACATAGGAACTGCATTGCATGTAGATTTACAAATTATATTCACCACACTGCAGTTCATCAAGAAAATATCCATATGTATATTTTACACTTCATTTAATACTACTGGTAGAGATTCGTTGGTGTTTTCAGCACAGAAAGCGAAATGAGTATGTCCCTTTATCATTCATGAATTGAAACAAATCTTGATTCATAGGAGAAAAAGTGGTACTTCACTTTTCCATTTTAAATGTATTGTAATTTTTTCAGTATGGCAGTATGAGTTTGGGCAATGTCCCTCATTAATGTGTTACAAGTGGCCCAATTTGACTTTAAACTTTGAACTATTGTCTTCACCCAGTCTGCATGAAGGTACAGTCTAATTCCTGTCACTGAACAAGCCAATATATGTATTGTCCCAAGCACTCAATTTGATGTGGGGATATAAACCTACCTCCAGAGTAGTAGCCAAAGGCATAGGTAATCCTGCTCAAGACCCACAGACCTCCCAGACCAGCAGCTGCCCTCTGTCAAAATAAAATAATATACATCTAATACTTTGTACAAAATGTAAACATTTGCTAAGCTAGGTGCTAATTTATGCTGTTTTTGTGCAATCCCTTTGTTAGTAAAAAGGTTCAACATTTTTATGTCTATCATGAATGATCTTTGTCTACCCACTTGCACAACTTCAACAAATAAATTTGGCTATATTTAGCAATTAATGTTCAACTGTTAGGTTCTCTCAAATTATTAATTTGTCAATGAAAATAAATGTATGTGTGTGACAGTATAGTTGACATCATACCTGATTTGAAACGACCACATAAAAGTCCTTCTTGGGTGCTGTGTTTTCCCCAGTGATGTAGATTTAAAGTACACATTATAACTAAATTATTCTTGCACATTCATTTCACAGTTGGAATTTCGTTTATGAATCCTTCTGCTCTTGATTTTAGTCCTTGTACATTAACTTAAGACTTTTAAAGAAATAATTTGTGCCAGAAATACAGGTTCTACATGAAGATACCATTACAGAAAAACTGTATGATTTAACTGAATTCACTGCAAGAGTATAATTGTATCAATAACTAAAACTTACTGGACGTTCAAGCCCTGAGAAAAATAGCAGCATCAGGAATTGAGGGTAGTTTTCCAGTCTATGAAAGAAGAACATACATATCAACAGTTACTGTGAGTCTCAAACATAGTTATATATAAGCTGCAAGAAGTAAAAAACAAGGTTTATGAAAAGTGCAACCCCTGCCCTGGGACTGACAAGAAAACATATATACAATTTTTAAAATAAGGTATTAGATGAAGACCTTACATTGACTACAGACTGTGAGTATAAACTTCTCTGCTGCTCAGAATGCTATTACATACATATAATAATAATAATAATAATATATTACATTTATATAGCGCTTAATACAAAGTTTCTAAGTGCTTAACAACCAAAAAAATTAAAGTAATGTTAACCTACAAACTACAACAATATATTACATGATACATAATTATAAATAACAAATTCCTAATAACAATCATACAATAATAAAAGTTAATATTTACATAATGCTTTATAGTTTAACAAACAAAATATGATTACATTACATTACATATCACTTTAGGCAATGTTGAGGAAAGCCTCATATAGCAACCATAATGATATTGTGAGATGGTACTGGACCATTACCATCTCAATACTCAATCAATTATTTTATTTTTTTTATTTTGTGTGCAATGTTCAACAAAATACAAAGTAATATACAAACTGGGTACATTATTAACAAAAGTCAAAAAACATATATAATCATATCATAATTAAAGCAATAGTTATAAAAAATCTACCTTTAAAAAACACAGGAGAAAAAATGCAGGAGACTGCCATATTAAGCTAGAGCTTGAACATGATGGCGGCCTTAGTACATGGTAGTATAATGCTAGTGTTACCAAACAAAATGTGCAAATAGATGCTTCAAAATTGCACAGTACTAAGAAACAACAGTGTTTTTTTTAAGCCTCAATAATGAGTTTTCTCATGTAACAATTATACCTTAAATTCTAGCTTTCTATCTTTAGTTACAGATAGCTTTTCTTGTAATTCTTTAACTCTCTGAAATTGTTTCACTTACGTGTTCTGATGTGCTCTCTGGACACAGTTGAATGCAGGAATGGTGTCACTGTACATGGTAGGGTACTGCCAAAAAGAATACCATAATCAGATTAAATCAAAATCAATACAAAAAGAGAAAGATGGCCTATGAATAGACTTCAATAGAGCAATACTGTAAAATTCAAACAATGGTACCACAATTAAAACATAAAGAAAATAAAATAAGAAAGATGGCCTATGAATAGAGCGATACTGTAAAACTCAAACAATGATACCACAATTAAATCAGAATGAAAACAAAATCTATGGCCTATAAATAGTGCAATACTGTAAAATCAAACAATGATACACCAATTAATAAAAACAAAGTGAATTAAAAATGAAAATGATGGCCTATGAATAGAAAAATCAAACAATGATACCACAATTAAAACAGAATGAATACAAAGTGAGAAAGATGGCCTATGAATAGAGCAATACTGTAACATTCAAACAATGATACCACCATTAAAACAGAATGAATACAAAGTGAGAAAGATGGTCTATAAATAGAATAATACCGTGACATTCAAACAACGATACCACCATTAAAACAGAATGAATACAAAGTGAGAAAGATAGCCTATGAATAGAGCAATACTGTAACATTCAAACAATGATACCACCATTAAAACAGAATGAATACAAAGTGAGAAAGATGGCCTATGAATAGAGCAATACTGTAACATTCAAACAATGATACCACCATTAAAACAGAATGAATACAAAGTGAGAAAGATGGTCTATAAATAGAACAATACCGTGACATTCAAACAACGATACCACAACTAAGACAGAATGAATACAATATGAGAAAGATGGCCTTTAAGTAGGAAAATACTGTGACATTCAAACAATGATACCACCATTAAAACAGAATGAAAATAAAATGAGACAGGAGGCTTTTGAATAGAACAATACTGTGACTTTCAAACAATGATACCACCATTAAAAGGGTATGAATACAAAATGAGAAAGAAAGCATATAAATAGAACTATAATGTGACATTATAACAACGATACCACAACTAAAACAGAATGATAAAAACATGAGACAGAAGGCCTATATGAATAGAGCAAAATCTGACATTCAAACATTGATACCACAATTAAATCAGAATGAATACAAAATTAGAAAGATGGCCTATGAATAGAGCAATACTGTAAAATTAAAACAATAATACCACAATTAAAGACAAAGATCAGTTCTGGTCATGCGATTGCATTGTGAAATAAACGTTGTGAAATCAATCAAAAAAGGTTCATCATCTAGCATATAAGTATTGGTGTGTACTGCAAGGTTCTGGAATCATCATAATAATAATAAGAAATTTGGCCCAGCCTTGGTAAAGTTACAAGCACTGTACACAGAAAGATGTATATGGGACTACGTGACACATGCGTGATATTTATCAGGTCCAAATAGATGTACTACTACTAATTTACCAAACATATCAATTAGTAGGCGGCTTGTCAGCAAAATTTGTATTATAACATATTAGTCAAAACATATTCTTTCACATGAGCTTCCATTTCATTTTTGAGAGGGGGGGCATTTCTAAAACTTGACTTTACCTTTAAAGCAGAATGTATTCAAAATGAGAGATGGCCTATGAATAGAGCAATACTCTGACATTCAAAGTGCCATCTCATTTGAACAAGAGCATGGTGAAAGAAATACACTGTTTCTACTTTAAATTCAAATGGGTTGAACTTGATGGATTATGCTGAAGATTTTTGTTTGTTTTGGGGTATGAACTACATGTAGCTATTGTAACAGTTTGAATTTGTCTTTATATTTCAGTTAGTAAATTTCTCATCTCTTCCTTATCCATTATTACATATTCATTTATATATTTGCATTCTTCATTTGCATATTCATTTTCCCTGCTCATGTTCCCATTTCATTCACCTTCTTACAGCACAGTCTTTCAGTTGCACTACTGCCACACCTTATTTTCCTCTCTCTCCTTCAAACCCATTCCCTTTGTTGTCTTCTAATTCTCTATGCATGGTTGCCTTTTCCTGCCCTAGCAACATGCACTTTCTCTTCTCTCATTCGTTCTCTTTGCCTCTCACCTTTGATCTATCTAGCCTGTTCACCTCATTTGTTTCTCTTATCACACGACTTTCCCCTGATTGGTTTATTTTGTTATGATGCCTGAGTTGTACTCAGAGGCATGTTATAATATTGAGTATTAAAGTGAGTTCTGTTCCGTCCTTCTTCGTGTGAGGTTGTGTTTTCTACTGTCTTGGTTTACTTGAGTTTTGTTGGAGAGTTTAGATTGTTTTTGATGCAGCATGTTCGATGATTGATTTTGGTTTATAAGTTCCCTCGGTTAATAAACACGTTACACTATGATGAGATGATGAAAAGAGGAACCATAATTAAACACTTTAGTCTCTCCAAAATCAAAATTCCATTTGTGATAAATGTTTGTCAATTTGGTAGTACTCTCATTTTCTCAAAGGGTCCATAACAATCACCCTTGAATATTTTTGCTCTGTATGTTGGTAATATATTCAAAATATTAGCTCCTATTACTCCTGTAATGAGAGATTGCATGCATCAAAATTTACACTTTAAATTAAAGATTAAAAGCAACTTTTGTGAGTACATTTGCTAACATACTGGAATATATATCCACAGCGCAGCTACATGTAGGTTGCATAAGATTTGTTTCCGTTTTCTTGAGAATAATAACTTTATGGACTGCATGGACTTTATTAACTTGTTGACTGCTGAATTGTTTAATGCCCATAGGCTTAATACAGGATCCACCCGGTTCCAGGAGCCAATGGGTTAAGTCATTCAATTACGTAGGATACATACATGTAACATCGATCAAGAGCCCAATTAATAACTTACCTCAACGCCATACTTTTTTCGAGCCCTCCCCACCTGGATGGCCAGGAACTGTACCATGAAGGCACTGGCGGCTCCTACCAGCACCACATACCCGTACTCCTTGGGCAGAGTTGAAAGAACAGTCATGATGATGCAATCTGAGCTCTGTAAAAAATAGAATATTGATGGTGAAACAGCTTTTGAGACACAAATTGTACAACCTGATTTGAACACCTTTTTCTGTACGTTACTTTTTTGTGGGGTAAACAATTTTGTAAAGAGGAATTCATACCTACCGTACTTAGAAATATAAATGCAGGGGCTTATGAATAGTGTGGTGTACGTGCATCCATTATCCGTTGACAAGGTGAACTGATTCTACTCTTGCAAAAGTAGAACTGTGGCACACTGCCAAAATAAACAACTACATGTAGCCCAACTCTGCATATGATGAAATACATTTACAAATTTACAAATATATGGTAGACTTTTATAATCAAAATATACCTATATAATAGAAGTCAACTTTAAAAATCAGTTGACATTTCCCCTGAGTGCATGAGCATGTCTTTATGCTCGTTGAACATGATTTTTTATTGTTACCTTTCGAGTGTCAGAATCATCAACCTACATGTACATGTATGTAGTGCCTACCAATAAAAGAGGCGGGGTCACGCCTGACACCATTCGCTCCCAAACACACCGGATAGGGGTAATAAAATCAGAACGATTGCTCTTGAACTGGATCTAAATTCGAGTCGCTGGCATAGTTAATTACCTACGTTGTATAAAATGATCAATAGTAAATGAGTCAGAATATAGTCTCACTGAAAACGGAAAACAACAATGAATATAGTAAATAAACGTTCATACCGTACCTCGAAGTCGACTTGCAGCTGAAGTGAAGTTGAATGAGAGTTATACCGTGACTTGGCACTATCCGGTTTTATCCCAGGAAAATACACCATTTATATCCGGCCGATGAAAGTGCCATTCACGTACGTGTAAAGTTGCCCAAGCCGGAAATTCGAGTATCCGAAGTCAGCGCTAGCGCTAGCGAGCAAAACAAATTACTGTATTCATCATGACGTATTAACTCGATCCAATATGGCTGAATGTGAGGAGCTTGTTAGTGAAATGACGGCGGAAGAAATGGGACAGTTCCGAGTGGAAATGGAGGATATGTTGCACGATAATGAAGAGCAGGATATGGACATCGAGTCGGGTGGGTATGATCGAACGTCCGTCATGATTGATGGTCATGTTGGAACGTCAAGAGACGGCCAAGGTAGCGACGATGGAGACGAAGATCGCGACCGGCTAAGAGGCGGTGGAGATTTCGACGGGGATGGGTACATTCAGCACACCATTTCTGCGGATCAAATTCAAATGCAAATCATGCCTGGCTATGCTTTCATGCCTCGTGCCGAAAACATAGAAGGAGCTACTCTGACACTTGAAACAAAGAACCCCAAAACAAAGAAGAAAATGATTCAAAAGTTCCATTGTCACTTTGAAAGCTGCGACAAAAGATACAACTCAGCGGACAATCTTCTTTCGCATCAAAAATCGCATCCAGGCGACTACAGTGTGATCTGTTACGATGGAGATTGCGAGAAGGGAATGGCTGAATCTGGCCAAAGCAAGCAGGGCAAGTCTTCGAAAGAAAAGAGATTTGTGTGCGAATATCCACGTTGTACGCGTTCTTACAGTACTGCGGGGAATTTAAAGACACACACGAAAACGCATACCGGCGATTATCATTTTGTTTGTGATGAAACGGGATGTGGGAAGGCATTTCTCACATCTTACAGCAAGAAGATCCATGTCCGTGTACATACAAAAGAGAAGCCGTACTCTTGTGACAAGCAAGGTTGCGAAAAATCTTTCAATACTTTGTACAGGTGAGAAAGAAGTTTGGGTTTACATACTGTAATAATAATAATTAATATATGTATAGACTAAATATAAATAATATTGGTTTCATACTTCACATGCAGATTCAAAGACAATAGATCTACAGATTAAAAAAAATATACATTAAAGATTTTTAAAGTCATATTGATTCATGATAAAAGAATGATTGTAGTAATTGAGAAATTAACCAGACTACAAAATTATATCACCAAATATGTTTGACAACTATTATCATGTTTAATAAAGGAAACTAAAAGAAAAGTATTGAGGTCAGTTTGTACATGGTACATGAATTCATTCTCCTTTACTCAACTATTGTACATTTTTTATGTTTTCTGGTTGTAAAACATAAATTGTGCATATACATGTAAATTTATTGTAAAATATGTAGTTAAACTTAAACCTGTATTAATACAATGTATTGTATGTGTAGATCTAGTTAGAGATTGTATTGGATGCTCTTTTATTGTAAACAGTTCCCATTCAAAATAACTTGTCTACTTTTGTTGTTGAATTGAAAAAAAAGAAAATATCATTTTGACTTTCATGTATTACTTTTCTTCAATTCTTTTAGCACTATTCCTACATGTAAATATGTTACTTACATGTACCTGTAAGGTGGAAAAGCACTGTTAGCTATAGGCTCGTAAAATGGATTTGGTAGATCTACATGTACATGTACATGTACATTTGTACCTGCATGCTGCATGGAATATGCAGCACAAGAACAACCCTCATTAGAAATGACGAAACACATTAAGTGGGGAAAATGTGGTACAATAAAATCAATGTACAGTACTAGAAAAAACCACTCAGTCTGCTGATTGCTTAATAACACTGAAATGAATAAAATTGATACATGTAATACCGGTAATAATAATAACAACACCACCACCAACAGCAACAACCACCATCATTCATATTCATCATAATATTATTAAGTGGTCTGAGTGCTTTGTTCAAGAGGATTAGCTGAGCCACAGTGTAATGTAATTTTGTACATGTACATGTAAAAGCTACAGTGTAGGATGCCATGTAACCAGATTTGTTTGTTTCTTAAGGCGGGACTGCACTACTTATACTTGTAGCTACTTGCGCCCTCTATATAGTAAACAATGTCTAAGCGGTACCCACTCGTCCCCAATGATCCTCTTTTTCTTATGTTAATTGAGAGCTGATTTGATGAGATAACCACCTGTCAGTGACCATGCTGCACTGGGAGGTCTAATCCTCCTGGCCAAACTAGTGCAGATAGGCATTAAAGGAAGTGCTTTTTATTAAATTGTTAAATTGTCATACAGAATGTTTGTTTTCTTGTACATTGTACATGTAGGTCATGTGCTCTTTGTTATTTTTGTGTTTCAGTTTCACTATTTTGTTTGTAAATGTTTCCTCTTTTAAAGTTTCCTGTTTGAAATTAATCTGTTTCATCTTTTTCTATTATTCTACAATTGTTGTACATCAAAATTGTACACTTTACATGTACTGTAGTCTTTTGCTCTTTGGTCTTTTTGTGTTTCAGTTTCATTCATTCTTTTGAAATGTTTCCTCTTTTATCATTTCGTGTTTGAAATTATTCTGTTTCATCATCTGCAATGATTCTCTGTTTATCTTTTAGGGCAATTCCAGGTTGTTATGCGATTGTGTTCCCCGACTCCCATTGTTTACCAATCACATCAAAGATATATGTTGGGACAGTTGGGTAACTTGGGTTTGAGTTTAAAGCTTATCTGCCATAGTTTACAGGAGGGATTAGACCGCCCTACAAGGTCACTGGACATGTGGTTATCTCATCAACTCAGCTCTCAGTTAACATAAGAAAAAGAGGATCATGGGGGACCAATGGTCACCGATTAAGCATTGTTTGTTATATAGAGGGCGCAAGTAGCTACAAGTAGTGCAGTGGGCCTTTAACAGTTACTCTAAAGGTTTTAGTAGTTAACTTTATCAATATCAACACTTCTTAGCATTGGTGTATTTTGTTCATTTTTCCTCCTAAATTACAGATTGAAAGCTCACCAGAGAATCCACACAGGTTCTACCTTCAACTGCGACGAGGAAGGGTGCAGTAAGGTGTTCACAACACTCAGTGATCTTAGAAAACATGTCCGAACGCATACAGGGGAACGCCCTTACAAGTGAGTATAGTCATTTTCTGGCACAGTGTCTGTGTTGTGGTTTCAAAGCTGTCATGACCTAGTTATAATAGGAAAAATATAGGTTTTTGGCAGAACGCCTGTTAGATGAGAAAGTGCAGAGAAAGAGGAAGGGATAATATGAACAGACTGGGAAGAAAGAGAACCGAGTGGAAACACAGACAAAGGGGATAGAGAAATAACTTCTTTTTTTTTTTTTTAATGGTCGTGACTGTTACAGGATACAAGAATGTATCAGTGAGAAGAAGAAAAAAATCTGTTTGCGGGAGCTCCTTTAGAAATTGGTAAAAAAGTGCAATTTTTTTCAGCAATATACCATGTACTGTATACATGTATGTTGTTTGTTTTTTGTTTTTTCTCAATTTACCAGAGCTATTTTAGAGCTTTGAACTATTTGAAGAGCTAAATTGCTTGAACCATCTATTTTTTCTTGCTGGAATGTTTACATTTTTATGTCTCTGCTTTAAAGATTCAACCACATAAATTTAGTATAACAACAGGTAAAAAAAAATACATAATTCTGCAAAGTGCTGCATCAATGATGATTATATACATGTATGATTTATGTCGACCTAACAGTTTACAAAATCATGTTTACGCTTTAGTAATGCAGTAATAGGAAATTACATCATATTTTTAATAATAATCATAATTAGTTTGAAGGGCAATCCAACCCATGTACAGGTAATAAGTTGATTGGTACAACTGTATGGAAGCAGAAAAATATGAGAAACGGGAAGGCCAAAGTTTGAAATAAATCAGGCCAATAATAAGGGTTATGAATGTTTGAAATATGAGATCACTAAATCACTAAATATGAGGGAACTTTAACCCCCCCCCCAAAAAAAAAAAAATATATATATATATATACATACAACATGTGCTAACTACATGAACATGTTCATGCACATATTGACAAGCTGTAAGAATTGCTGTTCTTAAATAGTGTTTTTTAATATCATACGGTATTCAGAATTTCAGAAATACAAAATGTACATGTGTACACTGTACAGGTGGCCATTAAGTGAAGAAAGCAGGTGATTTCTTTGTTTAAAGATAAAGACCAGTTCTGGTCATGCGATTGCATTGTGAAAGAAACGTTGTGGAATCGATCAGAAAAGGTTGATCATCTAGCATATAAGTATTGGTGTGTACTGTAAGGTTCTGGAATCATCAAAATGATAAGAAATTTGGCCCAGTCTTTGTAAAGTTACAAGCACTGTACACAGAAAGATGCATATGGGACTACGCACACGTGCGCGACACGTGCGTTTATCTAGCTCACACACCAATAGATAAACTAATTTACCAAATATATCAATAAGTAGGCAGTTTCCCGGCAAAATTTTTATCATCATGTACATTGTATTACGGTAGTCAAAACATATTCTTCACATGATTGGTATTAGAGCTTCCGTTTCATCTTTTGAATTTGGGGCGTTTCCAATACTGGTCTTTAATTACCTTTAAAATTCTATGTAAGATTGAATGCCATCGCAGGATACAATCTACCCTATCCTTTTTTAATAACAATAACGACAGGTGGGAACCCCATGACACATGACCTTCTTGTATTAAGGGTCCTTTAACGCTGCTTTGCCTTGCCAACAAGAATAACAGTTATAAAACGTTCAACCTGCTAATTAAGCCAGAAGTCACTAATACCCTTTTCTAACTGCACTGATTTTCATCGGATGCATCCGATGAAACGGTCAGTTAGAAAGCAACAGAGGAGAAAAAGGCGATTAAATAGCCGATGAAAAGAAGAGAAATAGGCGATTAAATTCTCCCGCTCAAGAGCAGGAGAAATTCTTATTCTATCGGTGTGACACCGATGAAACGTCCACTTAGAAAACGTTCAGGAGAAAAAGGCAATTAAAACAGCGATTAAAATGGTCAAAGGTCGCTGTATACGCGCGCTTTATCGTAACCAGCTGTGTTTGTTGACTTATGGTTGAACATGCTGCATGCTAGCTAGATGGAGCGCGGGTTTAATAATTACGCAATAATTCTTCACTTCCGGCAAGGGCTCGCCACAACGAGTGAATTTCACCGGCAGTTAGAAAGCGACAGGGGGGAAACTGCGGTTTCACCTTTGTTTACATAAGGTAAATTCAATCGGTATTTTCATCGGTGTGACTTCGATAGAACCCAGTTTAATAGAAAGCAGTATAATTCAATTAGTTTTCTTTTTAATATATTGATTACATGTGTATTAACTTCATTTTCACACATGATGCATGTAATACGTGTCCATTGTCCATTTTGGGTTGCGGTAATATGAAAAGGATCATTCGGTACATTGTTGACCAGTACTGTAGCACCTGACTTTTGAAATTAATGTGCATGTGTATGTGTGTGGAAACACAATGGAATTTGCAAGTACGAGATCACAGGTGCTATTAGATGATGTACTTGTGTAATGCGCATTGTACTACGGTAACTGCACAAAAGTATTATTTGACAGTTGAAACTTTCAATTGGTAATTAAATACTTTCTTCTTTTGAAGCTGAACTTACTGTACACAAGTGCAATGTACATGTATAGGACACTGTCAAATTTGAGTTTTTAATTTCTTGGATAATTTATTCTACAATCTACACTTCTTCAAATTCTATTCTTTTAATGACATTTTGAAATATGAATTTCGTTATGATTTGTTGACAAATCAAGGCAACATACATGTCATGTACATGTAGTCATGTACAGTACATGTATACATGAAGTTAGTTTGTGTACATGTACATCAGAAATTAAAATTCTTTGTGCCCTACACCTACCTAGTACTGCACATTGTCTTTTGAGATCCAGCCTTTCTGGGCGGTGTTTCACAAAGACTAAGATCGACTCTAAGTTGGACTTAACTACATGTATGGCAGGCCATTCAAGCCACTGTTTGCTCTCACTATTGGTCTCTTAATTACGATCTTTAGATAATATTTTTTTCCTTCACTAATGTACTATCAAAAAATGTAAATTCTCTAGATTTGTGACCACGGTTTGTACGTCCCTTGAGAAACTAATGCCAGGAATGGTTAGAGGAACTTGTGGCATGAATGGCCTGCCATAGTTAAGTCAAACTTTAAGTTGATCTTAGTCTTTGTGAAACACACCCCTAGGGATATTAATTTCTTATGCTGCTTGCAAAGTAGCATGTTGAGGGGCAGGTTTTGTGTACATTGTACATGTACCATGGGAAATATAGATTTTTAATTTTAAAAAAATATAGTTTGATTTATCAAAAAGTGTAAAGACTTTTAAAATAATTATTCATTAATTTAGATTGCATTGCTATCAGAATATTCTTCAATTTCACAATGTGCAGACCTCTGATTCCTGAGAGCTAATATTGATCAAAGGCATTATTTTTTTCTTAAGTTAATCAGCAACAGAAATGTGTACTTAGTAATATAATGTCATTTTTCTTCTTATATCATATTTAGTTGGTTAATACCAGCAAAGAACTTCTGTTCATTGACAGCTGTTTCTCTCTCTCTCTCTCTCTCTCTCTCTCTGTGCCCAGATGTGACTTTGGAACCTGTGGAAAGGCGTTTGTTGCAAGTCATCATTTGAAGACGCACATAAGAACTCATACAGGTATAGTGTAACTTAATTACCATTCATAATTTTCCATCTGCACTCTGTGATATGTACTGGATTATAAAATATACAAATAAACATTTTGATAATACAGTTTACATGTACTGTATGTAATAGTTATATTATATTGACTGGGCTTGAGGGGTATATCAGAAATATTGACCAAGCTAAAAGATCATATTGCCCCGAGTCGAAGACGAGGACAATATGGTCTTAGCGCGGTCAATATTTCTGATGTACACTGTACCCGTAAAGAAGCCCTGTCAATATATTTATTATTATGATTTAATACATGTTTGATTCATGTAGTGGTAGAGCAGTGATCTCGTAACCAGGAGGTCTCAGGTTCGAAACCAAGTCATTACGCTTGTGCCCTTTGGTAAGGCTTTCATCGTTATTACACCAAAACTTCTGGGAAGGCTTAAAGCTGTTGGTTCCTTGGTTGTTTACTTACAAGCATATACATAAGCATATACATGCTTTCTTAAAGCAGTCAGGCAAAGCAATCCTCAAGGAAAGCAGAAAAAGAGAGAATACCCCCCCCCCCCAAAAAAAAACAAAAAAAAAAAAAAAAAATATATACATATATATATATATATATATATTTATATATCTTTGTCTACAGTTTTCATTTTTTTCTTCTGAATTGTCCACAAATCCAGGTGAGAAGCCATTCACCTGCATCGAGGACGGCTGCAAGCGTGCCTTCACCACGCAGTACAGTCTCAAGAGCCACCAGAGGGGCCACCATGAGAAGCAGGATGCCACCAGCCTCTCTGGGCTGGAGGAGGCCGATGAAGATCATCCGGAGGGGGAGGAAGAGGATGGGGAGGGGTCAGGGGGAGGAGTAGGAGGTGGTGGTGGTGATGGTAGTCGAGCTGGAAACGTTAATGATGAGCAGTCATTGGAGGAGCAAGTCGTACAGGTGATTATAAGGAGACGTTGCTTCATCTCAATTGAATTGAATTGTCTGAATCATGAATTCGTCCCTATTTTCACGAAGTGACGGTAGTGAGAAAAATCGTAACGCAAAGTGAATGCAATTTTTTTTCACTACCGTCACTTCGTGAAAACAGCGACGAATTGTATTGAATCTGAATTGTGAATTTAATTTAACCCGAATTATGAATTTAATCCAATTACTCAGTCTGAATTATAAATTGAATGTGATTTGATTTTGTTAATTTTATTTCAATCTGAATTACGAATTGAATGTGATCGGGATTTGAAATGGATTTGATCTGAATTACGAATTGAATTTAATCCGAACTATGAATTGAATTTAACTACTTAGTCTGAATTATGAATTGAATTTTAGTCTGCATGCTGAACTATCGCATTTGTTGTTACCTATGTTCAAGTTAAATGTTCTACTCTGTATCCATCTGTATCTTATTGATGTTTATAATCTGTAATCTTGTACTGACATGCAAAGGAAACAAATTTCCAATCATTGGACAATAAATTTGAATATGAATATGAATTATGTAATTGTAGTTTCCATAGAGACAGTCTGGAGACTCACTCCATTGTATGTACAGTATATAGTATGATTATGTACATGTACTAGGCAAACCTGTGCCTTTAGTTTCGAACAAATTTACATGTATGTACATGTATGTAAACATGTATGGGTAAATGAAATGTCGCTCTTTAAAGGTCAATACATTGAGGTTGTAGTGAAACCTACATGTAGGTGGCCAAAAATTATTAGCAAGGCACATACACAAGGCACATGTGTGAATAAAAAGACACACTCGGTAGATACAATATATGTCCAGTTCGGAGCTAAATTTAATTGTAGATGAATGAAACCTGAATATTATTCAAGAACTAGTACAGTACAAATTGTTTTGAATACCCGGTATAAAACATTCCATAAATTCTTGTGGCTTTTAGATCACAGTTGACACTTTCATTCTTGTAGTACAGTAGCCTTCCTACGTAAACCTGACATACATGTACATGATTGCTCTAATCTAACAAGTTTCATGAGAATTAATGCACATCTGGGGGGTGTTTCACAAAGCCTTTTTTCAATGACAAATGACATATATCAGTGACAAATCTGATGATAACCAATCAGAAGCAAAGATTTCAGTAGCTTATAACAGCCACCTGTCATTTGTCACTGATGACAAATTTTGTGAAACACCCCCCTGATGATGATTTAACTTTTATATTGTATTACATGATGGCAGGCTAGCAATGAGGTTGCAGCTCAGATATTGAACACACTGAGTGGAGTTCTGGGCATGGGTATTTCTTCCACAACTGAGGTCATTCAAGCTTCCACAAGCGAAACACCAAAGGTAAACTATCCTCCCTTCTGCCCCTGTTCATTATGAAGTCTACTATGTGGGCCTCATCTTTATGCCACATGTTTATGTAAGTCCCATATACATCTTTCTGTGTACAGTAATTCTTACTTTACTAAGACTGGGCCTTATTACTTATCATTTTGATGATTCCAGAACCTTGCATCACACGCCAATCTCTACATGTATAAGCTACATGATCAACTCTTTCTGATCGATTCCACAACGTCTCTTTCACAATGACTAGAGCTCAACTTTATCTTTAATCTACTAAATATTGTCCCATTATTGGTCAAATATTGAAGCCAGGAGTGGTGTTTTTGGCATGGGTATTTCTTCCACAAGTGAGGTTATCCAGGCTTCCTCCAGTGAACTACCAAAGGTGATTTAGCCTAGAACTTGTTTTTTGACAGTGTAATAGCGAAATGGTTCAATAGAACAAGTGGCTATAGAACCAAGTCAGTTTGCCATTGCCCTTGATACAAATCCTGAATGATGCCGTCCCTCAGATTGGATGTGAAACTATAGATCGCTTGGCTGCCTGCATGTACTTCCAAAAAGCAGCGACATGAAATCAGTAAATCAATCTAATTCAAGATAGACTTGGAGTGGTGTACCAAAACCTTTTACAGTCAAACCTGTCTACAGCGACCGCCCAGGGGAAACACAAAAAGTGGTCTTTGTAGACAAGTTCCTTTGGTACATGTTTCAATGAGATATCATTTTCAAGGGAAACAAAAAAAAATGTGGTCTTTGTAGACAGGTGGTCACTAAAGCAGGTTCGACTGTATATTCGTAAGACATTGACAAATTTTCATTTATTTGTAAACACATCCTTTGTATGTTCACAGATTCAGGACATCAATCTAGAAGGCAACGGTCAGCCAATTATCCTCCAGGCTCAGCCTAGTAACGTAGCCTCATCTTCCGCCGTAACGCCGAAACCCGAAACCCAGATCTCTGTCTCACAAGAGGTTCCTAAAGCAGGTAAGACATCACATATTTCAGCAGTTCTTATCTGAATTAAAAAAAATTATGTACAGCTGGCTGGGAGGTGTGAGTGGATGAGTATGGATCTATTGATTTGATTTGATTTGAATTTATTTGATTTTCATATTTCACAAATAAATTTGAACATGTAATTATACTAACAAACAATACATTCAAAAACGAAATACAATTGAATGAATAAATTGAAGACTAAAATACAATAAAATATTACATAATCAACAATTTGTTTGTAATTGACATAACGTGAAATACGGGGGAACCAAAAGGAAGCAATGCTTGTGAAAATATTTGGTTTGGTCAGCTTTCTGTCTTCTCCTACAAAATGACTCTGACAGATTCCGGCTGTGAGTGGATGAGTATGGATCTATTGATTTGATTTGATTTGAATTTATTTGATTTTCATATTTCACAAATAAATTTATTAATAGTCTTTTGGATGGTGACATTAAAGTGACTCGGTAACATTGTTGAAGGTTGATAAAAAAAATTGCTTAATTTTTGTATAAAATGTTACTTACTATATTCCTTCTACTGTACTAACCCTCTGACAGGCAAAAAATCCTGAAAAAATTCTCAAACCACGAAGATATCTAGGGTTTTCTTTGAAGGCGTCGATGTGAGGCACCCTCTAACAGTGATTAACAGTAAATTCTCCCAACCATTTTTGAATTTTCCCAACCGTTTTTCCATGAAAAAAAAGACATAAAACAGGCTATAAAAAATCTGTCAACACTTAAATGTCTGGAATGGAATGTAGAGCCATTTTATTGCTTTGTGAGATTTCCATTCACCTAAAATGTAACTAAATTGTTCTATAGATCTAGATCTAGACCTAGTTGGGAGAATTAAGGAATCAATCAGATCAGAAATTCCCAATTTGTACCATGAATAATGGTCCGTTTTCACTCAAATTTTCAGATTATCTTTAATTGTACATATAGCATTAAAGTCACTACGTTAGAACCACTATCTCTCATCTGAACAATGTTACCAAGTCCCTTTAAAGGTCGGTTCCTAGACCTAATTAATCTTATCTAATTGATACACATCTGTACAGCCCATCTACACACACAGAGCTCAAACTGGTACTGACAAAAGATCATGCCAAAGCTCTTAGTGAAGATTGTACAAATTCTCTATTCATTTTGGGGGGATTTCTTCTGTTGTTCAAGTTTGCCAGTTTTCAGGCAATAGCCTGATATCAGGCCCTGACGAGTTATTTTCATACCAAAATTTAGGCTTTTTTGTGTATGACGTAGCTCATTCTAGGTGATTTTCAGGCCCTCTGATTAATTCTAACTGGCATCCCTGCTTGTTGCTACATGTATTTCTTGAATATAATGAAGAGAAATCAAGGTTCAGTGAAGAAAGCGTTTTCAAACAAAATCTAACTCTCAATGAAAAATCTTATTTCCGTTTAATATCCACAGCTTCCCAAGCGCAGACTGTGACAGTCCAGAACGTTTCTTGCGGGAACGGAACCCAGAACCTTGTCATCACCATCAACCAAGGGGCCTCATCCTCTGTGCCTCCCACCCAGCTGGTCATCACCCCGGATGTACTCCAGTCCTTGGTGCCTAAGACACAGACAACTCAGCAACCAGTGGTTCCACAACCAGTGCAGCAGACTGCTAGGGTTAGAAATAATCATTAATTGATAATTATAGGCATTTCTATAGCGCCCTCTATCTAGAAATTCTATTCCGAGACGCATTAATTATTACCCCCGGGTTTAGCCTAGCTGCCATTACAGCGCTCTAGCATTTCAAGGAATTGATCTCTGCCAGGTACCCATTTACCTCACCTGGGTCGAGTGTGGCAAATGAAGATGAATGCTTTGAAGGACATTTCTTTGTTTTGTATGGACTCGTTTCTTCCTGTCTATCTATTGATGAGTATTTTTGCAAGCCTGTTTGTTACATGGGAAAATAGTGGTGGAAGAAAAAAGTAGGATATTGTCCCCTAATAAGGACTCCTTTTATCTCATCTACCTCATCCATATTATTTTCTTTCTTTTTTTTCTTCTTTTTTTTCTCTCTTTTTTTTTTCTTCTTTTTTCTGTTTGTTTGTTTGCGTGGGCTTGGTTGACTCGGTTTTGTTCTCTCTCTCTGTCTCTCTTTCTCAATTTTTTTCTTTCTCCGCCTCCTCCCCTCTCTATCTCTCTCTCTCTCTCTCTCCCTCTCTCTCTCTCTCTCTCTCTCTCTTTCTCTCTCTCTTTCTCTCTCTCTCTCTCTTTCTCTTTCTCTCTCTCTCTTCTAATTTAAAGACTCTTGACATTATGGGAAATATGATTTTGAGTAATTAAAAAAAGTAGAGGCCGGTTGAGGCAGTTATTCCCAAGAAGAGATCTTGTAAATCAAGAACCCTTTATTAAAATCATGTTTACTGGTATAAATTTAACGGACATCATATTGTGACGTACTAGTACGTGTATGTCAGCTATTATTGTTATTTGTATTAAATTGATTTAAGGAAGATATCATTGAACCAAATATTCTATTGATCTTGTTTGAAACAGATACAACCTGCTTCAACGGCCAATACTGTAGCACTTCCCAACCAGTCTATCCAGAGCTCTGTAATCCAACCCCAGATGCACCCTCAGGTTCACATCATCACCGGCGGTATCGCCACCGATGAACGGACTCTGACGGTTGCACCGCCCCAACCTCCACGCCAACCGCAGGTCCTTCCCACACCCCAACCGCAGGTCCTTCCTACACCCCCATGCCAGCACCATTCGCACCAGCTCCAGCCCACCGCTATACCGGTTTCTATCACCCCTCAGGGTGGCATACAGATCTTGGGGGGGTTACCCTCTGCAGGCGGTACCTTGGTCCAGACCCCCGGTGCCGCAGGGTTATCCAGCACCTATCTCATCCCCCAGTACTTTGCCACCGGCAATCTAGTCGGTGCACAGATGGTACCGCTTGAAATGGCTCAGTATATGGGCATACCCCAGCAGGGTGTTATAATGCAACCACCCCAGCCTCAGCTCGGCACCATACAAACGCAGTTGGGTAGTACCGCCCTGCCCTCTGTTCGACCCGGACAGCACATTGTGTACCAAGCACCGACAGTAGCAAACATTGCTCCAACCTCTACTGTGAATACAATCAAACCAATTTCAATAGCGGTCGCCGAGACTCCTTCTAACTTGATAAATAGTCGACCGACCACTAGCAGTCATCTATCCGACGATGTCTTCTCCCCACCGTCCGTCGACAGCTGTGTTTCGAGTCAGGACAAGAGCCACGGGGCACCAGCAGTTCGGACTCCCTCGAGAAGCAACAGCTGTTCTACGGAAGCCTTCATCAATGAACTCTTGGGCAGCGAGGTCCAACCGCTGGACTACTCCCAGCCCCTCCTCTCGGGATCAGAGAACCCTTCCAAGATGTGTAACAAGTGTAATTGCTTGTGCGACTGTGACTGCAAGCATGAAGTCAGGTCCCAGATTAGTAGAAACATAGAGAGTATACTCTCCGGTATAGTACAGGATCAGAGTTAGCACCTCTTCTCGTGTACAGACTTAGAATATATTATTGCTTGCTCAATATAAGAAAAAAGAAGTATTGCCGCATGATGTTTTCAGTATTTTCCAGTCTTCTTTCTTCCACAGTCTTCAAAAATGTAAAGATAAATTGCAAAGATAAATTAATGCCTCAGTATTTAACACTGACAAGACCAAAACCAGACTGACGCCATATTAGCAAACGACTTAACATTATTTCACTGTATCTCGAATGGGTGAGTGAGTGGAAGGTTTGAAATCGGTTTGGCGGCGTGACTGGGGTACTGCATGAAAGTCATTCTGGAGAGCATATTCTATAACAACCAAAGTAGATATGTTTTCACTTACATGTAGGTGTCTTTGTATATTTTCTTTTCATGTCTGTGATTATACTTCGTATCTGTTTATATTCACAAGGCATTTTAGAGTTTAATCTGACTCTTTTCTTGGCTTTATTGTGTGCATTTGCAAATGATATTTTTAATTTTAAAAAAATGCAAACTTCTTCGGAATTTCTGTGTCCATTTAAAATCTCTCGCAAAGCAAGGAAAGATTTTTTTTTTATAGATTTACAACCATATCTATGCATAGAACCGTATGAAAAAAATAAGCTGTTTTCTATTTCCTTAAAAATATATATTTCAGATGATCGGAAATATCCCTATCTGAAGATCTGTCTTTAATAGCTCAAGTATATGTAGTCCCATTTTCTTGCCATCAGTTTCTAAACCTTAATATATTTTGATAATTGTATTTTCGGACATTTGCAAGGTATAACCACTTTCATAGGTAATTGATCATCTTCTGTATAAGGATTAAGAATCTAATGTTGCAGTATAAGCAAGGAGTTTTAGGATCAACAGCCCATTATAAGTGCGTTTAAAAATGAAAATCTCAAGCCAGTCGCCTTCCTAGTCAAACAAAATGCATTTAAGAATATGTAACCTGGCCCCACAAGACCACCATTTTGTTTGACTTATTGTGCTAATGGTGGATATTTAGGTCACGGTCATGCATTAACACAACTGAACATATTACAAGACGAATCGCCCTGATTATCATTTTCATAAGAAATTATTCACTTGGGGTTTGCTCTTAATATCATTTCCTTTCTCCACGTATGATATTTATTAGTGAAGCCTTTTCATGGATTACAAGTGTCTGACCCAAACCTTTCTCATGTTCAAGATAAAGAACCGCATTTTGCAGTTTGATTGTCCCTAACTGTGGTGCATTTCACTTTCTATTGTACTGTTATCCAGATGATTATGACATCTGGGTCCCGTCTTGTAAAGAGTTGATATTAATCTCAAATTATTTGCGATTTATATCAATCGCAATTATGATACTTGAGGGATAGGAGACTACAAACTTGTGATCGATTGGAGGAGTTGCAATTGATTTGGATCAATCTTAACTCTTTATAATAAGACGGCCCCCAGGACCCTGTCCTAGCAAGAGCTGTGATCGATTCAAATTCGAACCTTCCTTATCTTGTTTATTTGCATCAATGGTACTTCAGTACATTAGATGATGAGTGAAGTTGAGGCGCTCAACAAACCAGAGGTGAAAACAACACATTGCACTTCAAGAATGACCGTCTCAGCATCATTCAAAACATGTGTCAGTCTTCGAAAGAATAAAAGAATACACCATTGGCATACAATGCGTGACTGCCGTGATATTAGTAAATAGTCCATCTTCCAAACAAATGAACATCTCACCCTTGACAATAACAATACATTGATTTTGCAACATGTCACTTTTGACTTTGCCCCATATGCAGGTGTACTGCACATAACTCTAACTGTACATTCCATAATAATCATTACAAATGGGAGTTATTGTAAAGGAAATAAGCAGGCTTTTCAATGACACCAAACTCAAGTTTGGTAATGCATGTATATTAACAAGAAAGATATTGATACCCAAACTTGAATCGCTGAACATTTTTTGAGGAGTTTAGAAGAAGAGTGATTAAGATAAGACTGGACCCTGGTAGTTAATTGATGTGAAATACAATTCATTATATTTATTGAATGAAATATTTCAGATTTATGTGCAATCTTTTTTGTTTTGTTATAATTGTCTTTCTTCTCTATGTTATAATTTAAGTTGACTGTCTCCTCCAAATATGGCATGTAGATATGAATTTGATGCATCTGTTTTCTGCTTCTTCGTTCGGTCTTGAATGTGAAAAACAACAATTGTTACAGACCCTGTTTACAAGCACAAAATAATGGGGGGGGGGGGGAGAGAATTTTGTCATTTATCATTTTAGTGTATATTATTATTATTATTTATTTGACCAATCGGAAAACATACAATGAGTATAACAATCAGACAATACATAAACAATTTTAGAACATTCAAATGGTGAAGAAACTAAGTTCTTATATGTCCTAATTGTGTGTCTCTCAAACCAAGAAGTTAGTTTTTCACCATGTTTACATTGTTGGTTGAATTAGTTCAGTTATAATTTTGATGTAAATTAAATTGGAAATTGTGCAGAAAATTGTTGGCAAATGTTATAGAGAGGCATCAATAATCTTTTCTGATCTATGAAATTTATGCAGTGTTATCTTTTAGTCAATCGTCACAAGCAAAATATTATGTATAAACCCTGTGTTCTTTGTATTGTTTACTTTTTATACTTAGTGATATGTACTGTGTTTTTCTTTGCAGCTGGTTTGTAGAATAATTTGTTGTGAGTTTTCTTTTTTTACGCCGTGTTTGTGTTTATTTTCTTACTTTAGGTTAATATGCATCTACTAATTTATCACTGTGGCAGTAATCCCATTTGTATCCAATTTGTGCGTATAATGTTCATATTCCTGTTAATCAAGCAAACGGTTATATAGCTTTTGTTCTTCTATGAGATACAAATATCTTCTCCTCTTACGTACATGTACTGTTTCAGTTCAGACTCAAAAAGGGAAACAGCAAAACAGAATACTCTATCGATAGTAAGGTACATGTAAACTTGTATGACAGCATAATTTTTTTTTGTGTTAACAATAACTTAACATACGTTGAACTCCCTTCAATTCATTTCATTTATTTATTTATTCATCGTCGTATCAAAACTACATCAAAATGTAAAGTCGTTCAAATATATTGTAGAGGCAAACAAAAGGGAAGCTACAAAAAAGCGGTGTTTTGAAAAGTGTAGCTGTCCTAAAAAGAATATTTGTCTTACAAATAAATAGTTGTTCAGAGTTTAATGAATATACTTTGTGGGTTATTAAAATGGTGCATGTACTGATACCTGAGGCCTAGAAAATTAAATAGGTACACAGGTACACCAATCTCAAACAAAATGTACATCCTCATTTTGTATTATAAGCTTATGTATTCAGTCCTTCTAATCATGTAAGAAACTAAATACACTGAAACGGTGAAACCTGTCTATAAAGACCACTCAAGGGGGACAAGAAAAGTGGTCCTTGAAGGCAGGTGGTCCTTATGAACATGTTCCTGTTGTACAGGTTTCTATGAGAAACAATTGTGAAGGGAAACATAAAAGATATGGTCTTTATAGACAGGTGGTCTTTATACAAAGGTGGTCGCTAAAGCAGGTTTCGCTGTATTATGAATAGGTTTGTTGTTCTCAATCTCTGTGTAAAATGGTATTACTGGACAAGAAGTGTTTATTGCCAAAGAAGAGAAATTTGTTTAGTGAAGGGGGCAAAAATAATGTGATTATCTGTACAATTCTCTTAAATATTTGTATTAAATGCTGGTTTTAACTACAGTGTAAATTGTTGTATTCATAACCAAAATGTTGAAATATGCTCTGCATCAACTCATATCTTACGCATGTCACAGTGTTTGAAACAGGTCACGTGTTAATCGTCTGTGTCTTGCTCAATCATGAAGCGTTCACCATCTCCGCATGGGGGTTTTACGACACTTGCACCTGTGACAGTGGCTAAGCATCAATTTGGAGCTCTAACCACATCCTTGACTATCCCATCCCTCATATAGGACGTTAAATGGAGGTCCTGTGTACAGGAGAGTCACCACCCTTGCACGTTAAGAACCCACTGCACTATTCTTGTAAGAGTAGGGGGAAACCCCGGTGTATTGGTCCACCTGCACACCCTAATCAGGCCGAGTATAAACGGCATCTGTAAGAATCTTCAGTATTGAAGAAGGCAGATTATCTTGAAGAAGAAGAAGAAGTTCAACCCCTAGACCCGATCCCATACCTAACCCTAACCTGAAATCCAATTGACAACCTAGCCCTAACCCTTTACCTAATAAAGTCTGGAGCAATTGTCACAGGAGCAAAGTCGGGTCACCCCAGAAGTGAAATACTCAAAGGGTATTTGTTAAAGCTTGTTAATAATGTTCAAACATCTCCAACACCTCCTTAAAAAAGGATTTGAATGCAAATCAATTGTCTTGCAGTCAGTGTTAGAAAATGTATCTGTGTGATTTAATAGTCTTGCTGTTTTTATCGATATTCGATTCAAACTTATGGATTTGTGCGAGTATAGAACTTAGACCCTAATATTTTCACCCCGTGAAGGCAGAGCTTTATATTGTTCGGTGCTCCCAAAAAAGGTTGTTACTACCATGAGAAATACATTGCTTTGGTGGCCGTACGAAGAGCAGCAGAAAATACTGCTAAAAGATCTTGTATATTACAAGGTTTATTTTGTTCATAATTATTAACTGAGCCATATTGGCTTTCGAGTCTTGGTTGTTACATTACATGTATTGTTATGCAAGGTTCTATTGATAATTGTTTTTGTTAAGTTTTTACCTCCTATTTGCCAAAACTCCCTGGATTAATGAGAAATAGGGCTTCACATGACTTCAAAAAAACATCTGAAAAAAACCTCTACAATTCTTAATTTGTCCTTAGATTAATTGAAGCACGCTTTGTATCCTCAGGAAAAGGTGCAATATAAATCCTTATATTAAAACTATTCTTCTTAAATTCAGAAAAAGTAAAAAATATGTTTTCATCTGCCCAATTCCCTGCCCTGCCCTTAACAATGAATAATAAAAACTGTGTTTATATCATTCTGATAGCATAAATAGTTTATTATTACCCTCCTTGAGCTAATTATCTTGGTATTTAAAGATTCATTCCAAGAAAGGAATCTTACGAAAAACAAAGAAAGAAGTTGATACAGTTTTGTTTTGTTAAGACCTAGAAATAACTTTGTCAAAACTTGTATGAAATGTGTATAAGAGTAAGGTTTAATAGAAATGATCATTGTATTTGTTATTATCAAATAGTTTTGTATGTGTAAAGAAGTGCTTGTGCATAGGTTAGAGTTATATTTAAATAAAATGAAATATATATTTGAATGTAGATATGTGCTAGTGTGCAAATAGCTTTTTATTTGGCTCGACTTACTTTTTTGCATAAAAAGACATTATCAAACAGCATGGAAGGAAGTCTATGGGTACCGTAGAAATTGCAAGAAAATTTGATTGTCGCTGCATTATCTCTTTTTATGAATGAGAACCTCGTAAATATGTTGAATTCTGAACATGAAATCGACATCAAACGTCTCATTTCATTTCAAATATGATCTGAGCTCTAGTATTTCTATCAACTTAATGCTGTGACCAGATATACACATAATAACAGAAATAATAATCTGGATTTATATAGCGCTTGATACGAAATACTGTCTCTAAGCGCTTAACAGATATTATTACCCCGGTCATCACTTTAACGCACCTTCTCCACTCCCTGAGGAGTATTAATACCATATTTTCATTGTGAGGCAATTGAAAACATGAATGCGTTCGTCATCCTCCCAGGTCCCCATTTCTCTCCTGGTGTGGAGCGGCAAATGTAGATAAATGCCTTGCCAAAGAACATTAGAGCTGTGTCGGGGATCGGACCCACCATCTTTGCATTCCAAGTCAAGTGCTTAAACTACTTGAGTATACGACACCTCTACTTATGTGGTAGATAACGTATGGAACAAAAAAGCTTAGCCTAGCTCTTGAGATAATGTCCATGTAGGTATGAATGGGTTTCATTTATGACCATGACTGTTTGAAATAATGAGTTATATTTTTGTGAATATCATCATACCATCGTTATTTAAGTGCCATATTGGAGGGGTGTTTATACGTTATCATCCATGCATCAATAACAGTTGCTCGCATTCATTGCAATAAATGAGTCATGTATCAAACTACATGTGTTGCATTGGTTTTTGTTGTTGTTGTTGTTGACAAGAAGTATGATAGTGTGACATGAGGCTGAGTATGACATGTTGGAAGAAATTCTTGTTCTTTCTACCATTTTTTTTTTTGTGTGTGTGTGTGTGTGTCTAATTTTGTGTTTGTTTAATAGTTAAACAGAAAAACACAGGAAAGAACACTAATGATTTGATATCCCTCAAAGTATATATACACAATTAAGTGAGAGAAAAAATCAAAAGAAAAGAACTATGAAACGGCAATATGAAGTTTCAACCTGCTGAAATACACGGAACAAAAATGTGATTATTATAGATATGCTTAATAGTTGTTCTATAATGATTTATGATTTCTCTTGATGGTTTATCAGAGAGGGGTATGAGAGAAAAACAAGACTGACCTATAGCTTTTCTCGCAAGTGTTGTGTATGAAGAAAAAATATTAGAGTAAGAGGAGGTGAATGCTGGTTCCAAAAAATATACACAGCGCACATAGGAATGGTAAGTTATATGATTGAGTTATAATCATGTCCCAATATTTATTCCAAAAATATATTCATAATGTGGGCAAAGGGCTTGTCTTTTTATGAACTTCTTGATACGTAACGTTATGCTTTGACTAAATAAAAAGAAAAATTCCTCCCTTTAACAAAAATATGTATTTAAATATACAATACAGAAGTTAACGATATTTTTAGTGAATTATATTCCAATACTAAAATTTCAAATAAATTAGATTGGTCTTCTTCAGTTCTCCGAAAAGACTGAAAAGGATCCCAGGGCCCCGTCTTACAAAGAGTTGATATCAATCGTAAGTTATTTGCGATTGATATCAATCGTAACTATGTACATAAGAGATAGGAGACTGCAAACTTGCGATTGATTGGAGGACTTACGATTGATTTGTATCGATCGTAACTCTTTGTAAGACGGGGCCCAGGGGAGGATTTCACTAACGCGCGCAATGCATCGCTAACCCTGCGCAGGGGCTTGAACCCATCGCAACCTCACCGAACCCATCGCACATGGACGATGAGTTGCTTATGGATTTCACTAAGCGCCTGCGACGGGTTAACCCGTCGCTAACTCATCGCAGCTTAGCGGATGCTCAAAGGGTGCTCGCAGAGCTGCGATGAGTTCAAAAACGTAACTTCCTGTCTCAAGGTCAAATACTGGCGCGAAAACTTTTATAAGTTTTTGTACACCGGTACGGTGTATGGAGGATTTCGGATGTTTTGCAAGGTATTTTAATCATGGCTCGCCTTCTTTACATCAATAACGCGAGAGCACTTAATAGAGAGCGTGTTTTTAGGGATAGGACTAATCCATTGGATACATTAAACGATAAAAAGATGCACAAATATTATAGGTTTACGCGACAGGGTGTGATGAGAGTTATTGACTTGTTGGAGGAGAGAATTGCGCCGTTGACGCAGAGGAGTCATTCTATTGATGCGAGGTTGCAAATTTTCGTTGCTTTAAACTTTTACGCAACCTCAGATTTTTATTCCAGTGTACTCAAAGATCATGGTGTTTCAATTTCAACTGTTTGTAGAATAATTAATCGTGTGACAAAGGTGCTTGCTAGTTTGAAAGAACAGGTAGTAACATGGAGGCCGGCGGGTGAGAAGCAAATGGAATTTTTGGAGTTGAGTGGCTTCCCGATGGTCGTCGGAGCCATCGACTGTACTCATGTATGGCTTGACGGCAGTCCACTAAAGACAACCGAATATGCGTACGTCAATAGGAAGGGGTGGCATAGCATCAATGTGCAATTTGTCACCGATGCAAATTACAACATAATCAACGTCTGTGCACGCTGGCCAGGGTCTGTCCATGACTGCAGAGTATTGGAGAATTCCTATGTTGGGCAGGATTTCCAGCGTGGAGAATTGGAGGGAGTTCTCCTCGGTGACTCGGGCTACCCCCAACGATCATGGCTCATGACCCCTTTCCGCAACCCCCAAACACATGCTGAACGTACCTACAATAGGTAAATCTATTTTACTAAATTGAATTAGGTCTACATCATAATACTTTAACCGTTGGAATTAAAAAAAAAAAATACATATATATACCGTAGACCCTATTACCCTCTGGACAATCCCCAGGACCCCCCCCCCCCCCCCCGTCAAGCTACTTAGCTTATTTCTGTAGCCCTCTTGCATCTAATTTACTTAATAATGCATTCAATATATTTTTTTAATTTCGTTTATTATCTGTATATCAAACCATATTATGTTCATGAAAATGTATGATGAAAAAAAAGAAAAAAAGATGCAGAAACCAAATCAAATCAAGGAAACCACACCCCCCCCCCCTGGAAAATCAACACAAAGTCAAATTCCCCTCGCTGAAAAATTACCCCCCCCCCCCCTTGTTCATGAAAGGGGAAGCCTACCCTGATAATCCCTTCAAAAAAGTACCATGGTAACCACGTTTTTTTTGGACCAAATTACCATCCACCATGTATTTCATTGTTTTGGTACCATGATAACCATTAAAAAAAAATCATGGTTACCATGGTACTTTTTTTAAGGGATTATTTCGTTTTGATAAAAGCAAACTTTTTGTGGGGTAATTGTCCTCTTTTTTCATTTCATAGAGGGTAATTTTCCTCTGGGGGGGGGGGGGTAATTGTCCTTGGGAAGTGGTTTTCCTGGGTAGGGTTTTTTTTCTTCATTTCATAGGGGGTAATTTTCCTCTGGGGGGGGGGGTATTGTCCTTGGGAAGTGATTTTCCTGGGTAGGGGGATTTTTTTCATTTTATAGGGGGCAATTGTCCTTGGGAGGGGGGTTTAATTTTATAGGGGGTAATTGTCATGCTGGCAATTGGCGGGGGGGGGGGAGTTGTCAGGGGTCGCTTGTCCTACAGCCATATGTTATACATGTTTGTAGGTCTATGTTCATGTATAAGATTATTTTTGATTTATACAATGTGATTCATATTACATGTATATGACCCTTGACCTGCTTAATTATTACAACTGCTATACTGCAGTGTTATGTAGTACATCTTCTTCATTAAAAAAAAATAGATTAATGTAGTTGCATTGCCGTCCTCCATCAACGACTTGTTTTGATTGATGTAATATGTTACAATGTAGAGTTTTCTGAAAAATTATGGCATATTAAATTCAAATGGAAGAGATCCTGCAGTGCTGCCACATAAATATCAACAATCTATTAAAAAAAATATTATGTCAATTATGGGAAATTATTTTATAGTGTATCTGATATACAAATATAATTATTGGTTATTTTTTCAATTTTTGCAATACAGGGCTCACATGAGAGGACGAGTAGTTGTTGAACAGACTAATGGACAGATCAAGAAGAAATTCCCTTGTCTGAGAAGAGGCCTAAGAGTAAAACCAAAGAAGGCATGCCAGATCATCATTGCGTGCACCGTGTTGTACCGGTTATCAAAGGACTGGAAAGAACCCTATCTTGGACGAGACCATGAGCTTCCTGATGTTGGTGTTGATGACTTTGATGGCCCTGTCAACAATGAGGGATATGCAGCACGAGCCCAACTGGTTGCCAGATGCTTTACTTGAAATCTGCTATATCCAGAGACATTGCTTTTCTATTTTTAAAGTACTTAGAAATGCATTGCTTATTGATGATGGTATATGACCCAGAGTCTACATATTGAACATATCCATGTACATTATTATTTTGATTTACTTGAACATTGAAGGTGGCAATGGGATTTGTATGTAAACTGTTTGTATTTTATATACTGTAAATATTATCTTCAAAGGTTCAATGAAAAAAGGGTAATACATGTTTGTATAATGAATATGAACATGTTATGAAGATATAATGTTAAACCATATTAAACTTGAAAATAAGAGATTTTAAGTTTTAAGATTTAAGTATTATTCCAAATTAAGGAGATACTAAACACACAATAAAATGGGTTCAAAATGTTGAACATTCTTTATTTATATATATTTGCAGATTTCTTTCGTATAAACACTTTGAGCATGTGATACATTAATGCCTGTGTCATCCTGTAATATACACAGAATGTAGCAGGACAGAACACTTTAATTATAATGTCTACTGCTCAGCATGCGTTTGGATATCTGCAGCTGTAGATTGGGGAGTGGCAGTCAATATCTGCAGGCACCCATGAATTCCTTGAAGGGTAGTGAGAATCCCTTCAAGAACCTCGACCTTTCTATGCTCGTTTGCAGCCATAGTTTTGTTGAGGGAAAGTAAGTTGACCTCATCTGTCTCTTTTTTCGCAGCTTTCTTCCCCTTCTTCCTCTTTCTCTTTCCTTCCTGCTGAGATTCCTGAGACTAAAATTAAGATATAAGATAAACAAGATTAATAACGGTATTAATAAATTATAGATTTTCTGTTGGAAAAATAGAAGAAATTGAAGAAGCAAGATTTAAGTGTACATAAGGGGAGGTAAAAAACAATTGTTCTATGTAAATAGAGGACATATGAAAGTGCACTGCGGCTCAGTGTTATGAATGTGGCCTCGTTTCCAGTAATGATGACTGCCTCTTGTTTCAAGTTACATGAACCCTTTGCTACTAATATCACTTTGTTTTGTTGATAATCTATACATGTAAGTAATACCTTAACCTGTAGACACGATCATTTAAGTTCCAAATTTTTATCCAAAATATGTATCTATCTACTATATATAGATTTGAGATGAACCTCCTTTTCTCATTCTTCATTTTGACTTGGTGCTAGCCCTGAAGACTTGAATACCAGCTATACTGATTTACTTGTATATATATCGGATTTTACTAGCATGCATATATTTTCTGTGAAAGTAAATATGAACTTGAAATTTACACTTACATCTTCGGTTTCCGTGTCCATTCTTGTGGCAGGCCTCTGTTAGAACAAAAATACTGTGATTGAACATTTCAAAAATCAAAGTTTAAAGTTTTATTTCATTTCATGTTATACAGCCTGAACAGATTATGTATCAGAGTCATTGGCATCTATTGATGTAGATGTATTCAATTTAAATATTATAATAATGATGAAAACAATAGTTTTAAAGCCCCTAAAAAAATGGGCTGGCAAATTTTCACTTAAAATTGTATCATAATGTGAAAGAGGATGTCATTTAAGGCACATTTTTGCAAGGATTTTTAAAACATATGTGTTTGAAGTCAGTTATTGATGAAAGAATACAAATTTAGTCTTTCTGCTTACAACAGAAATTTTTAGCCAGTGGGGGAATAGTTTAAGTGAAATTTTACCATCAAATTAATTTTGGGCTCCCAACACTTTAGAGGGGCTTTAACAATAAGATTTGTATATGTTTATTAAAACAATGGAAACAGATGTTAGAAAAGACAATGTCAAGGGGTAAATGACTGGAGATTAGTTTCATGAAATGTATGAAAACACTGATGGATATCTTTCATGGACCGAGTCTATACCTTCCTAACAGTCTGTATAGCTCCTTGTAGTGAAGTCACAGTTGCTGGTACTCGCTCAATAGAAAGTGCAGCGTGTTGCTGCAGAGAGACATACAAGACCACATTAATGCTATGCAATCATTATGATCCTTACCCAACATATAGTAACCCTGATGTGTAATCATACAACCCCCCCCCCCCCACTTGTTACAGGGACTATAGGGGGGAATTGGTGTCAAAATCTAAAGAAAACCCGGCCACATGATGGAAAAAACTACTCCCAATACTTTTCTGATTTAAAATCAATTTAAATTTTCTATTAATAAATGGTAGCATTCAAACCTAAAAACATTTATCAAAACAGTAATAAAAAAGGGTTATAAATGTGTATATATATATCTATATATATGATTATATTATATAAAGAAAATCGTTAAGAATGCACAATTAATGAAAAATGTACATGTAGTACGTAAATGCTGACATGAGTGGGGTATGACTTTAAGGATAATTAACATCTTGGTACAACTCTTTTCAGCAGAATAATAAAGTCAAATGAGATTGCTAAAGAGAGTAAAGGGAAGAGAGTGAGAGAAAAAGAAAGAAAGATAGAGAATAGGAGAAAGAGAGCGAAGGGAAAATAATATGAGAGGGAGAACTAGAGAGAGAATGGGGAAAAGGAGAGAAAAAGAGAGAGAGAGAGAGAGAGAGCGACATTGATCATGGAAAACTGAATCTTACCTTCCTTACATTCTCTTGAGATGTTTGTGATGAAGTCACAGTAGCTGGTACTACAGAAACTTCTGCATGTTGCTGGAAGGAAAACGCAAGACCATATAGTGTTATTCTATTATGTTTATTGTTTTAGTCACTTTGTATATTAAAGGTATAGTCTATGCATTTAAGCACATCTTACTACACATCCACCCCACCCCCTTCTAGAAAAGAAAAAATCCTTACATCAGGCCCATGTGTAAAAAAAAAATGAAATTACACCACAGCTTCCATAATTAGGTTTCCTTTGTATTAAAGGACGTTGACATCCCAAAGATGAAGTAAGAAGAGATAAGGTCTATTCCACCCTTTCCCCCCCCCCAAAAAAAGGTTAAAATATTTGCATTTTCTGGAGATGCATCACAACACCCCCCCCCCCCCCCCCCTGGGACACACTCACACTTCAACAGAACTATGAAGATCGTTTAAAACTTTTACTCTTTATATGCTTTAGCATAATTAGCATTCAAAGTGGAATTTTGAAGAAGAAAAAAATTATGCCTTGCTATGATCAAATTCATAAAATTAACAGCAAGAGTAGATGCACATTTAATGTACTTGTAGACCCTCTTTTTATTAATAATCTTACCTTAACAACTTCTACACCGTTCTTGTGTGATCCACTTGATGGGGCCTAGAAATATGAAAAATCATTCGTGGAATTAAGAAGCATTATACACTTTGGCCTCTTGTATTGGGTACACATGTACTTCTTGGGCTTTGTTGGAGTCAGTTGCAGTTTGCTGTTGAAAGTTTGCATTTTAAGTTTTAAGTGTAGTTGTTAGTTTCAAGTAGCAATTTATTTTGATTATTCCTACATGTAAGTCACTCAATATAATGGGCAGTTATTCTTGTTATTCATTCTTTTACAACAATGTACTACAGCTAGGAGCTGGGAATATTATGTTTTAACAAACTTTAACTACTGGTGTTGTTTGGGGGGGGGGGGGAAGACTGCAAATTCATGAAGCATATGATGCTTTCATAATAACAGGAACTTTGTTTCAATTTTGAATTAACATCTATTGTAATAAAAGTAAATAGGTGTATTATTTAAGAGTTGAAAGCTTTTTGATATATTCAGAGCCAGAATGGCATTAACTCTATAAACAATAAAGTAGTTAGTGCATGTACTTTTGGCTCTCAACAGACGATTCTCATTCACTTACAGTTTCAGCCATGTCAATGGGAGCTATGCCGTCCCTGAGCTCATCAGGTAGTGCCTGCAGCACCAGCTCGTAGAGTCTGTGGGCCGGCACAAAGCCTCCTCCACCTGTGACAGTTGAGAGAAATGCATGTACATGTATATCAATTAGAGTTTATGTGATACAATGCTGATTTTATCAAAATGCCAATGTAAAATATGCATTTAAAGTCAATAGTCAATATCACGAAGGCAACTTTAAATACAAATTATTCACAGAAGACAATTCTATCTTGAAGTGTTTCTCATGTACTATTCTAAAGGAATTTGATTGCTAACATAGATCATATAACATACATTGAGATTTGCATGAGAAGACATTCCACGGATCAGTCAATTAACCTTTTTCAAGTGTAAAAGGAATAATTATGTACTTTTTTTTTTTAATAATTATTTTTAAAACAAAATCCCAGAATGATACAAATCTAATAAAAGTTAGTGCATGGTGGTTTCCTTACTTCCTTATACTTCTTTTCACTTGCCCACAAGAGCCTTTCTCCTTAAGTTTAAGACAGTCTGATTTTATTATTAGGTCTAGTCTAAATTTTTAATTACTAAATCTATGTGTTGTACATATTGTGAAATAAATCAAGAGAAACCTACCAGTTCCATGCACTTGCTGCTTCCTTTGTGTTGAGTATTTTTTGGCCTTAGAAGCCAAGTCCTGCCATTTTTTCCTCAGCTTCGCCCAGGACCTGTCTGGGCGACCCCCTGCTGCTACTATGTGCCTCCGGCACTCCTCCCAAGCATCCGTCTTTTGGCGCTCCACGCCCAAACTTCCCCTCCCGCCACTCCCAAAAAGACGGGATGCGTGTGAGCCCACGAAGCTGCAGAGGGCCACCACCTCATGGTCCTCCCAGGGCTTTCCTCTCTTCTGAAATTTAAAACAAAAACAACAATAGATCAGTGGGAAAATTCATCATTTCCAGTTCCAATCCACTTAATCCACAGACTATTTTTATTTATTTATTAGATCTAGACCCTAGGGCTAGGCTAGACCTAGAGTCTAGATAGATCTAGGTCTAGATCTAGACGTAGATTTCTAGACCTAGAGTAGACTTGAGTCTAGGCCTAATTGATTTTTTTTTCTTTTCCATTGTCACTGGGGGGGGGGGGGGAAGATTGCCTCGTTGTTGTTGTTGTTTTAGTCTTAATAACTAAATAAGGGCGTGTGTCATTCAATTATAATTTTTACTCGGCTGGTTGTGCCCTTAGCCTATAGGGTCCAGATCTAGATCTAGAGATCTCTTAATTTATCCTGAGAAGGTGATAGCCCTAACTTAGGCTTGCATGGCCTAGAATTCTACTCAATAAATGAGGATCACATTCTACGATTTAAGTTTGAAAATACCCTTCCCCCACGTTTTGCATATCGCCTAGATTCTAGGCCTTATATGCATTATACCTAGATCTAGGCCTAGGCCATTATTAGTAGCCTAGGCCTATTTAGAATGCAGCTGTTGTCTTGCTGAGCAAAAAAAAAATGATAGATTCCCTAGACTAGATCTAGGATCTAGACCTAATTAAACTGTTAGGCTAGACCTTAACTTAATTGTCTTGGGCTGGCGTGAACCACTTTTTTTTGTCTATTCTGACAAAAATGCTATGAATATTGTTAAGTTTTTGAGGGGCTGTATCTTTTTGATAGAAACATCGGTGAGTCTTGAACTTTGAAAAGTATTATTCTGATTACATTTTTTACTCAAATATCCAACAAAAATGGTGACCGGGTTTTGAAACAGTGTGTGCCATCTTAACATCTAATGTAGATAGCAATGTATTCGCCGCGCACGTTCATAGACTATGCACAGGCGCAGCAAACCCACCACGAAAACTTGGCGATGAGCCATAACAAAAACAAAATCGTAAACTCCTGTGTTGATGAATAGTTTTGAAAAACCACAATCTAATAGCAACGAAACTTGTAATTCTAAATTAACTTACGTCACTGGCATCATGCATGTTGCTTGAATCCATTTTCAACTTTTGTTGGTGAAGTATCAAGTTGTTGCAGTTAAAACTGGCGGGCAAAAGGACGCTAGTAATATAGCGATGCGATTGACCTCATCCTCGTTCACGAAGACTTTACTCATTAAAAATGCATCGCTGCTGCGACGGGTTTAGTGAAATCCTCTGACTCTACTCAACGCAGCTGCGATGAGTTGAGTGCGAACGATGGGTTGGGCGATTAATCGCTCGGCAATGTTAGTGAAATCCTCCCCAGGACCTGTCTGGGCGACCCCCTGCTGCTACTATGTGCCTCCGGCACTCCTCCCAAGCATCCGTCTTTTGGCGCTCCACGCCCAAACTTCCCCTCCCGCCACTCCCAAAAAGACGGGATGCGTGTGAGCCCACGAAGCTGCAGAGGGCCACCACCTCATGGTCCTCCCAGGGCTTTCCTCTCTTCTGAAATTTAAAACAAAAACAACAATAGATCAGTGGGAAAATTCATCATTTCCAGTTCCAATCCACTTAATCCACAGACTATTTTTATTTATTTATTAGATCTAGACCCTAGGGCTAGGCTAGACCTAGAGACGAGTCTAGATAGATCTAGGTCTAGATCTAGACGTAGATTTCTAGACCTAGAGTAGACTTGAGTCTAGGCCTAATTGATTTTTTTTTCTTTTCCATTGTCACTGGGGGGGGGGGGAAGATTGCCTCGTTGTTGTTGTTGTTTTAGTCTTAATAACTAAATAAGGGCGTGTGTCATTCAATTATAATTTTTACTCGGCTGGTTGTGCCCTTAGCCTATAGGGTCCAGATCTAGATCTAGAGATCTCTTAATTTATCCTGAGAAGGTGATAGCCCTAACTTAGGCTTGCATGGCCTAGAATTCTACTCAATAAATGAGGATCACATTCTACGATTTAAGTTTGAAAATACCCTTCCCCCACGTTTTGCATATCGCCTAGATTCTAGGCCTTATATGCATTATACCTAGATCTAGGCCTAGGCCATTATTAGTAGCCTAGGCCTATTTAGAATGCAGCTGTTGTCTTGCTGAGCAAAAAAAAAATGATAGATTCCCTAGACTAGATCTAGGATCTAGACCTAATTAAACTGTTAGGCTAGACCTTAACTTAATTGTCTTGGGCTGGCGTGAACCACTTTTTTTTGTCTATTCTGACAAAAATGCTATGAATATTGTTAAGTTTTTGAGGGGCTGTATCTTTTTGATAGAAACATCGGTGAGTCTTGAACTTTGAAAAGTATTATTCTGATTACATTTTTTACTCAAATATCCAACAAAAATGGTGACCGGGTTTTGAAACAGTGTGTGCCATCTTAACATCTAATGTAGATAGCAATGTATTCGCCGCGCACGTTCATAGACTATGCACAGGCGCAGCAAACCCACCACGAAAACTTGGCGATGAGCCATAACAAAAACAAAATCGTAAACTCCTGTGTTGATGAATAGTTTTGAAAAACCACAATCTAATAGCAACGAAACTTGTAATTCTAAATTAACTTACGTCACTGGCATCATGCATGTTGCTTGAATCCATTTTCAACTTTTGTTGGTGAAGTATCAAGTTGTTGCAGTTAAAACTGGCGGGCAAAAGGACGCTAGTAATATAGCGATGCGATTGACCTCATCCTCGTTCACGAAGACTTTACTCATTAAAAATGCATCGCTGCTGCGACGGGTTTAGTGAAATCCTCTGACTCTACTCAACGCAGCTGCGATGAGTTGAGTGCGAACGATGGGTTGGGCGATTAATCGCTCGGCAATGTTAGTGAAATCCTCCCCAGGACCTGTCTGGGCGACCCCCTGCTGCTACTATGTGCCTCCGGCACTCCTCCCAAGCATCCGTCTTTTGGCGCTCCACGCCCAAACTTCCCCTCCCGCCACTCCCAAAAAGACGGGATGCGTGTGAGCCCACGAAGCTGCAGAGGGCCACCACCTCATGGTCCTCCCAGGGCTTTCCTCTCTTCTGAAATTTAAAACAAAAACAACAATAGATCAGTGGGAAAATTCATCATTTCCAGTTCCAATCCACTTAATCCACAGACTATTTTTATTTATTTATTAGATCTAGACCCTAGGGCTAGGCTAGACCTAGAGGTAGTAGAGACGAGTCTAGATAGATCTAGGTCTAGATCTAGACGTAGATTTCTAGACCTAGAGTAGACTTGAGTCTAGGCCTAATTGATTTTTTTTTCTTTTCCATTGTCACTGGGGGGGGGGGGGGGAAGATTGCCTCGTTGTTGTTGTTGTTTTAGTCTTAATAACTAAATAAGGGCGTGTGTCATTCAATTATAATTTTTACTCGGCTGGTTGTGCCCTTAGCCTATACTATAGGGTCCAGATCTAGATCTAGAGATCTCTTAATTTATCCTGAGAAGGTGATAGCCCTAACTTAGGCTTGCATGGCCTAGAATTCTACTCAATAAATGAGGATCACATTCTACGATTTAAGTTTGAAAATACCCTTCCCCCACGTTTTGCATATCGCCTAGATTCTAGGCCTTATATGCATTATACCTAGATCTAGGCCTAGGCCATTATTAGTAGCCTAGGCCTATTTAGAATGCAGCTGTTGTCTTGCTGAGCAAAAAAAAAATGATAGATTCCCTAGACTAGATCTAGGATCTAGACCTAATTAAACTGTTAGGCTAGACCTTAACTTAATTGTCTTGGGCTGGCGTGAACCACTTTTTTTTGTCTATTCTGACAAAAATGCTATGAATATTGTTAAGTTTTTGAGGGGCTGTATCTTTTTGATAGAAACATCGGTGAGTCTTGAACTTTGAAAAGTATTATTCTGATTACATTTTTTACTCAAATATCCAACAAAAATGGTGACCGGGTTTTGAAACAGTGTGTGCCATCTTAACATCTAATGTAGATAGCAATGTATTCGCCGCGCACGTTCATAGACTATGCACAGGCGCAGCAAACCCACCACGAAAACTTGGCGATGAGCCATAACAAAAACAAAATCGTAAACTCCTGTGTTGATGAATAGTTTTGAAAAACCACAATCTAATAGCAACGAAACTTGTAATTCTAAATTAACTTACGTCACTGGCATCATGCATGTTGCTTGAATCCATTTTCAACTTTTGTTGGTGAAGTATCAAGTTGTTGCAGTTAAAACTGGCGGGCAAAAGGACGCTAGTATATAGCGATGCGATTGACCTCATCCTCGTTCACGAAGACTTTACTCATTAAAAATGCATCGCTGCTGCGACGGGTTTAGTGAAATCCTCTGACTCTACTCAACGCAGCTGCGATGAGTTGAGTGCGAACGATGGGTTGGGCGATTAATCGCTCGGCAATGTTAGTGAAATCCTCCCCAGATCGATAAAGCCCTCTACGTCAAAATCGGAACATTTGGAGCGGACCATTTAAATTTTCATCAACAAAAAATAAACAAGCGTGACCGGTGACCGTGGCAGTTCGGGATGTCCGTCAAAAGACGATGAAATTGTAAGTTATTTACCTTGTTATGTGCCACTTCATAGTCTTACAATACAAATAACATTAGTTCTGTTCTTGTTTAAACCTAGTATCTGAATACCTGTACAGTACTATAATAAGAGAATATGGCTTTCAATATTCAAATTCAACTTTCAAGAACGCCGGAAATAGTAATGCCGCTAGGGAAAGGAGCGGGCGGCTGGCCGTGCTGGTGGCCGATGCGGCTGGCAGTGTGCAGTCTGGTGTTGGGGTGCTGGCATGGCACTGGTTCGCGTTCCGGCCGTCTGCGTTATACTTTATACTAGATCTAGAATTACTAGACAGAAATAACCATCAGGTATTGGAATTCTTGGGAAGAGTTCCTATGTAATGTACCCATAGATCTACACAGACGATACTTACGGCTCGCACAAGTGGGGGGGGGGGGGGGGAGGGATTACTGTAGTAATACTAGCGACAATGACTTTTGCAACGGAATTGGAATCTGGTGAAAAATTTTCCCCTCAGTTTTTTGGCGCTTCAAAACTGTGACCATACTTTTGACCCGTAACTCCGGCGTAGAGAATAGAGATACCCTACAAGCGCGTAGCTTTATTCTTTTTATTTGAGGAGGGCAGTAGTGAGCATGCAAAGCATAGTCTAGAGTCTATGCAAATTATAATGATTTACAAAGCGCGCTCCGTAAGGGGGTGTCCGAGGCGCGGAAGCTTTGACGTTTCATTAAATTATTAGAGAAAGAAGACGATTCGTTGTACTTGTAGGCCTACCCTTGACTCTTAATTAATCCTTGTATGAATTCAGTTTCCCCCCTCCCTCGTAAAGCAAGGAAGGTTTGACGTTTCATTAAAGGCACACTGTCCTTCTTGTAGCTACTTGATCCCTCTATATAGAAAATTTCCCAAATGGGTGCCTGTTGGTCCCCATGATCCTCTTTTTCTTATGTTAAATGAGAGCTGAGTTAATGAGGTAGTCAGCTGTCACATTGACCTCGCTGGCTCACTGGGTGGTCTTATCCCTACTGGCTGAAGTAGTAAAGCCTGCCTTTAAATTATTAGAGAAAGAATACGATTCATGTTCTTGACTCTTAATATTTGTCTTAATTTTTCAAAAATGTTTCTTCGTCTGCTCCTTTTTCTTCCTATGTCCTCCTTTTTTCTCTTCTCTCTTTCTCTCTCTCTCTTTTTTTTTCCTGGCATTTTTTTTTTGGGGGGGGGGGGGGCAACTGCCCCCCCCTGGCTATGTGCCTGATACGCTACACTAGCAGTTTAAACTGTGGAATTCATAAATGTACCACTACTAAGTTATATATTTAGTTTAATTAGCCCCCCCCCCCCCCCCAAAAGAAAAAAAAAAAAAAAATCAAGAAGAATTGGGTCCATCATGAATTTCTTAGGGTATTTCTTTTCTCAATCACTAGATCGTGATCAGCTCCACTCCTGGCTCCTCGATCTTGTGACCTACTAGTGTGCGTGTGTGTGGAATGAAGAAACTGACCCAGACATGGAAGCAACAGAAGGTGTCAAAACTCCGGGACAGTTCCTTCACCACCGCCAGCAGCAAGACCCAGTTGGTACCATCCCAAGATGGTGGCAAGATATCCCAAGGTAGCACAGGCTCCCATGGAGCCACATCCGCAGCACCCACCCCATCGGCCAGTGGGGGAAGTCGGAAAAGATTAGGGCAGCATATTCCAAGACAAGCTGTTCCTGTGTCGGTCCCAAAGCCAGTTCACGGTGGAGCAGAGGGAGAGAAAAGAGAGAAGGAGAATGAAGAAGATTTGGCAAAGAAGAGGAAAGTTGGAGGTGCGATTGGTGATCAAAGCAAGAGGCGTTCACCTCGATTGCAAAAAGGAAGAGACCATGCTCGTTCTCCTCGTGTAAGTCTTCTTTCAGTCTTCCTGATATGTTGTGAAAGAAATTTAATGAATTTTTAAAATATTTTTGCATCATTAAATGTCTCTTGAATATATTATTCAGAGCTTGGAGAGCTCTGGTTGATAAAATGCACTGGCATTGAATAATAATAATAATAATAATGTAACTTATATCGCGCCAAATCCACTCTGTGGAGTGCTCAAGGCGCGTGTAAACAGGAAAAACGATCAAGACTTGAAAAGGAATGTTTTGAGATGAGTTTTGAAAGAATCAGAAGATAAACATTTTTTGATGTCTTCAGGAAGGCCATTCCATAATTTAGGACTAGAGTATACAAATGATCTTTCCCCCCACGTTTTGGTAATTTTGGGGGTCACAAGAAAATTGGAAGTGGATGAGCGTAGAGGTCTTGCAGGAGTGTAGTTTTGGATTAGAGAGATAAGGTATTGAGGAGCAGAGCCGTGAACGCAATGAAAGGTAAGCAACAAAATTTGAAAACAATGCGATCTTTTACTGGGAGCCAGTGTAGCGACTGCAAAACTGGGGAAATGTGGGTACGCTTGGTGGTCAGAGAAACAATACGAGCTGCAGCGTTTTGAAGCTTCTGGAGTTTGGACAGTAGATTCTGGGGTAGATTGATTAGGAGGGCATTGCCAAAATCAAGGGTAAATATTTTGATAATTATAAAGTATGTAGTTGAAATTAGCTTATCCTCATGAAGAATTTATGTTAAATATATTGATTATGTATTTATGTATAACTTAATTTTTTTTTTTCAAGTCAAACTTAAAAGGCAATTGTAAGTGAATAGGTGCCGTTTCCTTGAATTGAGCAGGAAGATTTTGAATTATTTGAATGACGACGATGTTAACAAGAAGATACATATCTCAAGTGTGTTTATTATTATTTCCTTCAAACAGCCCGTAGAACTCAATCACTCCTTCCAGTCGTCGTTTGGTGGTGATTTTGACTTTGACGATGATGTTCTTCTAGCTGTTGAGAAGGCAGAGGCAGACTTCAACAAGATTCAAGAGGATGCTGTCCCTCTCCAAGAAAAAACTCAGCCAAAACAGAGTTGTGAACCCACAGGCTCAAGAACTGTACTGGGTGTTCAAGGGGAGATTTCTAGCAAGAAAGAAGTATTTTCTGGTCACAGTGCGAAAAGTTTAGGCACTTCTTCAGGGTTTGTCATTAATTGTACAGCAGTCGGTGAGAATACATGTAAGTCAGCAGTTAGAAGAAATTCTGGAATTGAAAAAGCAGGTGAAATTGTAAATAAACAGGAGAGGACTAAGGCCAAAAATTTGACAAAGATAGATGATAGAAAATGTTCCCCATGTCATGCAGTAGATGTAAGAAGTGACCCTGATAGGAAAGGAGAGGTCAGTCTTCCTAAACAAGTGCAATACACAGCAATCATCGCTACAGATGCAAGAAGGGACAGTGACATCCCTCAAAAGAGTAACGTCTCTCCTTCAGATCTATCACACATGCCAAAGATTTGCCAGCTGAACAAAAATAGCACCAAGAAAGGAAATAAACATGCACCTTCTAACCAACCACTTCGAGAAGCTACCACAAAGACTTCTTTCAAGACTGCTGGTAATAGCTCTTCTGCCCATTCACCAGTAAAGGTCAAAGGGAACATTTCCAGACAAGGTTTATCCGATGAGGTGAGACATTCAGGAGAAGGTCTGACCCTCAAAGGAAGCACTAGCACATTCCTTGATTCGATACTGGTGGCAGATGCAGAGGTACCAGATGGGCAGAAGGAGGCCGTGGTCTTCTGTGAGGACTCGCAAGATCAGGATAATGATATTCCATGGTCAAAAACTGGTGCGATGTCGGGGAAACACCAGGACCCTGTGAAATTCCCGCATAGTGTGAAGCCTCATCAAGCTAGTTCTCTTGGAAGAGGATTTACACCTGGGAAAAGTATCAGGACTGGACAGAAGGCAAGCAAGAAGAACCCACAAGGTACGTTGATTGCTGTTTCAATCAGTCACAACACTCACAATGTAGGAATGTTTTTAAGTCATTTCAACAAATTGACCCAAATTCACAAAGGAGGTTTAACTTTATCCATGGTTTAAGCCCTCACTTAATACATAACCCATGGTTTAAAAATTAGCGCAAAATACCAAGCATACCTTGCCTTGCGCGCGTCTAAAATTGGAGCTCTGACTTTGTCACGCTTATTTTGCGCTAATTTTAAACTATGGGTTATGCAAATGAGGATTTAAACCATGGGTCAAATTTAAACCTTGTTTGTGAATTCGGGCCATTGAGTATGGTATACAGATCCTACGGACCATGCGAACAGGAATCTCATTTTTTATATTTTTAAACTTTACATTTTATTTCAGAGTGATATATTTAGGTTGGGTGAATTTGTGCTAGTTGAGATAAAGATATGTTTTTAGTGTTTATCATATGATGTGATAAATATAGCAAAAAAAGGCTATTTGGACACTTTATCGAGCTGTGCAGATACATTTTATGAAATTAATCCATTGCTTTGTTGAATTAGTTTTACTAGTTGCATTTTATTATTCAGTATCATGTTCATGCAAGTTTTTTGTTCTCTCTGTGTTACCTGAATTGCAATAATGCTTGATTGATATGAAATTTATTAATTTACAGGTATCACTCTGATGCGCTGTGCATATAGAAGATGTTGGTATTCAAAGACAAAAAAAAATGAATTGATTTAAATTCTTTTCCACCATGAACTATTTCCATTTACAGGTTATGCAACCCGTCGTTCATCGACTAGCCCCACTAATACTGCAACCACGCCCAAACCTATCAATCGCTCCACCCACAAGAGATCCCCTCCCTTGACCCCCATCTCCCCTCCTCCCTCCACCTCCCCTGCCCGTGACCAGCTGCTCCTGTCGTCATGGGGTCTGCCAGACGTTGTTCTCCAGCAGTACCACCGGGCTGGCATCACCAAGATGTTCCCCTGGCAGGTGGAGTGCCTGGGGGCAGGGCGGGTCCTGGAAGGAGGGAACCTGGTCTATGCAGCGCCCACCAGTGCAGGTAAGAGTAGGGCGGGGCGGAGATTTAGATGTACAGTGAAACCTGTCTATAGTGACTGCCCAAGGGAAACACAAAAAGTGGTCTTTGTAGACAGGTGGTCTTTGTAGACAGGTTCCTTTAGTGCATGTTTGAATGAGAAACCATTTTCAAGGGAAACAAAAAATGTGGTCTTTGTAGACAGATGGTCACTAAAGCAGGTTTGACTGTATATTAAAACAAGAAACTGTGATCACTTAAAATGATGTGCACTGCTATTTCTGATTATGTAATTTTCATGTTATAGCAACCACCTCTCTTCTATCAGTCTATGAACCAATAGCCATGGATAAACACTATTGTCTGTCATAGAACTATCAGTATAATATTAAAACAACAAAAGTAGTCTGTAATTCGCCCAGAAATTATCACTTTTTTTTAAATGCATACACTCATTAAATTATTCAATGTATTTTCAGGTAAAACCCTTGTTGCAGAGCTTCTGGTCTTGAAGAAGATCCTGGAAACTAAAAAGAAAGCCCTGATTATACTACCCTTTGTATCGGTTACAAGGGAGAAGATGTTCTACTTACAGGTATGTATGCAGTCTTTGATTAAGATGAAAAAGTAGTTTCTTTCCGCTGTATTGCCCAGCTTTTACTTTAGCGATTGATCATGAACAGGGTGGATTTACAATTAACAGCGGCCCAAACTTCTAGCCGGAATGAATGCAATATTTTACCCCGTTAAGCTATTGGAACCTTCACCACTAAAAAATTCTGATTTAAAAATCCCCTTTGAAATCTCCTTATGTATATATCATTGCCACAGCTTATATTTTTGTCAACTTTTCCCTACTACATGCATGTATCACATGAAATCAACTAAACATTGGTGTCGCTAGATGGCCCTCTAGATTTTGAAACCACAGTCTCTTGAATACAGTGAATCCTTGGAGATGAGAAAGGCAGTTTTTTTCATCAGGTGGTCTTCTAGTACATATTTCATTAAGAAATACTTCTTAAGGAAAACAAAGCTATGTAGTCTGTATACATGTATACAGGTAGGCGCTGCAAAAATTCACATACCTACTTTGAAACATACACTTAAACTACATCTACAAGCAGTAAGTGTTACACAATATGCTTTGAGTGTTGAAAGTATTTGAAGTAATGAGTTGACTTCGTGAATGACTCCAGGACCACAGTCTTGTATTAAAGATTACAAAACCATAAGAAAATTTATCAAGGCACTAAATTATACATTTTTGTTGTGCTCATTTTTAAAGCAGGGTGGTTATTTCATTTTTTTTAAAATACAACTATGAGTGCTAATTCTTACCCCTTTTCTTTTTTCTTCTCCCCGCCCCCCCCCCCCCCCCCCTCATCCTTCTGCATCTAGTCTATGTTTTCTGAGGCTGGGGTACGGGTTGATGGATTCATGGGCAGCCATTCCCCTCCTGGGGGCTTAGCAAGTACAGACATTGCAATATGCACCATAGAGAAAGCAAACAGTCTGATCAACAGACTACTAGAAGAGAAGACAATTGGCCAACTCGGTAAGTCAACTGAGAGCAAATTCACTTACTTTTTATAATCTTTGTGTCATATTTTTTACTTGTATCCAATTCCTTTTGTGCTTAAACTTCAGCCATCCGTTTTCGATGGTCACTCAAATGCAACCAACCCTGAAACCTTAAAAAAAAACTAGTTGAACACATTTAGTGAATAAACAGTCTAACCTGTATATAAAGTCCGCTCAATGGAGACAAGAAACGTGGTCTTAATAGTAAGGTGGTCTTTATGTACAGGTTCCATTAGTACATGTTTTCATGAGAAACTATTTTCAAGGGAAACAAAGAGTGTGATCTTTGTAGACAGGTGGTCTTTCAATACAGGTGGTCGCTAAAGCAGATTTGACTGTACACATTGATGACACCTTTGTTCTGTATTTGGTATTGAAGGGATAGTTGTGGTAGTTGAGCTACTGTACATGTACATATGATTGGAGATAAACATAGATGGTATTAAACTCTTGCTCACTATTGAAGATCAGGGACCCGTTTCACAAAGCCTTTTTTCAATGACAAATGACAAATATCAGTGACAAATCTGCTGACAACCAATCAGAAGCATGGGTTTCAGTAGCTTACATTATAACAACAACTGTCATTTGTCACTGATGACAAGTTTTGTGAAACACCCCCCAGATATGTGACAGAGAGGGGAAAGATTTATAATCAGAGTTATTAGGCAATTGGGATAGATCCTTTGCGTTCAAACAGATGAATACATGCATAAATAGCAATGATAACAGCATCTTTCTCCTGTGTTTGGTATTACAGGTATAGTTGTGGTAGATGAGCTGCATATGATAGGGGATTCACACAGAGGGTATCTACTGGAGCTCTTACTTACGAAGATCAGATACGTGACAGCAACCACATTGAAGTCTCCCGGGGACGGTGATGGCGCTAGGCAAAGGTAAGTTGATGATTGATATTGTCTTTTATGTGGTGAGTTTTTGATTATGTTCTTTCGTTCTTTGAATGTCATGTGGTGTGTACATGTATGTGTGCATTATTTGTATAGGCTTTTACATTAGACCAGACATTGCCCTACCTCCTCAGACATGGGCCCTCTTGTAAAACAGTTGTCTTTCTTTTATTTAAGCTATGGTGTTAACATGGCAAAACAAATTTTTATTTATGTACATGTGCAAATACTCATATCAATTACCAAAAAAAAAAGTGATTGAAAACTAATTTCCTTTCCCGGTTCACTCCCTGTCTCTCTTTCTTTCTTGAACCTACATCTATCTTCCTCTATTTCTCTTTCCTCTCTCTCTCTCTCTCTCTTTGCTATCCCCTACCCCTCTATTTTTATTTCCTCTCTCTCTCTCTCACTTTCCCATCCCCTACCCCTCTATTTCTCTTTCCTCTCCCTCTCTCTCTCTCTCTCTCACTCTCTCTCTCACACACACTTTCCCATCCCCTACCCCTCTATTCCTCTTTTCTCTCTCTCTCTCTCTCTCTCTCTCCCACACCCTGTCACCCCTACCTCTCTCTTCTAACCTTTCTCTCCATCTCTCAGTAATCCTATTCAGATTGTAGGCATGAGTGCTACCCTGCCCAACCTAGACCTGCTGGCACGCTGGCTGGATGCGGACCTCTACCGTACGGACTTCAGACCCGTACCCCTCACAGAGCATGTCAAGATTGGCAAGGCTGTCTTTGACTCCTCCATGTCAAAGGTCAGGGAGGTCAAGCCACCATTTGAGGTCAAAGGTCAGTGGAGTGCAGTAAAGGAACGCATCTTCATTGAGTCTTGAGGTCACATGATAAAGCAAACTCCTGTTTAAAAAAATCACAACAAAATATAAACCATTTCATGTGTTAATTCATAGCCAGTGGGGATATGGAAAATAGTTGCTGCTTGAAACAAAATCCCCAAAGAAAGTATACTTTTCTTTGTATCATACTATTGCCCACGTCTCTTAAGTTTAGGTTCGTTCAGATATGACCTGTAAAAATGCTGCAGTTTTTTACTTAAATGCATGGCAATTGCGTGAAACAAAGTTCTTGAGATCTGTGTTATAACATACAGAAATGTGACGCAAACTGCACTTAATGTTATCATTTATAAAATGCAATGTCTTTGCAACCTCATAACTGAACAAGGCCTTGGGGTGAATGAGGAAATTCTATCCTAAAGTTTAATTCCCTGTTGTGTTTTTTCTTTTCTCAACAACCTCCACTTCAGTCGATGAAGACCAAGTGTTCTCCTTGTGTTTGGAGACGATTTCCAAGGGCAACGGTGTGCTGGTGTTCTGCCCCACCAAGAACTGGTGCGAGAAGCTGTGTGAGATGATGGCTAGAGAGATCTATAACATGCATCAGGGGCAAGTCACCACAAATCAAACAGGTAATGATTATACAGACTGTATTCTAACTATGATGATGTTGAAGATTGATAATGATGATGCTGGTGGTGGTGGAGGTTGTGGTTGTGATGATAATGATGATGGTAGTGCTGCTGTATGATGGTAGTGGTGGTGGTTGTGATGATGATGGTGGTGGTACTGATGATGATGATGATAATGGTAGTGGTGATGACGATGATGATTGATGATGGTAGTAATGATTATGTTGGTGGTGGTGATAAAAAACTGATAATGATGATGGTAGTTGTGGTGGTTGTGATGATGATGATGGTAGTGGTGGTCGTGATGGTGATGATGATGGTAGTGGCGGTGGTTGTGATGATGATTATGGTGCTGGAGGTGATCATATCGGCCATGATCAATATTGTGATGGTGATTATGATGATTCCGATAAGGATAAAGCTGTCATTTATTTCAAAATATTGCAGGTATTTTCAACAACACAAATTACATTTTTACATTTCGCATCAGCCCTGGCATTCCTGTGACAAAAGGGTTCCTAGAACATTAAACTACTGCCATCTGTATCATCTCATTGCAGGTTTTGTGAAAGCATCCAACATGCTACCTTTGAAGCTAGACCACGCCTCTCTGAGAGATGTCGTGGAGCAGCTGAGAAGGACACCGGTCAGCATCAACTCAGTCCTCAGAAAGACTATCCCATGTGGCGTCGGCTACCACCATGCAGGTAACAAGAATTATATACCTCTCTTTATAAGTCTAGCCATCTGATTGGTCGAAATTTAGCCATGCCTGCCTACCAGTCAATAGTCTTTTGAAAAGTACCCTCATACCCGCCTACCAGTCAATAGTCTTTTAAAAAATGGGTTCATGGCAGGATATGTGCACGTTCCCTTGAGCCTATAAAACAGCCAGGCCTCTCAAAGCAGTCGATATCTCTATACTAGCTGTGAGATCTTGTCCAAGTCATCAATACTTTTCACTTGGGAGGGGGTGGGGGAGGGGGTTTAGGTTGATTTTGGGGTGTTATGTGCATGAGGTTCGTGTTTTACACTGTATTACATCATTTGAGAGTGGGGTCCAGAGTCCAAATCTGGGGGACATATGTGAGGAGCTGTGAAAAACATCATCAGCTGTATATCGTCCAAGTAATCAGTACTTTGTAAATGTGTGTTTTTATGTTCCATGAAGGGGAGGAGAGGGTTCATATCGATTTGGGGGTGTTGTATGCTTGAGGTCTGTGTTTAGGGAAGGGGTCCTTACTTGTAGACCTTCGGGTTACAGTTATTTAATTAATCTTTTTCTTTTCCCGGCATCCATGTGAATCTCTTCTTGTTTTGTATTCAATAATTATGATAATAATAATTCTCTTATGCCCCACTTTTTTAATGGGCAATTGTGTAAAAAAAAATTCCCAAGAATACCTTTCAACATTGTACTGATCTCTTGTTCTATCCCAAGGACTCACATTCGACGAGCGAGACATCATAGAGGGCGCTTTCCGTCACGGCTTCCTCAAGATCCTGGTGGCCACTTCCACTCTCTCCTCGGGGGTGAACCTTCCTGCTCGGAGGGTCATCATCAGGTCAATAATGTTCAACCGAAAGGTCATTGACCCCCTGACCTACAAGCAGATGATCGGAAGGGCTGGGAGGAAAGGAATCGACACAGAAGGTGCAATTGAGATATTACTTTTCTTTTCTTTTTCAAGGAAATTCTCTGTCTTTAATCATTACTTTGTACATGTAAGTACTAGTATGTAAGTACAGAACTATGCCTTAAAATATTTTCAAAGCAACTTCTGCGGTGCAAATTATTCAGATCAGTCTTTTAGCAGCTTCATCTACAAACAAAAATAATATTTGGGAATCAGAAATATGTCATTATAATAAGATAGAATGACAAGAGAGGGAAAAAGGAAGAATGGCTTATAATGGCAGACACAAGTCAACAAATTTAGAAAAAAGAGACACATAGTGTGTAGTAGGGTAGAGAAGGAGAGGCAGAGAAAGAAATGAGAGGGAGAAAGTTATATAAGAGAGAGAGAAAGAAAGAGAGGGGTGGAGAAAGGGTGTTAAACTTGTTGCAATTATGAAAATTAAGAAAACAACATAAAAAACAAGCTTGATTATTCTGTTTGTTCATATGCCACATTCTAATTCTTGTAGGGGAAAGCATCTTGGTATGTAAGACAACGGAGAGAGACAAGGCATCTAAACTGATGAGAGCTGAGCTACCACCAGTCCAAAGCTGTCTGATTAAGAGCCAGGGTGATGACCTCAGTAACAGCCTTAAGAGGGCCATCTTGGAGGTGAGTCACTCCAGGGGGGTGTTTCACAAAGACTATAAGGTCGACTTTAAGTTGGACTTAACTATGGCAGGCCATTAATGCCACAACTTTCTCTCACCATTTACTGGCATTGGTCTCTCAAGGGACATACAAATCATGGTCACAAATCTACAGAATTTACATTTTTTAATAATTCATTATTGAAGGAAAAATAAATAAACACAAAAGGTGGTCTCTTTGTAGACAGGTTCCTTTAGTACATGTTTCAGTGAGAAACCATTTTCAAGGGAAACAAAAAATGTGGTCTTTGTAGAAAGGTGGTCACTAAAGCAGGTTTGACTCTAATACAGTCACAGTAATGAGGTACACCCAAAAAAAAATTGTCTGTCATCTTGGTTTGAAAGTAATCTTTCTGATAGATTTCAATATGTAGTTTATAATAATAATTCCTCCAATTTTTCTTCTATTACACGGCATACCACAAGGTTCTATCCTTTTTTTTTTTTTTTTTTTAGGGCGAAAAAGAGGGGTGTGGTTAATACACGAGGGCAGTTTATACAACGTTAATTTCGGTATGGTTATTGATATCTGCAGCCTGTAGTTGTTTATCCTGTAAAATGAAGGCTACCTTGAACTAGTCTCTATTTGAAGACTCTTAGATATTGATAACATGATGAAGTCATTGTTGTGGCTTCATAGACCAAACAGATGACTTTTTTAAATATTGTATTTGTCTGTATATTACCATTGATAATTACATGAACATGTACCATTTTAAAAACTTCTAAGAGATGACATTTTCAACTTCTCTTTCCCCATCGTAGATCATTGCTAGTGGTGTAGCGTCCAGCCCTACGGAGGTTCAGGCGTACGCATCCAGCACACTCCTGGCTGCAAGTCTATCAGAGGTCAAGACAGATGATCAAGGGTCAGGGGTCAACACGGGGTCAGCAGTATTGTCTTGCGTCAAGTTTCTGGAAGAAAATGAGTTCATTAGACTACAGAATGTGGAGTGTGAAGGTAATAATTAGTTCAAGTATAATTTATACATCATTCTTCACTAGCAGGGTTTTAAGCATTTCTAATATTAAATGTTGATGTAAATATGCCCCAATTACAAAACCCTAACAAATACGATAAAACTGTTGAAAACAATTTGAAGAAATTCACAAAAATACCTTGAACATGATGGTTAAAGGTAAAGACCAGTTTTGGAAACGCCCCCCTCTCAACAAATGAAATGGAAGCTCTTATTACCAATCATGTGAAAGAATCTGTTTTGACTAGTACATGATGAAACAAATTTTGCCAAGACACCGCCTACTAATTGAAATAGTTGGTAAATCATTATATTTATCCGGACCAGATAGATATCGCGCACGTGTCGCCTAGTCCCATATACATATTTCTGTTTACAGTGCTTGTAACTTTACCAAGACTGGGCCAAATTTCTTATCATTTTGATGATTCCAGAACCTTGCAGTACACACCAATACTTATATGCTAGATGATCAACCTTTTCTGATCGATTCCACGTTTCTTTCACAATGCAATCGCATGACCAGAACTAGTCTTTACCTTTAAGTGCCTTTTATTTTCAACTTAATATTTGGGGCTCAAGATATTTCTTTCAATTGTGTACTTCTTGATGAATGTTTTTTTTTCTTCATTTTTATCTTTCTTTTCATTAGTGAGCACTAAAAGCAGATATGGAAGCTAAAGTCTTAATAAAAACAATTACTTGAACACAAATTTAGAAATAGTATGTGCTTAAAATGGTCATTACTTATGACTACTGAACCATTCACATATTTAAGGTTAATAAAACAAAAATTATATTTATATTCAGTAGGCTAAAGGTTGCACCATGTTAGAGAGGTAATCTTTCTTGAGCTTATAGTTCTAAAGAGAACTAAAGCACCGATTGGAGAGGATGGGTAGTAGGATGCAGGTTGCATGGTGCAACCGTTAGACTACTGTATATCTACATCACCATGCAAGCCGATACTTATAAGCAGCATCCAAAAATGATGTTCTTGATCAAAACTGAATTTCGCAGGTGAAACCACAGAGAAATATTGTCCAACCCAGCTTGGGAAGGCTACTTAAAAAACAATTACTTGAACACAAATTTAGACATCTTATGTGCCTTACTAAACCAATCACATATATCACATTAAACAACATATGTTCTTGATCAAAACTGAATTTCACAGGTGAGACCACAGAGAAGTATTGCCCAACCCAGCTTGGTAAGGCTACTTTAAAAAAAATTACTTGAACACAAAATTAGACATCTTGTGTGCTTTACTAAACCAATCACATATTTCAGGTTAATAAAACGAAAAATGATGTTCTTGCTCAAAGCTGAATTCCTCAGGTGAGACCACAGAGGAGTATTGTCCAACCCAGCTTGGTAAGGCTACTTAAAAAACAATTACTTGAACACAAATTTAGACATCTTATGTGGTTTACTAAACCAATCACATTAAACAAAAATGATGTTCTTTTTTAAAACTGAATTTCCCAGGTGAGACGACAGAGAAGTATTGTCCAACCCAGCTTGGTAAGGCTACCTTGTCTTCAGCGCTCTCACCGGGTGAAGCTCTCCAGGTGTTTGCTGAACTGCAGAAGGCTCGCAAGAACTTTGTCCTGGAGAACGAACTTCACATCCTGTACCAGGTGAGCTAGGAGAGTCTGTGCTCTGGTGAATTGCTGTTTAGTCTACAACGAGTTCGTCCACTACCCATTTAGTCTATTTCCATGTGGTCTACACCTAGCCTGTGTACTATTCACATGGTCTAATAATCATTTAAACATGAATAATAATAATCATCAAATGATTATTAGATCTTATGGATGGTAGACAAAATGGGCATTAGACAAACTGGAAATTAGACTGACTAGCAATTAGACCAAATGGGTAGTAGACTTATTGGAGATTAGACCAAATGACAATTAGCCTAAATGGACATTGGACCAAATGATATGTAGACGAAATGATTATTGGACCAGGTGGATAACCATGCACTTGCCATTTTATGGGCTAACATCATGGTAACCAAAGGTAACCCGACTCTGTAATTGTAGGTTGGATTGTCCTAATAGTTTTTTCCAAAAGATTAACGAGACTTGAAAAGGACAAGAAGGTCAAGTACTCTGCGGTGTTTGAATGTATTTCAAATCTACCTAGTGCAAAACACATTCAGTTATAAAAACTGAATACTTTTTTGAGGTATTAGATCATCCGAGAGTATATCTCAAGTTTATGTTACAAATGCACCTACATTTTTGCTTGTTTTACTTTGTATATCATCTTATGATAAGACCTTCTTGCCAACCTATTATTATTGTTACATCCTTCACCATTGCAACCACTTCAATCATATGTTAGTTTTATTTATGAGAACCTATAATCTACAAGCTGAACTTTTTGTATAGGTTCCTCACATTTCACCCTGTATAAACCTCTTGTTCAATACAGTTAATTTTGACGTCTTTTCACAGAATTGATTATATAATGTGACACTTTTAGTATATTTCATATTATGTTCTAATTTTGTCAATTATGTGAATTCTTTTTTTGTGAAATGTGAAACAAAATAAACTTGAAACTTGAAATATGTACATGTACAGGTCACTCCAATCTACAACCAGGGCTTCCAGCCCGACTGGTACCAGTTCGTCTGCACCTGGGAGAAGATGTCATCGGATCAGCGGAGGGTGGCCGAGCTGGTTGGGGTGGAGGAGTCCTTCCTGATGAGGGCTAGCCAGGGCCTCGTCTCCAGTGCCTCCCGCTCGGCCAACGTCCAGAAGAGCATTGCCATCCACCGGCGATTCTACACCACCCTCATCCTGCACGAGCTGGTCAACGAAGTCCCACTGCCGACTGTCGCCGCCAAGTACAGCTGTGGCTTTGGGCAGCTGCAGTCGTTGCAACAATCTGCCAGTACATTCTCAGGTAGAGAGATATTGTCCTTTTGAATAATTTATTCTCTTGGAATAGTTTTAATTCTGTTTTCATAGCTGTCAAGTATTTTCAAGTGTAAGATAAATTTTAACTGATTGAAACATATCGGTTGGAATCCATTGAATATCATCTATCAGTTAAGAAAATTGCAACCAGTTAGGGGTCATTTCTTGCGTGTGAAGTAGAAGGTATACAAATTTATGGAGTGTTTATGTTAATATACCAATTTCGTCAATTCTCCATGTATCAGATTGAATTTGCAACAAAGGAAGTGAACATACCAAAATGAATTCTGCATATTTTTTGGTTTAAATGTTGACCCATTATCCCCCCAGCCCCTTTATTCACTGTGGTGTGCCTGTTGACTCTTGTTGAAATGATGAAATTGTTTTTTTCTCTTGATTGAACATGTAGGCAATCAACAATATCTTAAATCCCACGTGCACTACTTTGGCCAGGAGGGTTTAGACCTCCCTGCAAGGTCACTGACAGGTGGTTATCTCATCAAATCAGCTCTAAATTAACGTAAGAAAAAGGGGACCATGGGGGACCAATGGTCACCATTTAGGCATTTTTTGCTATATAGAGGGCGCAAGTAGCTATAAGTAGTACAGCGGGACTTTAATGAACGACGTTTGTTCTCATCTCGTTTTAATAGGCATGGTGACGGTCTTCTGTAGCCGACTGGGCTGGTGGAACCTGGAACTCCTCCTGGCCCAGTTCAAGAATCGACTCAACTTTGGGATCCAACGGGAGCTCTGCGATCTGGTCCGGATCTCTCTCCTAAACGCCCAGCGGGCCAGGCTGCTCTACGATGCCGGCTACCCCACCGTGGCTGCAGTGGCAACCTGCAACCCGGATGATGTGGAAACCCTGCTCAGAAATTCTGTGCCATTCAAAAGGTAAGATTAAAGTTGCTCATGCATGAGTTTATAAGAGGGCAGCAGAAATTTTGACGCGCAGGAGTGTAATACCTGTTGGCTCAGTGTTATGTGGTGATCACCTACTTACCTACTTCACGAACGACTATATACCCATGCAGGAACATCTTTAACTAAACACTTCACATTGTAATTGGTAAAAAGAATGCTTGATAGATAAATATTTTGGTTGCTGAATGATATGAATGTACACACATGCTTGGTCCTCATTTTAAGAATAATAAACAGCTCTGTAGTTGACATATCATATTATGAAAGCAAACTAACAATATCAGAAGACAGGCACTAGAGCATCTGAGTCACTGTTTTTGTGTGTAGAAGCGCATGCCCAGATTAAAGATCGCAATAGGTTGCAGTCAGACGTTGCAGTCAGTTTGCCTCTAGGGTCATTGTTTTTTCATTTTCTAATTTCTTTTAAATAAATCTTTGTGTATCATTGGCACAATGAGAATTTGGGCAGATAAAGTTCGGTACAAATTGTACCTTTTGCTACATCATCTAATGCGATTTTAGAAGAGAGTTAAATCCACGCAACCAAATAGTGAGTTACATGTATAACCCTGAATGCTCCCAACAGATGATATTAAAACTATGTTGGAAGTATGTGCAGTTAATGTGTGATTGTGTATGGTTTTGGTTTTATCTAGTGGTAGACAAGCTCATGGTGAAGACGCCTACGAGGCGGTGGAGAGGAAACAAACCAGGTGTATCTGGGCCACCGGAAGGAAGGGATTGACGGAGGCTGAGGCTGCCAAGCTCATTGTCTCCGAAGCCAGGCAGATTGTCCAGGTTGAGCTCGGTGTGGCCGATGTTGCCTGGGGAAAGGAGGAAGAGAAGGATGACACCAAAGCGGACAACGTTGGTCAGAAAATGGTAGCTAAGGATAACACCAAAGCAGACAACGGTGGTCAGAAGACGGTAGCTAACGATGACGGACCACGAGAGGGCGCCAGAGACGGGGACAAAGGACCTGAGGCGGGATTAGAGCATGTGTCAGAGGGCAGCGATAGAAGTGGTAACATCATGATCAGTTGTAACGGGAATCCCATCCCCGAGAAACACCTGGAGAAGGAATTGATACTGGTGAAGGGGCGTGACCAGGTTGCACCTGAAGAAAGTCCAGCAGTAGATGAACCCATCCCTAATAGGCCAAGTACATCATCAAAGTCTGTTGAAATTCATGGAAACTCTTTCAGTAATTTCAATGTAAGACATCCAGTTTTAAAAGAAGTTGTTACTAAACCATCTGATAGTTCTGGAGAGAAGTTTGATGATGTGCAGAGAGACACTAAGGCAGAAGCAGAGAGCTGTAGTACCAAGGGAGTAGCCAATGAGACATCTGGTAGTGAGTGTTCCTCTACTAGATTCAGTGGAAGAAAAAACAGTTTCAAACACCCATCTGTTCTAAGAAGTACAGATGCCAAAGACAGCTCAAAGAAAGAAATGGTGGTGACTGTCCAAGTACATGCCAAACCTCAAAATCGCAAAATAGATGCAGAACAAATGTTTCCACAGGTTCCTTCAAAACAGCCCAAGATCATCACAAATAAGAATAAGAATGAAATAGCGAGGAAAGAATCCACCCTAGAAAAGAAGGACATACCTGTACATTTTGCTTCAAGCTCTACCAAAGAAAAAAGTCATGAGATCAAGGAGCAAGAAGAAATGGCTAAAGGAAAGATAACTTCAACACCTATTACAGCAGAGGACAAAGAGACACATCATCAAGGTCGGGAGAAGGAAACATCTCCAGAGCTGTTCTCATGTCCTTTAGATGAGGGTGGTCTGGAGGAGGCACTGCAGCAGATGGTAGAAGAGTTTGCTTCTCCTGCAAGAGGTCCAGGAGATGGACAACTCCTGGAGTGTTCTTCTCCTGGAAGAGGTCCAGGAGATGGACAAGTCCTGCAGGACAAGGGCAGTCACAGCAGAGATGGGGATGGAATGTTAGTTGGTGAAGAGGATGGGATCAGTCCGACGTTCCCATCCATGGATTCACAGCTGGAGCAGTACATGGCCGAGTATTGCACTCAAAACGACATTGTGGCTGAATCAGCTAGTCCTGATCTTGATGCTGGCAAGAAGAGCGGAAGGGAGCATTTGAGAAACTCTCAAGATATTCGAACAGATGATAAACTACCAAGTGGTCCAAGCACAAGGGAAACTGCCTTAGCAATCAACACTGTAGATGGAACTACGGTAACAAGTCATAGCTCAAGTGCCCCTACAGATACAGTTGCACCAGATCAAGCGATTGATGCGGATGCTGAAGAAACTGTCCAGAATCCAGACAGCGATTCTCATCCACTGGTAGAGACAACCCAGGATGTACTACTAGCTGCAGACATGTGTGAGTTATTTGACTCATTCTCATGTAGCATTCAGGCATCAGTTACCTCAGAGACCAATCCAAGTAAAGCTATACCCCCTCTGATTCACACTGACCAGGTATTATCCCATTCAGGTGAAAGAGGTACCAGACTTACTGCTGGATCTCCTGAAAACTATGAGAAAGATGTTAAGCTTGTAAACGCTCCCTCTGCGGCCGCGAAGTCCCCAACAGCAACTGTAACAGAAACTACCACATACATGATGCAAAGAGGTACAGACAAATCAGAGGCCCAAGGCTGTCAAACTGATGATGCCATGCAGATATCTTCAGATGAATCTTTCTCATACTTGGAGACTCCTGATGATAATGAAATCTTGGATTCAGATCCCCAAAATGCTACCATGATTTTTGTTGGAAAATCCAAACAGTCATGTACAAAATCTTGCACCAAGGAATGTACAAAACATCCAGATGTTGTTCGCAGCAATGCGAAAGGCGCCACATTGTATCCAAAGGTAAAATTATCAACCAGAAAGGAAAACACTGCACATAAGGGCACTGCAAAGCAGATTATTGGGAAGCAATCATTTGTAGGTATCCAGAAACCTTCAAAGTCGGTAGAATGTTCCAATGGAATAGTGAGTGGCACCTCTGGAAATAGACAAGCAGAGTTTCATCAGCTTGCTTCTTCTAAAGGACATCACAAAGTATCTGTATCAAGTAAGACTGTGTCCAAGAAAGCGAGTTTAGCACCATTAGCATCAAACAAGCCATCCAAATGTGAGTCATCCTCAAGAACAGTTGCAGATGATGTGCTTTTCTCTCCCGAGAGGGAAAACACAGTCCACAGAAATGCAGGCAGTCTCCTGAGTCCAGGCACTATGGCCATGCTGGACCTCTTTGCTGGTGAAGATGATGATATGTTCACTCAGCTGAAGGAAACGCCAAAGAGTAAGACCAAAGACAAGACGGTCCTTGCGGGTAAAGACATGAATGTAAGCAAGATCGACACCAAGGGTGTCAGTAAGGTCAGTGGAGGAAGAGACGTAAAGCAGAACAAGTCACAGATTAAGGACAAAGGTGCAATCCCATCACGCAAGGATAGTGCAATAGCTTTGAGCAGAGAACACCCAAAGAGAAAGAATGAGCAAAAGGATAGCGGATCTCCACCGAAGCGGCAAAGAACCCCGCCAAAGGCTTATCCTGCTGTTCAAGAAGAAAGTGGAAGTGCAATAGCAAAAGGCCCTGCAGGTGTGGTTTTCTCCTCAGACTCGGAGCATCCTGAAAGGAGAACCAGTGATACAGGAGATTACATCCCTCCAACTCCTCCCAGGACAAGACAGACTACTCCAAGGATCTCAAAGGCCTCTGGGACACAGAAGCCAAAGAGCAAAACAGGACAAACACAGCAATCTGGTAAGAAGAAGAAAACCCAAGAAAAATCCCAGCAGATTTCAAAAAGAACATCCCCAAGAGCATTGACCAGGAGTAGACAGAATCTAGAGGCAGTCATGGAAGAAAGGCACGCCATTACCAAAGACGCTCCTGATGGTTTTAGGGACACCAAGGACAAAGGCCTTCCAAAGACAAACACGAAACTACATAGGACAAGTCCCGTTGAAAGCAACCAGCTACCTCCTGACAGAACTGCAGGTCAAACGATTGATGTGCCCAGGATTCCAGCTATAGCCATGACACCCAGTTTTGACAGTGAAATGCTATGCCAAGACAGTGAAGACCTGTTCTCACCTAAACCCATTGAATCTCAGGATGCCCTCAACATGGGAATGGACGAATTTGACTTCAGTCTAAAGTTCAGCCTAGACAGCGACTCTGAAATACCACCTTCTCCACATCCTGTCATCATCGCCACCACCTCAAGGCAGCAGCAGAACCACCACCAGCAGCAGTCCTTGATGTCATCCTTCACTCCATCATTCTCCTTTCCCCAGTCCTTCAGCTGCTCTCCCGCCGTACCTTCATCGGACAATGCCTTCACCATCGTAGACGTCTGTGCCAATGTGGACCTCTTCAGTACATTTTTGTCAGAGTGGAAGCGGAAGACGCGCTACGCAGTGGCTGTGGCCTGTGAGAAGTACCATCCTCCTGTCCAAGGTGCCACAATTGGAGGGAATTTCAAGAAACCTGGTATGTCTTTAACACACTTTGTTTGCCCCAAAACAGCCCCAAAATACAACGTTGGAATATTAAACCATTTTGCATGTAAATTGATAGCAAGTTGGGTTGAAAAAGTAGCTTCATGGGACAGAGCCCAGTTTCACTGATTTTTCTCTGTGTTATCAGTTACAGAAATATAAAGTGCACTGTGACTATATCATTTCCTTTCCGGCAACATTTTTGTGTTTGTTTTTTATTGTGAGGCATATTTTGCGTCGTTGATGAATGAGATTTTATGAATCGTATTCATAGATTATTGTTCTCAAAATGGAAGTACAAATCTCCTAACATGGTGTGTAAACTGATTTTTGAGTATTGACAAACCATACGTACCATTTTTACCTTGTCCTTGTTTTTTACAATGCTTCAACAACAAAACAAAACAAAAAATTCTACATGTAACATCTTGGACATTCACATATTTTCAATTAATGAGCTGCACAAGGTATTAGGTAATAATGAACTTCATGAATATTATAAATATCTTATAATGTTCTTGTACTTTTTCATCAAACCAGGCACATCCACTCGTAAGGAGGTTCAGTCCAAACCAGATGGCTTCCCTATAGAGAACCTTGAGCTCCTGGTGACAGGCATAGCTGTGTGCTGGGGTGGCAAAGATGCTTACTTTGTCTCTCTTCAAAAAGAGATTACTGAAGGTAAGACAGAATGACAGACTTACCATAGTCGTTATCAGGGCTTTAGGTCTAGTTATCAATCTCCCTGTAGTTGTGAGAAGGTTCAGTCCAAGCCAGAGGGTTTCCCCGTAGAAGATCTTGAACTTCTTGCGACTGGCATAGCTCTGTGCTGGATAACTGAAAGTATGAAAGAATAAACATAATTGTATTCAATGCTGTAGTTCTAGTTTTGAAAGTTGTTATTTCATTTGTACTAACTTATAGCAACCACACCTGGGCTGAGATGCTGGAAGACTACAGTTCGTTCAGTTTAGACCAAGGGTAAAAAATGTCCTGTCAAGGTGTCTGCATATGAAATATATTGGGGTTTTGTTGTTGCAGAATTAATTTGTTTGTTTGTTTGTTTTGTTGGGTTTTAATTTGTTTTCCTTGGAGGGAGTTACAGGCAGTGGGGGACCGCAAATGAATGTTGCAGTATTTGGCAAAAGAGTTTTGATACAAAGAGAAAGACAGTTCAGACTCTTAGGGATGATCTTAGTATTATCCTTTGACAGACTTATAAACACTCTTTGAACTTTGATCTTTCCCTTAGGTAATGCAGATGACACGCTTGCACCACCGGACAATGCCCCTAACCTGTCGGTCAGCGACAGGCTGAGTAAGATCAGACCAGTCTTGGAGATAGAGAAGCTGGGACGGACTGCCAAGGCAAAGTATCACCGTAAGGTTGTGTTTGGAGCTAAGCACCAGGTGAGTGATGATAACATGTATGCATATTTGATGTACAGTCAAACCTGCTTTAACGACCACCTGTATAGAAAGATCACCTGTCTACAAAGATCACCTTTTTGTTTCCCTTTGGTTCTCATTGAAAAGACCACCTGCCTATAAAGACTTCTTGTCACCCTTGGATGGTCTTTATAGACAGGTTTCACTGTTACAGTAGTAGTGTTTCATTCATACAAATATGTTGTCATTGGCTTGAAATGATGTTTTTGAACTGTCAACTAGGAAAAACAAAAATTAAATCTACCTTACTTCAAGATTTATTGTATAAAATGCCTATGACCCCATTGTACATGTATATATGGTTTGGTAAAACACATGGTCCCATCACAATATATCTTGAGCATTGTAACTTAATATCACAGATCAGTGCATGTTTAACAGGATTTAAGACAAATTTGGGGCTATGTTCTTCTAGTACAGTACTAATGGTGCAGACGGATATCTCTGTAATGTTGCCTAAACATAAGAGCTCTTTTTATTTTATTTTTTCACCGAGCATGTACCTAGGGCACTAATTTAGTTTGAAATAATTATTTTCTTGACTATCGTCTGGACTGTTACATCACTTACTACGATACAATTACGATACAACCCACATTTCCTTCATGAATAATATTTGCTTTTTTTTATTTGCAAAAATTAAAGATAAAGGCCAGTTATGGTTATGCGATTGCATTGTGAAAGAAAAGGTGTGGAATGGATCAGAAAAAGTTGATCATGTAGCATGTAAGTATTGGTGTGTACTGCAAGGTTCTAGAGTCATCAAAATCATAATAAATTTGGCCCAGTCTTGGTAAAGTAACAAGCACTGTACACAGAAAGATGCATATGGGACTACACAAATGGTGTCGGGTCTACTTACCTTGATTTCCTTATCTTTCTATGCTCATTACTCAGCCAGTATACATTTTCTACCAATATTGACATCTATTTGTAATCTTGACATTCAGTGTAAGTTTTGTTTGATTCTGTGAGAATTCATTTTCTTTTTTAACCTGAACTCAAGTTTATCTTCAAACTGATGTCTGTGTTAGTAGGCCTATCTAATCTTGGTATGATATTTGTTACTTCATTTCTCTCCAGTATAAGATCCTGTCTCAAGCCTGCGGGTGTCTCCTAGCGGGCTCCCTGGAAGACCCTAAGATAGCACAGTGGCTGATAGACCCTGGTAGCAAAGAACCTAACCTACAATCACTGGTCACACAGTATACACCTACTGATGCTTATCTCCTAGAAGGTGAGGTCTTTTAAAGCCCGCTGTACTACTTATAGCTACTTGCGCCCTCTACAGTATATAGCAAACAATGCCTAATCGGTGCCTGTTGGTCACCCATGATCCCCTTTTTCTTATGTTAATTGAGAGCTGATTCGATGAGATAACCACCTGTCAGTGACCTTGCAGGGAGGTCTAATCCCTCCTGGCCAAACTTGTGTACACAGGCTTTAAGGTCTTTCTATTTTTCTATGTAAATCAGTTCACTCCCTTGCCTTAGTTATTTCACTCATTTTCCCTGGTGCTGTCGTTGGCTTAGAGGTCGATAGACCCTAGTAGTTAAGGAACCTAACCTACAGTCTCTGGTCACCCAGTATGCACCTACTGATGCTTATGATCTGGAAGGTAAATTCTTTTCTCTGTTTCTTTCTTTGTCCTCTCCTCTTTTCCCTTCTTTTGTTTTCCACGGTTGTCCCCGTCAGAGTTATTCTTACTATCTCTCTCTCTCTCTCTATCTCTCTGTCTCTTTGACTGCTGTTCAAATCTTAAATCAATAGCAAACTTGCAATGTCCTACCTCTTCCTGCACAGAGTTGCAGTTGAAATCAATCTCTAGTTATATAGGATTGATTTAGATCAATCACAGCTCTTTATAATGCCTCGTTGACACTTGCCTGCATTTTGGTTTGTGCATAGTTTGCGCATAGACACATACTCTTGCGTGCCAATGCGAGAAGTATTGGAAGTAACGTGTAGGAGGATGCAGGCCGTGCGTGAAATGCGTGACAGAATTGTCAAAATGTTCAAAATTTTGGCACAACAATTTTGTTCGTGAGCTATGCACACCCTATGCGCTACCTGACCTGGTTACGCATTGTGTGAACTATTCGTAAATTAGACGTGACCCTAAACAGACTGCGTGCCACTAATTGGCACGCATTGGCACGCCATAGAGAGGGGCAGTGTGGGACCAAAATGTGTGCAAATGTCAACAAGGCATAAGACTGGACCCCAAACAACTTTTTCAAGACACAATCATTTTTGACCATGTCTCAATCTGTTTCTTAGCTCTTGGAGGTGGCATAGGCCTAGGAGGGCCAGGGGTTAGTCCAGAGACGAACGGATCCAGTAGACTGAGGGCTACTACTGAAGCAGTCCTGTCCCTTCAGGTCATGGACACCATGCAGAAGCAGCTAGAGGAGATGGACCTGTGGCAACCATTTACAGATGTAAGCAGAGCTGCCAACCAATACGATTTAATCGTATTTTGTATGATTTTTAGAAGGAAACAGGATTTTCCTCAATAAAATATGATTTTTAAAAAATATTAAAAAAACATTTTCAATGGCAAAATGCTCATTCTGTCCTGTAAAGTATCCTACAAGCATCTCACATCGGCAATCTGGGGATGTTCATTGGTTCATCGAACACACCAGACATGACGAAATCATGCATATCCAACCAATGGTCCATACAAAAGTGTCTTCCTGTATGTAGGAACTGTAAGAGGCATTGATCCATGTTTTTTCTTTTAATACAATTTTTGTCAATAAAATACAACTTTTGGGATTAAAGAATAAAGTTTTTGAACTTCAGAGGTTGGCAGGTCTGGATAAGCTAGTGATGCAAATTTGTTTGACTGGACAGAACTGGTGACTTTCTATTTTTAAAAAGACATTGATGCTGGTGTTCCTTTTGCATTATGTGCCAGGCAGAAGGGTGTGATCCCAAAGTTTGATTGTACTTCTAAACTGTTTGGTTTGGATCGCTGAAGTAATTACTCCCTGTGAACAGTTTGGACTATGTACCGAGTGTGTTGTGTCGATGTTTTAGAATATAAATCTAAGTATATTAATCACATGTAGTCAAATATTGATCAAAAGTTTAGAATGCATTTGTTATTGAAATGTACATCCGTCAATTTCATCCTGTCATCCATTTCCTTTCTCTGGTAAAGTCACAATTGTCTGATAGGGAGGGAGGAGGATGTGTTCTTGTCAAAGCCTTTGTCATGCGACACCATAACAAGCCCTGTTTAAATTTCCTCTCCCCATTGAGTAGGTCCTCTTTTATTCCTCTTTCCCCAGGTTGAGATGCCATCCATTGTGACCCTAGCCAGAGTGGAGCTGAACGGTATCGGGATAGACGGGGCAGAGTGCGAGACACAGAAGGCCGTGATGCAGGCTAAGCTGAAGTGCTTGGAGGAAGAGGCCTACAAGATAGCTGGCCATGGCTTCTCTCTCACGTCACCAGACGATGTTGCACAGGTTCGTTGTCGTGGTTATGGCAAAAGAGATAGAGAAGATAAAGAAGACAAGAAAGAGGATGCATTGGTAGTGATGATAATGATGAAAAGGATTGAGGTGATGCTGATGATGATGATGATTAGAATATTGATGATGATGATGATGATGACGATGAGAGCTTGAAGGAAGAGGCCTACCAGATAGCGGGTCATGGCTTCTCACTCACATCACCAGATGATGTTGCACAGGTGTGTTGGCATGGCGATGGCAAAAGAGACGTGAACATAATGAGGATGATGATGAGAAAGAGGAGATGGAGGAGAATGAAATTGATGATTATTATTAGTATTCTAAATAAAGTATGCAGATGATATAGTTGATAATTACTGCTGCTGATGATGGTGATCTTGATGATGATAAACTAGGTAGGGAAAGGGATGATGATGAGGAGGAGGATAAAGAGGAATATGTGATGGTGGTGATGCTGATGATGATTCAGACAACTGTAATTGTTTAATTATGGTAGGTAATGGTGAGAAGGATGATAAAGAGGAGGAGGGGGATAATGATGAACATGACAATGTATTCATGTGGTTCGAGAAGGAGATTGTCGTAATGATCATTACTGTAAAAATTATATTAACATTTTTTGGAATTGTTGCTATGAATATTCAGAATCCGCTCGCTATGATTTCTCTCTTGCATGATTTTCTGATGATGATGATGATGATGTTGAAGGCTGTAAAGGCAGCTAGGCTAAATCCTCGGAATAGAATTTCTAGATAGACAGCGCTATAGAAATGCCTATAATTATTAATTATTGTTATTAAGGGATGCTTTTCATACCTCTTACATCTACAGGTTTTGTACACAGAGTTGAAGCTCCCGCCCAACGGCGACCCCTCTTCCCTCTCCACGTCTGCCGCGGCCCCCGCACGGCGCACCCTCGGAGCAAGAGGGCGCCCTCGCTTGTCCAAGCATTTCAGCACCTCCAAGGATGCCCTGGAGAAACTCAAGCCCCTCCATCCTCTCCCCGCCCTCATCCTGGAGTTCCGTCGGATCTCGGCTGCCGTGGCCAAGGTGGTGTTCCCACTCCAGAAGGAGAAGGTGCACAACGGCAGACTCGACATGGACCGGGTCTTCACTGTATATCAGACTCACACAGCTACGGGTAATGAAAAGATGCGATCTCTATGTGACCCCAAACTATGGAATAGCTTGCCAATAGAAATTTGAAGCACTCCATCTCTCAATGTCTTCAATTCCAAATTAAAAACTTATTTCTTCAATTGAGAGATTCTATTTTGTAGAATTTAGTTTTTTAAAAAGGAGCTCTGAACCAGTGCAGCTGAATATATTTTGTATAAAAGCTGCCCTATATAAATTTATTTATTATTATCATTATTATATACAATTGGATTTTCCCTGAAGGCAGTAGCAATAATTTCGTTATAAATTTTGATTTTGATAATTATTTCTACCCTGTATATATATGCTCGTAAAATACACAGAAATAAAAGAATAAGTTTATTTGCCAAAGAGATCTACATGTATGCGCAGAAAATTAGAAAATAGAAAGGGTGGACAAAAGTCTTTACTAGACATCAGAGAATAGTAGCTTGCTTGAAACTCTTCAAAAATCTATGCCTTTTCAATCATTTATAGATGAATTATGCACAATTTAACCTCTTCCATTTCTATAGAGAATCTTTAGTATGACATGTACCTTAAATTAGGAGTCCATTTTAAAGGTCTTGTGATCTTCGTTTCCAAACAGGTCGTGTTGCGACCTTTGAACCCAACATCCAGGCAATACCCAAGGAGTTTGACATTGACATGCCGTCTGTGATTGGGGAGAGTCCGCCTGGAGGGGGCGCTGCAGCAGGGACTGGCTCGTTTGCTCCTTCAGCAGTCTCGTCGTGTCGCGGCAAGAAGGGCCGAATGACCAGGATTGGGGCATACACCCCACTGACCATGAGTAGCGGACCCACCCCCAAGCCTGGTCCCAAGTTTGCAGTTTGTATCAGGAATGTCTTCTGCCCTTTTAAAGGTAAGTTTTGCTTCTTTTATTTCTGGTCTAGTATTTCAGTCTTTGTCTGACAGGATTGCTTTCTTGATAAGGGTGAAGAACTGAATTTGTATTATTGCAACCATGATTGATATGAATGCATATGGAATATTACATTTGTGCAATTAATTTGTTGCTCTTGCAGACTGAATCAGAAATAAGGAGGGGAATGGTATGTCTGACCTAAGCTTTAAAAAATCTTGCCTTCTTACCTACTTGAAAGGATCTGAACTTTTGATTAAAAGCATCTTTTTAATTTAACTGATAGTATCAGCATGTATCGATCTATTTCACTGTATGCACCTACACCTTTTCCAGTCTGCCTGCTCAACTATCAGCTTTTCATTTTGTTCAGTTAAGCTGCCAAATATCTGATGTTAGTTAAGGGGTGTGCAAACACTAGAAACACTAGAATGCCTCAGTAATGGCAAGATTTGTCTATCTAAAAAAAAAGAGAGATCTTTTAAATAAACGAATCTCCAAAATTCACCGACTCTTCCAGGTGGATTAATGCTAGCTGCCGACTACTCTCAGCTGGAGCTACGTCTCCTGGCACACCTTGCCAAGGACAGGTGCCTCATGGGCATCCTGAACAGTGGCAGCGATGTCTTCAAGCAGATCGCTGCCAAGTGGAAGCACGTGGATGTGGACAGCGTGTCGGCCGAACAGAGACAACAGGCCAAGCAGGTAAGTGGTATCATCCAAGATTTGAGATTCAAGGGCCCCGTCTCATAAAGAGTTGATATTAATCGCAACTTATTTGCGATTGATATCAATCGCAGGTATGTACATAAGAGATACATGTAGGAGACTGCAAACTTGCGATTGATTTGAGGACTTGGGATTGATTTGGATCAATTTGGATCAATCGCAACTCTTTATAAGATAAGGCCAAGATCTGTTTTTAACAAAAACATCTTCACTGTCGGACGGCTGAATTGCGAAAAACATTATAAAGATAATTTTAAAAACGAGGACAAAAAAAGGCTTTTAGTTTGCTGTCATATATTTTTATTTTTAGATTGTTTTATCTCTTCAAGTGTGAACGTCACTTTAACCCTATTTAGCCCGGGGGGGGGGGGGGGGGGGGGGGGGGGCTTGAGAAGCCCCCCCCTCGACATTTTTCGCGATAATTTTTTAACGCAAGAAAATCTTGCACTGAAATTTTGTGACTTTTTTCTTTCGAGTCTTGCGCAACTTTTGAAAGAAATTTTTAGAAAATCGGACCTACCATTACAAAGGCACGTGTCCTTTTGTCTTCGTATGTCAGCCCAAAAATCGCTCATTTTTGTGATTTGTGTACAAAACATATGGAAATCTCCTTTTTCAAATAAAGAGGTAAAACATTGGTTATTTGGTCTTGTTTAGATTTTAGGTGTTTATTTTGGGGTCAAAATAGTTGAATTATAGTTGGAAATGAAATAAAACAACAAAAACAATAAAATACATAAGTTAAAAAAACAAAGAAATACATAAGAAATTATCAAAACAATAGATAACATAAGGAATAACCCTGGTTTTTCAAATTTTTGTGTTGTATTATTATTCCAAATGGTCTAACAAATATATGTTGTGAGAAAGAATGCTTAAATATGAATAATGTCTGATTTATGGGCAAAAATGTGAATTTAATGACCTTATTTGCATAAATTACCATAAATATGCAAATGAGTGAATTTTTCAAAAAAATTGAAATTACCATAGTATTCTATACACTTCACTTGACATGTATGCAAATTTTCGCGGCGATCGGGCGTTTCACGGCCGAGATCATAGGGGGGGGGGGCCTTAGAAGCTCCCCCCCCCCCCCCCCCCCCCCCCCCCCCGGGCTATGCAGTTTCAAAATAGCCCGGGCTAAATAGGGTTAAAGTGGATCTAACATGATCACCTTCTTCTTGCAGATGTGCTATGGGATGATCTACGGTATAGGAGCCAGAGCTCTGGGGGAGCAGCTTGGGGTGTGTGAGGAGGATGCTGCTGCCTTCATGGAGTCCTTCAAGTCACAATACAAGGGTAGGTTTTTTGTTTTTTTTTCAATATAGGAGTTTAAAAGTAAAACAAAATTTTGGTATGGGGTCATGAATTTAGTTCAAATGAACACATTGGAAACATATGCCATTTTGCAAAGTTCAATAACCGTCGTCGCGGTTGAAATCGAGTCTAGAGTGATGAAATTGTAAATAATAAACTCTTTATGTTGTATAGCTCCTCTCAAAATTGATATGACTTTAGCTTTAAAACCATGTTTTTCGACTACAATCCACCAATTAGCTATTCCTGTTTGGAAATCATATATCAGAAATGCATATTCTGAGATTTTCATGGTCGCAGCTACCATGGAATGGTCTTTGGCGCCATTTGGAATATTCAAAATTTACCGGGAGCACCGGTAAAATTTGGATTATTCAATTACTTGAAAGCAGAACTGTTTTAGGGGCTGAATTTTCTAGTGCTTATAATACATCCACAGGGGCATCCAAATATACAAAAGTTTTCAAGAATTACTATCCATCCAATTTTCAAAATTTCTCAAAACTTTGCATTACCTTTAAGTGATCCATATACAATTTATGTACAGCCTACTGCACACTATATGATCCTAATTTGCAATAGCATTTGATACTATCATGCAAACCTGTCAAATCTTAATGACTGAGAATCTGGAAAATCTGATGATTAAGAAAAATCTAAATTTGTAGGAATTTCATGCATCCTTGGAAGCGGAAAAGCTAAATCAGCTCAGAATAGTAGTGACATCACGATTGTCTACGATTGGACGCAGATTAGGCTTTTGTTCTGACCAGAATCATGCGTGGTTCCTCACACTTTTGTAATCTCTTTGATAATCAGGCATGAAGAACTACCTCCTAGAGGTGGTCAAGCAGTGCAGAGAGAAAGGCTACGTCCAGACACTGACCGGTCGAAGGCGCTACCTCCCGGCCATCCACCACACCAACCCCGGGGCCAGGAACCAGGCCGAAAGACAGGCGGTCAACACCACTGTCCAGGGTTCGGCCGCTGACCTGGTCAAGACGGCCATGGTCAAGATTGACCGGAGGCTGGCTGTGGAGTATCCGGCCACCAAGAGGAGCCATAAGCACAAGGAGGAAGAGGAATCAGGTAGGTGATAGACTTTGAGCAAGTTGATTCACAGATGAGACATGAACAAACGTTTTGATGGCAGCTATGCCTCATTCACATATGCCAGGTTAATTTACAGCGGTTTACCACAACAGGTGTTTTGTGTGTGTGTGTGTTTACTGAATGAATGGCAAGTTAAGCTGAAAAATGAAGCTACATGCTACAAAGGTCCTATGTTTTCTTAATAAACCGCATGTTTAAGATGCAAGAATGTGAAATTCAGTGAGCTTTAAATTAACATGGTTTATCACAACATAAGTGAATGAGCCTCTACTGATATTTCATGGATTGAGAGGGGGCAGGGGAGAGACAGAGAGAAAGGATTAGATAGAGAGGGAGAGAGAGGGGAGGGGTAGAGAGGGGGAGACAGAACGAGAGAGAGATTATCAAATGAAGCAAGTCAGGATATATATAACAAGTCTGCAGAATGGGACACTACTACAAGGCAATTAAATGATTCTTCTCCTAATCCCTGACATATGATGAAAGACACATGATCAGTACAGTGCTCAAAATTCCTTGAACATGTATTAGGTAATGAATTTCATCACCTGTTTTAGTCGGCCTGAAAGTGAAAACGCATCCTCTGTATCTATCACTTTCTGTTCATAGGGACAGCTCCTGGTCGTCGGAAGAGCAGAAGACTACAGACCTCCACCACCGGCTTCACTCCCCCTGGAGCCTTCCTGGTGCTGCAGCTACACGATGAGCTCATCTACGAAGTCAGGAGGGAGGATGTAGATCAGGTGGCACAGCTGATTAAGACCGAGATGGAGAATGCAATGAAACTCTCTGTGAGGCTACCCGTTAAGGTTAAGTTTGGACCTACATGGGGCACGCTTGAAGAAATGGATTTGTGAGGAGGGAGTGTGCTCAGAATGTGGCACAGCTTATTATGACCGAGATGGGGATTGCGATGAAACCTTCTGTGAGGTTACCTGTGAAAGTGAAGGTTGGACTGACGTGGCACACTCAAAGAAATGGACTTATGGAGAGGGAGGGTGTTGAATAGGTGGCTCAGCTTATTATGACTGAGATAGAAAATGAACTTTGCCTCTTCCAGGGGCGTGATTCAATAAAGTGACATATGAGGAGGGAGTATATTTATCAGGTGTTACAGCTGTTCAAAAGAGAGATGGATAGCGCTATAAAATGGAATTGTGATGCAGAAATAGTATCTCATTTCACTTGGCCACTCACTTCCACATTTCAACGGTAATTTACCCCCTCCCCTCCCTTCTTCAATCTTACAATTCAAACTGGTAAGATTTTAATTATCTGAATTATGCAATTTATTCAAGGACTCTCTCTCCCCCTCATGTGTTAGTCTAGGTATAATAAATTTAGGATTCCATTTTGAGAGTATATTTTGCAAAACTCATATGTGCACATATTGTGGCATTCATCAATGAATTCAGTTTAAACAAGTATTTCTATCAATTTCCATATTTTGTAATATTCAACATTTTCAAAATTTCAAATTTAGTATGAGATAGTATTATAGTAAATTGAATGTTTATATTTCATTTGATTTTGACATTGCAGTATATTGTTATGAAATGAACTACACATGTAAAGACAAATATTGATGATATATGCATTTGTAGGCCTATTCCATTTTTTAACATTGTGTGAATAACTCATATGTACACATATTGTGGTATTTATCATTGAATTTGGTTAGACAAATGTTTAACAAATTCAAAAATGTGTCATATTCAGAATTATTGTTATGAAATGAACTACTTGCTTAAAGAAAAATGTTGATGAAATGTGCACCTATTCAATTTTTTAAACTATTGTGTAAATATCTTAACATTTTAACTATTTTGCCATCTCCTTTGTACATCTGAATATATTGTATGTATGTATATCTTTATGCAAATTTTTTCAGGTATTGAAATGATTTTCTAGAATTTATATGTATGAATTTTCCAATTTTATCTGCATGTATTCAAATTATGCACTGCTGACATATTGTATATCTCATTCACTATACCTTGCTATAATGTAAATGCATGGCTGTCCATAATGAAAATAATTTTCCAAACACATATACTAGACTAAAAATTGATTTTGTTGTTCAACGTTTATTTTCAACGACAAGAGTCAATAAATACGAAAATACATGAAATATTGGAATGAAATACAGTGTGTGCTTGCCTCATTTTCAGCAGTGACTTGACTGAAGGGTGATATAATGTACATAATCAAAGGGTGAACGAAATAAACTTAATTTCCCAACCCACTTTGTTCCGTTCCGAAACTTGAATGATGAATTGTTGAATCCTGCCACCTAGTGTCCTAGTCCTATTATATCGCATACATACATGATTCCAATAAATGATTTTTCCGCTCGGAGCGAGAAGGGTACGGCTCTAAACAGTCTACGGCTACCATTAAAAAATCACTTATTATCCGAGCCAAAATGGCCATGAATTGACTAGAGAAAATACAATAGAAGCCTCTGATATGCTAGTATTTTGTAGAACAAAAACGGTGCTCTCTGTAACAAGGTAATGCATGTGCTTGAAGTGTGTGGTGGTTTGTTGCGTTTCTCACGCAGGATAGTTAACAGCCTAGTTGTTCAAAGACGGTACATGTATAACATGGTAAAATGTGTAATCAATTTGACGACTCTTCACTCTAAGACCCCGTTCTCACTCACTTTGAAAGTGGTCTTAGTTAGACCGCTCCAGAGGAACGGGTCTTGAGGAACGGTTTGCGAGCGTTCTCACTCCGAGCAGTTTTTTATGGCTCAAACCGCTCCACAAGTCAAAGTGGTCTTGTTGCTATGGCAGCTCAGGTCAGCAGGTCAACGTACTACATGTTTTGCACGGAACGTCACTAGCTCACTTCCGGTCAAACTACGCTTCCGTTCACATTGCACGTTAGAGTGGTCCAAACCGCTCTTAATAAGACCCGCTCCTCAAGACCACCTCGGAAGGTGGACTTCAGGAGCGGTCCAGAAGTCCGCTTCCTGGACCACTTTGAGCGTTCTCACTCACCTAAGAACCGCTCCTGAGGAGCGGGTCTTAGTTAGAGCGCTCCAACGAAGTGAGTGAGAACGGGGTCTTAGATATGAAGCGTTAAAACAAATTCTTCTCCTGATGCCAAGTGCAATACACTTCACATTTGTGAATCTTCTACAAGTGCTCAGTGAATATGCACAAGTCCTTTGATATGTGCAGTTGCAAGTTTACAAGTTTTACCAGTTCAAACATTTTACACGTCAAAATTGCTGCATTTTACCACGCCGTATCTGAATGAGCCCTTGGGGTACATCTCAAAAGTAAATTAATCCATTCCACACCAAATCTTTCTTGGAACACACATCTCTATTGGGCTTTGTTTCATAAAACGTAACAGCAGTATCCAAGGGCTTGAGCAAAGTAGCATCCAGCCTTGCACATTTCATATATACACTGACTTACACACAAAAATATGATCACCCTGATAATAGCAATAAGAAATGCAATGGAGACCATGTCTCATTTGTACATTGTACTTTACAAATATTTACACTTTACAGTTCTGACTTAATTGCTTCGTATTTACAACCTTAGTTGAAGGGTCATCTCCCTAGAAAGGCTAGATAATCCAACTCCCTGAATCTAAATTACCCACAAATGTTTAGAGAGGCAAGCGAATAGTGTTGGCCTTTAATAATAAACACACACAATATTGAAGGGGTTAGTTTGTTTAGCCTGCCTGCAAAGAAAGCATGTGTATGCTTATAAGTAAGCAACCAGGGGACCGATGACTTTATTAAAGTCCTTTCCCAGTGAATAGGTAATGAGGAATAATGCCTTGCCAAAGGGCACTAGCTCATCGCTTTGGTTTCAAACCCGGGATCTCCCCCTTACGAGACAACTGCTCTACCACTTAGCCATGGCGATGCCATGGGCTGGTCTGTGCTTCACAGTAGTTTGGGCTGAGGTAAGACTTTCATGTATAAACAAACACAGTTCAAATCAGTGCTTGATATATTATAAAGTAACTAAATGTGCAACTTGCCCGCTAGCAAAAGTCATTTCATTTCTATTTTTATGCTCCAAGAACAAATTGGAGAAAGTCGAACATTAACAACGTATATCGTAAGGTGACAATTGTGCATGTGGTGTTTGATTCTCTCAATCAACCATGTTCTGTTCTACAGAAAGTGCATATCCTAGTTCAGCTTATGTCGTCTAGTGCAGAAGATACCACAGGGTGATAGCATACACAGAGCTAAGGCAATTTCATTCACCTAGCACAAATCCTACAGTTAACCCGTTTACTAATGAATCATCCCATTCCCGAAGAGAATGTCTTTTAGGAAACAGAAGAAAGATGCCGATGACAGTTCCAAAGGAACAGAGATAAACAAAAGTTTCTTTTTAACAGGCAATGGGACAACAAGACGCCTGCCAGAATGTCCTGTAGAAAATTGGACAAAGACCATCAATGACAAACCTGCTTTAGTGACCACCTGTCTACAACAAGCACATTGTTTGTTTCCCTTGAAATGGTTTCTCACTGAAACATGTACAAAAGGAACCTGTCTACAAAGACCACCTGTCTACAACATGCACACTTTGGCAGTCACTGTAGACAGGTTTGACTGTATGTAACAGTTCTCTTCCGAGTCTGATTTTATCTCCTAGCTGGTGGAGCGTATGGAGATCCCAGGAACTGATCAGCGATGCGCCCTGCCTCCCGAAGACCACTCAGAAGCGCACCATGGACTGTGGCGGGGTAGTTCCTGATGGTGTGTTCGCCTGCAAAGAAGAGCCGCGGGAGGTTGTTGGCCTGTGGTGGCGCTCCAGGCACGATGGGTGTAGGAGTGACGGGCGTGGCCATCAGGTCGTAGTCGTTGCCCGATGATCCTGCGGCTACGTAGGAGTAGGATCCCCTGGACCATGGGTCTGCACGCCAGCGAGTTACCACAGCATCTTTGGGCTGGGACAAATAAAATAATTCTCAAGATTTTAAAAACTAAACAGATAAGGTACCTAATGAGGGAAACATCCTGATCTAATTCTGATTTTATTTTTTATTTTTTAAATTAAATTTCATGTACACTCAAGTATACAAGAATTAAATTCATTCATTCTTTTTCTTGAAACAAACAAAATACCTGAAATGTATTTATTAAGGAAGTTAACTTTAAAAGGGAATATGAATGCAATGAAGTTAGTTATCTTGAATGTTCATTAACAGCAACATTTCACATATCTAGTCAGTCTATTTTAATATTCCACCTCTAGAATTTGCCTAGTAGAGCAGGTTGCCATGGGATTCAATACAAATCACAATCACAAAGATTTTCAAGAAATCAAGCGAAGGAAAATGTCAATTTCTCTTCTATGTATACATTCAAATAGTGTACTACATTTAAAAGGAAACAATCTTACCTGTTGCACAGCGTTGTTGCCAAAGATGCCCCTGAGTACGGTCAGACATCGCCCAACGATGACGTCATCGCTGACATTCTCCATGATCTGCGCAGCCTCGCCAGCCACCAGGGCCAGGAGGACAGGGGCCTTGTAGAGGTTCCAGAAGAGGAAGAGCTCCCCACGGCTAGCCGTCGTGCTTCCGACGTGCCCAAAGAGGTTGATGACGGGGTCCCAGAAGCATTTGTCGAAACACAGCACCACCTGGTAAAGAAGTAACATGGAAGGTTGTTAATAATAATTATAATAACAATATTCCGCTTTTATATAGCGCCCAATACATCAATACAACGATGTGCCGGAGCCTGTCGTTTATAGGAGAAATCAGAAAGATATTCAGGGCTCTCGCTTCACCTTTTAAATGTATTGCCAGCCAAGCAACCTTGAGAACTGCTTTGATGGCCAATTGGTGAGCATATTATAGAAAAGTGCACAAAATTCACATATAACAAATAATAGGTTTGCCTTAGAGGATGTATGTCGTTGGCATCTGACCAACTGCTAACTTTTAGCCCTGTGTGTTGCTCTTCTACGAGATGTATTTGTATGAGGTTTGGCATCATAGCACCAAGATTTACCAATCAATGGGGCACACAATACACAAGAGTGAAATACCAATATTCATTTCCACTGGGTATAGATTGTAGATTTGGTGTTATGACTTTGTTTTGATTCTAGAACCTGCTGGCTCCAAAACTACTGATCTAAAACCATTGAGCCATCATGTTTTAGCATGAAAAAATTGTGACAAAGTAAAACAAATTTTCTGAGGGCTTCTACACAACTCTACCTTATTAAGATTGCCGTATCCCATTCTCTGGACGGCACTCGTCTTCCACTCCGGCAGAGGGGGTGAGAAGTGGACCACGGGCGGGGCCTGCTTGAGCACCCCTAGAGGGAGGGTGCAGAGGGCTGCATCGGCCTTGTACGTACAGCTTCCTCCTTGACCTTTGATGCTCTGGGTCACAACCTCGACACCTGTGGGTCGAAGGGCAAAAGGTTAATGGAAATCTTCATGAATATGAAAGGAAAAAGAAGTGGTTGAATTTTGAATAAATCTGTCATTTTAATTAAAATGCTTGAAAACAAAGCAATTCTTTGACAAAATATGCTAACACCTACAGTATGTATTGATATAACAAATTGCACTTCACTCATTTCAACGTTACATGTAGGTATTTTCATATTTTTGACATCAAATGGAATTTCATGACATGAATGGCAAAAAAGGAATGTCTCACTATTAATGCCAGCTAAGTGCCATTAACATAACCATTTCGCATTTGGAAGGTACATGTAAGTGATGACTTACATGTATCTGCCTATGCCTAAATCATGAAAATATACTGAAATGGCATTTCAAGGTAATTTATTTAACACTGGAAGTCTGGCTAATAAATTGAAATAACAACCCACTAACAAGCATAATTTAATTATCATTATTACCACCAATGATCAACCTGCCTCACCTGTGGATGTGTACTTGATCTGCCTGACCACCGTGTTGAGCTTGATGTCCAGTCCCTCTGACAGGGCCACGGGGACGCAGGAGTAGCCATTGCGGACGGTCAGGTGGCTGCCCGAGAACTCAAAGTCGTCGTCCTGATCCCAGTGCTTGAGGGAGAGGGTGGAGAGGGGCGTGGCATTGGCAAACTCCAGATTGGCAAAGTGCCAGTCAAGGATCTGACGGTCCCTGGACGAGAGGTATACATCGCTGGTGGGCAAAAGAGGGAAGAGAGAAACCATGAAACACTGTATTGATACAGATGAAATATGATCCTTCTAAAAATATTACATGACATCAACAGTAACAGTACACTAACAACAATTTCACTTTTAATATGCCTTTTCATTAGGTACTGCTATGAGTTCATGTGTTCCTTTTTTATGTGTTTTTATGTTACATATTATATCTTGTTTTTTTGGCCTCTTAAAAGGTTTGTTTCCTTTTTTGGGGCCACTGCCTTCCTCACTTTTAATAATTCATCTGATGTATTGTCGTAAATTTGTCTGTTTGTATGTGTATTTTTTATCTGTTGATCTCTTGAGGAGAAATAAATCTAACTTGAAACTTGAAAACTTGAAAATCCATTTTTACCTTGGAGGATTGTTTTCTAGGTCTTGGATCTTCTCTTCCAGTTCCTTCTGTTTCTCTTTCTCAACGTCATAATCCTGTAGAGAAGGAAATAAACTTGTCATACCTAATAATATTCCGTTTTTATATGGTGCTTATATCAACGATGTCTCTAAGCTCTTTACAGATATATTCAGGCTTGCCCTCACACAACTAATGCACACTCTCCACTCCCTGGGGGGGCATTCCAGCAAGGTATCATTTTAATGAAAACCATTAGTAAAGAATGTGATCGCATGAGCATTTCAATCATTTCTCAGACGGTACATGGTTGTAATGAGGACATCACTGTTCATATTCTTTACGAACACAATTGCAAAGACTTTCAAGAATTCAACTGACGGATAATTTTATTACCCTATTTTATATCACCTAGAAATTATAATCCAATTATGCAATCATTCATTGTATTGTTTCCACATTATAATAGGTGATGAACGAGGACACTGAAATTACCTAAGGTTGATTTTCCAGAGTTATTGAGATTGCACTTACTACTACGAAAACTTGCAAGCAAACTTCTGCCTTTTATTTTTTTTTTATCATGGCAATACGTGCTTTCAACAACAGTGTTCTTCAAGGGAAATCTTAAGCAGTATATGAACAAATAAACAAGCATTTATATTTGAAATGAAATAACCAATAATCACATAACAAATGGATATAAAAACTGAAGGAGTCCATCATTTAATGAACTTTGTTTAAAGCCCCACTGTCCTACTTGTAGCTACTTGCTCCCTCTATATAGAAAACTTCCCCAATCGGTGCCTGTTGGTCCCGCATGATCCTCTTTTTCTTATGTTAATTGAGAGCTGAGTTAATGAGATAGCCACCTGTCAGTGACCTCGCTGTGTGATCTAATCCATCCTAGCCACACTAGTGTTGATAAGCTTTAATATACACCCCCTTTAAACAGATCGTAAAACTAAAATAGGAAAACACTCCCTGCCTACCTTGCATGCTGCATTGAGATCTCTGAGTTTACTGCGAACCACAAACTCTGCTGTGATGTCCCTCGTCTGCTTGCTCTCCGTTGCTTTCTTGTGCTGGCGGTTCAGCTCCTTGATCTTATCTTGTAAAGACAGGATCTGGAAAGGTAGACAATTCAGAACATAAACAATTACAGTCAAACCTGCTTTAGTGACCACCTGTCTACAAAGGCCACATTTTTGTTTCCCTTGAAAGTGGTTTCTCATTGAAACATGTACTAACCGAACATGTACATAAAGACTACTTTTCTGTCTTCCTAGGTTTTACTGTACATGGTCAAATGATGGATTAAAGTAATTAATGTTATACATTATGATAAGGGAGGGGAAGCCTTTTATTAGTACATACATGTACATGTATTGTTTTTTATATCTTTTACCCATATTATACAATCAATACTTTTAATTCACCACTACACAAAATTCTGTGGAGAGTTGAAGACATTTATTAGATACCCCCCCCCCCCCCTCCCCCCCCCCCCCCCCCCCTCAAAACAAGGGGGAAATCTTCTTTTCTTACACTTAGAAGATTCCCTTCACTGTAGAAATGTTATTTGTCTTTCTTCTTAATATGCTCCCCTCATCTTAACACACATTTGCCCAGCAGGAATAATGACATTTGCACCAGATTTTAGTCTACATTTTGATCTGCTGGATCAGACTTTTCTTCTAGTTACAACTGTACACGATGATAAGTCTATTGCATCCATTCCTTGCCTGGGTAGAATACATTATAAGATGATGACGTGGATCCAAATCAAATGATTAGTTGAGAGCGTACACGTGACCAGGCATTTATTTTGCCCAACACGTAATTTTGATAATGACCGGTCATTATCAAATGCTAATGCCCGGTCATTAGTAAAATCAAGTTATAAAACATTGTTTTATAAAACAAATGATACTCATCATTTTGTTCAGGTATTAGTAAAATTACCCATAATCTGTACCTTCAAAACAGTCCAAAGACTGTTCCAAAGGTACCTTATGTGGGTAATTTTTACTAATGCCCTCACTGCTGTGTATTATTTGTATACTTATAAATACATACCTTAGACTGCACTTGCTTCAGCTCATCTTGTAGAAGGATGATATTCCTCAGATAGTCTCCCTTCTTCTCTTTGACTTGCTTCTCTTGTAACCTATGAAACAAACAAGGTTCATTGTTCAGTCACATACAAGACAGAATACGCCATTATTTGAAAAGTGTCAAAAATGTCACAAATAAAATCAAACATGCTGAAGGACAATTCAATGTTAACTCATTGATTTCGTCAAAATTGTTTTTATCATAGGAAAGTCTCTATTATAATTTATCTCACCCCTATAATTGTAATGATGAAATTGCTTTCGATGAAGGAGACGCCCATTTATGTAAGTCACAAGCATGACTAACAAAATTTTCATAACTTTAAAACCATCATAAAATGAATCTCAGTGAATTTCCAAAGCTCTTTGGAAGTGCATAGAGACGTTATAATGTGATATGCACTATATAAGAACCAAATATTATTATTATTTTTATAATAACAAACCAAGCAAAGAATTCCAAATTCCAAACAAGCAAAAACACACTTAAAGACATAGGAAATGTAGATGTCCAAATCAAGGACCTGTCATGTTTTGAGTCACACAAAATGACTTAGAATGTCTCTGATCATCAAAAACAATTGAAGTAAACATGGAACACATGCATTTAGTACTGCATTGCAGTATCAATCAGATATTGACAAGTTGATCATACATCACAAATAAGATAGCAAATATACTACAAGCAGCATAGGCTTACTTTATGACTAGTTCCAGAGCCTCGCCCAATGAGACAGGCTTGCCATTGAGGTAGTTGAAGTCTAGCTGGTGAGAGAGGTAGGAGGTGGCTTCCAGTAATCGATTGAATTCTCTTTCAACCATCTCATCTTTGTCCTTGGGGATTTGCTGCACGGAAGAAGGAACAAATTTCATGAGAACTAGGGAAATCGCATTATTAAGAATTTGAGCAAAATAGTAAGATGCTCCAACATCTGCTGTGGCCTTCAATTTGTAAAAACTAAGAGGTCATGGCTAGGGTTGAACCAAGTTTTCCAGGTTAGGTTCATGATTACGATTAAAAGCTAGCTCTAGTATAAGTATTTGGTAGAAAATTTAAGTCAGGCATTTGATTAGTGTTAAAAATGTATGACATATCATTCTGTCGCTGTATCATCCCATAAAATTACAAGTAAAATTCAAGGTTGTCCATTGCAGATATTAAATAATGGAATATCAAAAATGAAACATTGAAAAAGGGCCTGAGATGAGGCAAAAAATACATTGTTTTGTCAGAAATGAAAACATTTCCTTGTAGTCCAGTCAACGTGATAATTCAAAGGTGCATGAAGGTTTCAGTTCATAAGCAACTTAATTTGCCCTTTCTCTCACCTGAAAAGTGATTCTGATTAAATTCTATAACATATTCAAAGTTACCCCTCTCATTTTTCTTAACAAAACCTACTACATCCAGAAATACCGCCTTTATAACAAGATATTAGGCGGTGTCACACAGAAAAATCCCTTAAAAAATCCTTTCAAGGGAGAATTTTCTTACTTTGTTAGAGGATTTTTTTGAAGGGATAATTGATGACAGACAGCCAAAAAGAGGATGACTAAAATCCAGATTTTGGGCCTCCGTGTGACACCGCCTAATGTGTCTTGCATATTTTGGACCACATCCTGAAGTTAATTACATTGATACATGAGGCGGTGTCACACAGAAAAATCCTATAAAAAATCCCTTGAGAAATCTTTTCAAGGGAGAATTTTCTTGCTTCCATTGAGGGTTTTTGAAGGGATAATTAATGACAGACAGCAATTAAGAGGATAACTAAAATCCGGATTTTGGGCCTCTGTGTGACACCGCCTATGTATTTTAACCTGAATGTACATTGTAATTCACCTGCAATGTACATTGTAATACACCTGCAATGTACTTATTTAAATAAACCATTCAATCAATCAGTTTATATCAGCAAAACTCACCGTTTGCCCTCCACTCTCAAAGAGTGGACACTTCTGTTTGACCTTTGCCAGCTCCATGTTGACCTGCTTGCTGATGATGGTCATCGGGTTCCCACCCAGACCAGTGACCACCATGGCACCGAGGTCAGCCACGTAGTTGTTCTTACGGTAGGTGGTCACTCGACCACCGACTCGATCTCGAGCTTCGAGGAGGATGACGTCGATGCCGAAGGTCTGGAGCTGCCTCCCAGCGGTCAGCCCAGCTATACCCGAGCCAATGATGATGACCTGGAATAAGTTTTCAAAATAAAGATTTTCCTTTGAATCGCTCACATTTTATTTGGCTGTTCCAGACACTTGGATGATAGAGCAAGATAGAATTCATCAAATTATTTGTGATTTACTTCATGACATTTTTTGTCAATCAAATCATCTTAGTTGTAATGTTGACCACATGTTTAAATCAATTAACAGAAGATGTTTAATACACGTGTTAATGCCACAAAAAAACATTCACTTCTTCGATCAAGCAGTACTAATAGATTACTCCCATCAAAGGGAGAAACCCTAATAAGAATGATGCCATTTAGTTTTCCAGTGCATCTCATATTTTGGCTTAAACTTTACACTCTCTCTTTTTCTCACACAGAATTTAAAAAATGGCGGTTGCTGTGGTCTTTTTTTAATGTTTTACCTTGAACGTAGATTTTTGCGTTGGCGGTTGCAGCCTCTTGTAGACACCAAAGTTGATATAGCCATGCCTCTCTAAGTAGGCATGAACTCGAACTATGAGCTGGACATCACCTGAAATCAGTAAAGAGGAAAATTATCATTGTTGGAACTTATGAGCATTGAAAAGGGTTTTCCCCAAGTCGATGCAAATAAATAAATGTTCCTATCGCAAGCACTGAACGAAATTTTCTATGGATAAATACATTACAACAGTCACTTACATGTAGAAATACATTGCCAAATAGTTAGCATATGTTAAGTGCTCCAAAACCAAACCCATTACTTTTCAAGTGCTTCATTCAATTCAATTCAAATTCGTTCGTCCAAGTTAAAAACATGGAAATGTAATACACCATATATTTTACAAGCAAAAAAATACATATATACAGTCAAAACTGTCTATAGCGACTGCCCAAGGGAAACACAAAAAGTGGTCTTTGTAGATAGGTGGTCACTAAAGCAGGGTTGACTATATAAACAACAAAAACATAATCCTATCTTGTGTTAAAATGAACAAAAAGCCCAAATCATTATGTAATCCCAAGCAAAATGGTACAGTATCATGTCATATGATTATGCTCACTAGAGCAACTTTAACTGATTTTTGTGTGCAGCCTAATTCACTTTTGTACACATTTTATCATGCAAAAACGGATATTATATTGCAGGGTCGTGTTCATATCTCAAATTGTTGAGTGTCAGGTGACAACGTTTCATCCAAAAGGATACTCGCTATTAAACAAATGACCTATTTCATATAACTTACTGTTGTACGGAGCTTCGATCTGTGGAAGGGCAATCGCACAGGTCAGCTGTACTTTAGGGTTCTCCAGCCATAGTTGAAGCTATGTGTACAAAAAGGAGAAAACCAAGATTACATGAAAACTACATATCAAGACAGAAGCCCAAATTGCAGCAGCTTTGTATTGGATATACATGTACATGAAAAACATTGTCTGCAAAAAATTCTTCAAGAATAATACCATTCCTTACTATGAAAACAAATGAAATTTTTTTAGTCATATCAAAGTTATTGTTGAAAGAAGGACTAACTTTAAATATATGAACAAATCAAATGAAAACAACGATGCTTTTAAAGAGTACATGCAACAATACTATGCAATGTATACATCACAATGGGGTTTGAATTCACAAGATCTTTAAATAGATCTTTAATCTGATCCACACTCAATTTATGTTACTTGTGCTTTCAACTACTTTTACTATGTCCATCTTTTTATATTTGTCATATACATTCATACGCAGTTTTATGTATCTGTTTTTATATATTGAGTGAAAAAATAAATTGAATGACTAAATGAATTGAATGAGAATAGTACATGCACATGTTTCAGAGGTACTGCTTATGCAACAATTTTGAAACTGTTTTTGCGTTGTCCTTTGGGAAACTCTAGTTAACTTACGATCCTGTTCCTGATGTACAAGAATAGTTTCTGTGTTTGCATGGGACTCTGGATGATATCAGGAAAGCAAGCAGCCTCTTGAGATGTCATCTTATCGTGGGGTAGACGCGCCGAGAAGGCAGCACCCTCCAAACCTGCGGATCAGTGTAATACAAGACATTGATCTACATTTGCCACACTCAACCCAGGTGATTTAAATGGGTACCTGACTACCTGGCAGGAATTACTTCCTTGAAATGCTAGAGCGCCGTAATGGCAGCCATGCTAAAGCCAGAGTAATAATCAGGAGCGCCAGGAGTGTCAAGTCTGACAGACATGAGCGCTATACAAGAACCCACTATTATTATTATTATTATAACACATTTGTGTTTACAGCAGCTCTTTTGGACTTACTGTAGGACAAGGCAGGTTTCATGATTTATCGCAGTGATTTTTTTAAGCTTGTAAATAAATAGTTTGTAACAATTATAAAAACATACATTCCAATGCCATTTGGAAAACCTGTAGGCAAGGCAAAACCATAGCAAACAGGGCCAAGGTCTTTGATAATTTGAATTCATCAAGTTCTCTGTGTTTCAAATACTTAGGCCTTGAGACATCCTAGGTCTAATTTGAGCCTATCGAGGCAAGTTCATATCTACAATTGAAAGTACAGATAATAAACTTTCTTGTCTTTAGAATTCCTAACTAAGGTGTAAAATTAAGGGGGGAAAATAAAAATACCTTTGGGTTCTGACAGTTCTTCTTCTGGTTCCTCTTCTTCCGGGATTTTTGCCGTTCTCTTGGACTGTCTTTCTTCTTCTGAGAAGTACTCATCCTCGGACAGATTGGCCAACTTCTCATCCATTTCCCGATACTCCACCTGATTCAAAAGAGAAAGAGAGCAAGGATACCTGGTTATTAAGGCGACTGAGAAAACCTGGTAAAAAAAAAAAAAAAAAAAATGTAGAGGAGCCTAGACTCTAGAGGTCTACTTGATCATGTACATATAGGCTACATGTAAACAATGATACAACTTTAAGTTGCTAAGGTTTCTTTTTCTTCTTTCCTTCTTCCCTCATCATCATCATCGATCATCATCATCCTCCTTCTTTTCATCAAGACATTCATTCTTTTGTTTCGTTAGTTATCAGTAGATTGCCAAGCTTAAGAAAACTCTCAAGCCCCATGCAGTACGATTGTTTTCAAATGAAATGACAGTGAGTCCAGTTTTATAACATTTAGATCTAGTAAACAATAATAGACTTAATACAGTACATAGGATTAGGTCTATAGAGTCTATATTCATAACACACACCAATATTATTTGTACTTCATCATCATCACTCGTTGAATAATGAACATGTCACTCATCATGATGGGTCTCAAAAGGTTTATGAAATCTATTCCTTGTATTTTTAAACTTCTTCAAATTGCTGTTTTTAATTAACTATCCAGATCCAGAATGCCAAATACACAAACTGCATCTGCACAAGATGTCTGGGTAGACCCCTACTGTATTAATTGGCAATTTCAACAAAAAATAAAATTTCTATGATAGTCTATGATTGACATTTTTCTTTTGTTTACCCGAGGTCTTTTCCTCCTGCTTGTTCTTCTGAGAGGTTCATCACTTCCATTTGCGTGGCCCTTGTGGTGAATTGATCCATGGCTCGATGAAGGAGGCATGATGCTGTAAACTGGCGTAGGATGATGTTTCCCTGAGCCCGAACCTTGATGGGAACCCGAGGACTTCCCACTGCTGCTAGAAGCCATCATCATCATAGTCGGCTTCTGTGCCGCTCCACTAGCGCTAGCGCTAGCTGAGGAGGCGGATGCCGAGGCGGAGGGTTGGCTTGCAGCGGTCACTTGTTGGGTCTGCGGAGGGCTGCTCCTCTCCTTCTTTTTAGCACCTTCGTCGCCGCTAGTGTTGGTGCTGCCACCGGAATCCTTCTCTTTCTTCTCCATTCTTTCAAACAAAAATGCGAAATATGATGAAAATTAAGACCGGAAAGAGTAAATCCCGATTTAAGAAACCTTCATTCGCTAACCCTTTCGTTCCCGTATTTTACACGCACTCCTTTGTTGTATTATTCAGGTCGAAGGTGAAATCAATCAACTGATGCATTGTGGGCAATGACTAAATTAAATTAGATTTTGATCGCCATGATTGTGTGATCCGGTTGATTTGTCAGTCAAATTTCAATTCATTGATACATTTATCGAAATCGAACCCTTCTCAAATTCATCAAAATGATGTCATCTGGGAATTTTCCTCCCAACGCCTACCAGTCTTTATCATCTAGAGGGATGAGGGTAAGGAAAATTTTGACGAAATTTTGTTCACAGTGACTGAACCTGTGAATAGAACTGACTGTGTGTGATCATGATTCGGGACGTCATTGAATGCGTGAGTGTATAATCTCTGTGTGTGTGATATACCGTGTGCGTTTCGTCGTCGCCTCCTCCGTCGATTCTGCGACGGAACAAGCCGGGCGGAACAATATCGACTTGTTTTGTTGTGTATTTAAAAAGTTATTTGATCATTATAACGAAAAATTAACTCATCCCCGAAAAGGAAGATTGCACTTTGTCATGACACTTCTTACTATATGAACAAAAAGTGTAATATATGTTTATTTCACGTTAGTCATATATATATGTTTCTCTCACTGCGCGGTCGCGGGCTGCTGGACAGCTAGCTAGACGGGGTGATTTGCCATCATATTTAATCACCTAATCATTATCATAATACGTTGCCAATTTGAAACTGTAACTTTTTAAGGATCTTTGAGAGGAGCCTGAAACGGAATAATTGTGGATATGTGTTTGGATTGCTTGTTTAATCGCATTTAAATCTAAATTGCAATCAATACAAATCTATTGTAGACTAGTCTTCATTATAGGCCTGAATAACTAAGCGCTTATACAGATCAATTTCAAGCAAGAATACAAGAAGAAGAAGAAGAAGAAGAAGAAGAAGAAGAAAAAGAAAAGAAGAAGAAGAAGAAGAAGAAGAAAAAAAAGAAGAAGAAGAAGAAAAAAAGAAGAAGGAGAAGAAGAAGAAAAAGAAGGAGGTGAAGAAGAAGAAGAAGAAGAAGAAGAAGAAGAAGAAGAAGAAGAAGAATGCATGGTCTTGATTCATGAATATGATCTAGTAATAATTGATGATGATTGTGATGAAGATAATGATATACATTGTAAATGGTGATGATAATGATAACAATATTAATAAAAAATGGGCCTAATAATGATTATAATGATAAGTACAATAATGGTTATTATTATTATTATTTTGTATTATTATTATTATTATTATCATTAGCCTATCATCGTCATAATAATAATAATGATAAAAGTGATAACGATAATTGTAATAATAATGGTAAATACACTGTCGCTCATATAGTTGGAATATTTTTGTTTACCCCAATTAATGGAATTATTTTAAAATAATATACTAGATATACACGGATAATAGTATATACATTCTCAGATTTTATTGAATAATAATTTGCCAATGTTTGTTTTGCGTGACTGCTAAAGCTTGTGTATATGCTTATCAACTGGGGGACCTACGCCCTTAAGTCATAAATGACAGTAATGAGGATTAAGATTAATGCTCCACAAAAGGGCATTTAGAGACATTATCTTCGTACTAAGCACTATAGGTTGCTAAACTAGAATATATATGTTTTGTTCTTGTTTTTATTATTATTAGAACACATAAATAGAATTTTAAACAGCATGTTAATTTCTTTTAAATCGAACTTGCCATCTTATACCTTTCAGTGATATAACATGTACATACTTTACAGCTAATGCTGGATAGCCAATTGATCTCAAATATAATAATAATCTATTTGTATATCATTCACTTTTTTCCAAGTAGAACAAAATCGATTAAGAAAAAAAAATCGCGATTTAAATCGAATAAATCTATTTTTTTTTTCCCCTGTCTGTTTTTTAAATCACGATTCGTTTTCTCCATTTCTGTGTTTTCGGATGTTTTTCACTAGAAGATGATAATCAGATACACGTCTGAAAATTCCCAATTAAACCCCACACGGAAGCATTGAAATGAAATGATTGTTATTCATTAGTTTTCCATCCTCTTCGGATAATCACATTCAGGGAATTTATCAACTGTCTTACAAAGGATTTACCAACAGGAAATGCGAGGCAGGTGCGTACGCAGGATTTTTAAAAGGGGGGGGGGGGTTAACATTTATAAATCGGGCCGAAAATTTCGCAACGACTCAGCCAGCCGCTGAATAAGCGGGGGGGGGGGGGGGGGGGGAAGAGGACACTTTTTTTTTTGGTCTCGAAATTTGAAAAATTGACATTTTGCTCCGTTGGGGGGGGGGGGGGGGGTAAGGTCACCTGTTTAGGTCATCCATTTTTTAAATTTTTTTTTTTAATAATTAAAAAAAAAAAAAAAATCCAAAGTGGGGGGTTTTAGGTTTTGTTTTTGTTTTTGTTTTGTTTTTGTTTTTGTTTTGTTTTGTTTGTTTTTTGAGGGGGTGGAGTTTCGCACATAAAAATACCAATTAACCCCCCAAACCCATCCCCCCCCCCCCCCCCCCCCCTGTGTACGCGCCTGATGCGAGGCGATAATATTGTTACCTTTTTTTCAGGGTGGGTGGGAGGGGGCTATGTTTTGCATAGTCGGTGAATAAGAAAATCGAACTGTCTGACTCCTGATTTTAAAAGTGCATAAAAGGAACATATTTGAAATAGAATTTACGGCACAAATCACATCCCTTTATACCTAAAAATCAGTCGCTTGTGTTTTCCTTTTGTTTTCTTTTGTTTTACCTATTTCAAATTTAAAATACATAATGATTCTTCTTTGAATGCTTACGTATAGACATTCAAATATAATTTAAAATAATTGTCTTGTATTACACTTTAGTATAATATTCCAGAATTTCGCTTTATTGATGCAAAAAATAGATTCTTGAAGAGTGGTTCGGCTATAAATATATATTATGATGGGTTTAGAACCATACCTCATTTTATGTTTTAGTGAACAACTGACGATGAAAAAACCTTGATCTTATTGGAATTATCATTCAAAGCAGTTAAGACCTCCAATCTGCATTTAGAGACAATTTTGAATATTGGTAAAGCCTCAAAAAAAAATCATGAAATGGGGAAAGGAGGCTCTTAACATTGGGTTCGGGACAAGCCATTACAATTTTGTTAGAAGCTGTCTTCTTCTTCCTCTTCTTCAAGATAATCTGCCTCCTTCAATACTGAAGATTATTGCAGATGCCGTAAACTCGGCCTGGTTGGGGTATGCATGCAGGTGGACCATTATACACCGGGGTTTCCCCCTACCCTTATACGAATAGTGCAATATGTTCTTAACGTGCAAGGGTGGTGACTCTCCTGTACACGGGGCCTCCATTTAACGTCCTATCCGAGGGACGGAGTGTTTTCCACTTGACATAACCTGCATCTATGAACAAGGGGAAGGGCACGTTAACACACAACGCAGACTTCAGTCATCCGGCTGGGTGGGAGTCGAACCCGGGATCTTTGGTTCGATAGGCAGATCCCGGGTTCGACTCCCACCCAGGCGGATGTCTGGGAGCAATGTAAAAAAGGTCAATAAGAGAATTGGAAAATTGGTCTATACTGTTTGGTTTTGGAATCGTCAAAATGATAAGAATTGACCCAGACTTACTGAAAGCTACGTGCACTGCACACAGAATATTTATAAGGGACTGCCCAAACTGTCGCATAAAAGTTTGTTCAAAGTATTTCAGTTACTTTTGGTCATATTTTGTATTTAAGGGCATTTGAAGAGCAAATCTTTTCAGGGTCCATTTCTCCTATGGTATTCTTAAGCACTAAAATAAAAAGGATGAAAAAGTTGACAAATTTATTTTCACTCTCACCAGAAAATCAGAAATGAACATTACACCCCAGTCTTGGTTTGTAGCGCTTTCTTAATCTTTTCCAATTTCGGATGGATCATACAATCTAGATTCTAGAATGATCTAGAGAAGGAATTCGATTTTTCGACAATGCATTATTATAAGTCCTTCCTGTGCAGAATTATAGTTAGGGCTAGACTATAAAATTGGAACATAAACACCCCCTCCCTTCGGTATTATAATACAGTATTATTTGGGGATCATAAATAGATATATAGTCTGCTAAAACACGTCACTGTCCGGAGTTACCGGGAGAGCATGGAATTTTTAATTAGAAAATAAAATAATTGAGATTCAAACAAATAATTATACATAATTTATACTTCCATATTTGTTGAATATCCATGAGCATACGGGCACAAAATCGCACAGGGACGGGGTTCTGTCATATCTAGACCGAATAAGATTTTTTTTTTTTTTTTTTTTTTTGAAATTTCGAATGTCAAATTGCTGGCTTAACATGAAAATCACATGAAAAATTGACTACGTCATTAAATCGTCCTTGTTTTCACGAAGTGACGGTAGTGAGGAAAATCGTAACGCAAAGTGAATGCAATTTTTTTTCACTACAGTCACTTCGTGAAAACAGCGACGGTCTATGTCATGTTAACATCAGAGAAATTTCAAACCGAATGGAGGATATTTTGACCTTATTTAACATTAGACTTCTCCCAACGTCCCATAATAGTGTAATTATGTAAAATCTTCGTCACCACACTAATATTGTTTAATAAATCATTTCCTTCTTATTACCATGACCAATAATCATTAATTATTATCCAAGGGACACATACGCACTTTATCGTTCTTTATCTCTATAGGGTAATTCCATGAAGCCACATAGAAATTACGTCATAGTCTGGGCCATTCCTCCATGAGGAAGCGCGATGGCTCAGTGGTAGAGCAGTGGTCTCGTAAAAAGGCGTAACCGGGAGGTCCCGGGTTCGTAACCAAGCCATTGCGCCCGTGCTCTTTGGTACCGCATTAATCCTCATTACCAAGTTCCTCGGAGCGGCCTTAAAGCCGTCAACCCCCTGGTAGCTTATTACAAGCAGTCATGGGGTCAAACAATCATCACCAATAATACACCCCCCCCCCCCCGAAACAAACAAAATGTGACCTGAAAAATAAGCCTAATATATGGAATAATTTTTAGGGAAAAAACATCTCATGCGATTACTCACGGAGTAAAAGGGGATTATTTATAGAAAAGGTAATGAAAGGATCAGTGGCGGATCCAGGGGTGGGCCGAAACGGCCGCAGCCCCCCCCCCCCCCCTATTGGCGAAGCAAAAAATTGAGAAGGAAAAAAGAGGAAGAAAAAAAAGAAGGAAAAAAAGGGGGAAAAAGGAGAAGATAAAAGAAAAGAGAA